TCGTGCCTTAGGCGCCGAAAACTAGGCACAGCTCAGAACGGAAGCGACTCTTGAACTCGCCACCGTCCGTGTGAGTATGTAGTGCACGGCGCCCGTGAACCATTATCGGATTCATTTCCTCTCGCAATCTCTGTGCTTCAAGGGAAGATGAGCAATCCTGTGCACTAATAGGTGATGCGATACGATGGGCGGGGCGTGGCACGAAGAAATTGGATATCTGTGTGGAGCACGGCTCTTGGGACCGCAGCTGGCCGACCTTTCGGGACCGACTCTCTGGACCCGACCCTCTGGAGAAGAAAACGAAAAGGAGGACGGCGAGGCTAGGAGATGCCAACTCCATGGGCTTTCTCCCAGGAACCTCGATCGCTTGATCGATGGAAGGAGCATCCGGCCTAAGCCACCACCAGATCGGCTCCTACCGAGTCAGCAATCCCGATGAACCCATTTCCTTTTTCGCTAGAGATTCTGACTCGAGCGATCCAACCTTGCTTCCACTCACCTCACGAACTGCTCACAAGAAGGGCAAACGTTTGCAGGGCCACGCAGTTCGACTGAGCACATCTCCATTTGTGAAACACTGTTTTCTTTTCAAGGGGGCGCCTTACCCGGTTCTTGGTAGCGATGGGAACTGGAGAGAAAGACAAAAAAACTAAGAAAAGCAGAAGGCAAGATGAGGGATGGATGGCACGAGGGAGAGGACAATCATGTCTCCGCTTCTTCGATTTCCCAAGGGTGCTGCTGGCGCATGCGAGACTGCCTCTTTTTGGGAGGCTTCTTGTTTCTTTTCTTTTTACCCTTTCCCCACTGGCCGTACTCAGACACCATGACAAACTGGGTTTCGGACGATTGTGAGACTGGTGGTCTAGAGTTTAAAAGCGAAAAAGAAAGAAAAGAAGGGGCAGACAATGAGGCATCCACGATGAGCCGAGACAAACGTGTTGGCCCCCCTCCCCTTGTCGGCCTTGTGTGCCCAATTCAATCTTTCTCTGCCTCACGAGTCCTGTCTCACTGGATCATGGCTCTCGTCGTGTCTCCTCTCTTGGCCATTGCTCGCGCTTCTCTTTCAGGTGTTCCTTTCTTGAGTTCCTTCCTAGCCTCCTCTTCATTGCCCTTCTTGGCATTCTTTTCCCCCTTCCACCTCTTGAACCTACGCACACGCCCACCATGCGACCGAGCACTAGGAAACAGAGACATTCTCGTTCATCGCCCTCTCTTCGGGCCCCTAACACTCTAAAATCACTTGCCGGGACCCATTTTTATTCTAAGACAGCGTCGTTCACCGAACTCACCTTTACCCTTACGCGAAGGCGCTTCACCGACTTGTTCTTCCCCAGGGTTACACAAGGAATGGGGGCTTCATCCACACGCCAGAGCTACCCAGTGCCACTCTTACATTGCAGACCTTTTTTCTTTCTTTTTCTTTTTCTTTTTTTTTTAAGGACTGCGTTGACACAGGTTCCAACCTAGCGTAACTGGTGAGGGCAGCACATGAGCAGCCCACGGGCAGGCGGCCGACTGGGTCGATGGGCTGGAATGGCATTTCCTATGCGCCTCAGCGCAGCTGCCCTAGTAGGCATTCTCCTTGTCTTACCCGCCGTGTTCGGCGTCTCTTTCGGTGAATGATCGTCGGAGGCGCAACTCGACCGACGCAGCTCCCACGCTGCTGTATCCATCAGGGGAAGGAGAAGAGGCTGGCACCACCTGAAATCGCCCCCACCCTTCAACACTAATTTTGTTCCGACATATGTAGTCTTCTGCGGTTGCGTGTCCCCCGTCACGCTCCCTCCCTCTTGAGGCGGCCTTGTCTAGCCCTCCTGGTACCATTTTTCGCGTGTGTCTGTTTATACAAGTATGTGCATGCGGCCCCTTCCTTTGGCCTTTCGCTGTGTGAAAAGCGTGATGTAGGTATGAGGAAGGAGGGGGTTTAGTTTGGAAACTGGCTGAACGACTCTCCTTCTCCTCACCTTCCAGCCCGTCCACGGGCAAACACCACGCCCCCCAGGGCTGACGACCGTCAAAGAAGGATCAACAGCGTTCTTTCTGCTTGCACGCAGAGCACCCTTGATTCGGCAGTTACCAATCCTAGCTCGTGCCGCGCATCGGACTTTGTTCTGACACAGCAGATGTCCTCGAAGATACACACACAAGCTTCTCCAAAGTCGTACCGCCGATTGGCCCAGTATCATCTTTGGAGGTAGCCTCCCCACGGTACCGAAGAGAGACGTACAAACCTATGTCCCGAGCTGGAATGGGGCAATGGAAAGAGGGCCGACCAAAACAAACACACCGTCGTCACCTTGATCTCTTGGTCCGGTTTGTCACGCGGCACGTCGTCATCGGAGCATGATGAGGGACTTGGCTCTACCATTGACCTAGTATAGACCTCAAGTCTCTTTTCCAACTCGGTCGCACGGAATACCTCGCGCGAGCCAGGTGCGGATGTAGCTGTCACCTCTCATGTCCCCATATCCAGGGTTCCCCCTCCTGGCATCGTTCCTCCCCGGCCGGCAGTGAGGTCATGATGGGCCTTTGCTACGGTGGTTGTTCGGCCGCTCGAAGCCTGTTCGGGACGGCGTTAGTCCGTTTGGGGGAGGAGAGATGGAGAGGGGGATGAAGGCTTCAGAACCCCCTCTCCTCCCGACGTTCGCCGTAGGTTATTCACACACCGCTCCGCCCTGATGGCACATAGTTCAAGATCGTCGACGTGACGAGAGATGATCCCATGTGTCGGGAAGAGAACCGCTGGTAAGCTTTTCGCCTCGCCAACGCTATCTCTCTCTAGAAAGGCCGTCGGCACGCAATACGGCAGGACAGGAACGGACCAACGACAAGGTTTCCTCGCGCGGGCTCATCTCGGGCGATGCACGTTGGCGAATGCTTCCATGAAGTGTGATGGGTTGTTTTTGCAACTGTGACGTTTTACGGTTCTCGAAGACCCGGCCCAACTCATCTTTGCATCTGGCCACCCCTCTTCTTTCTTCATTTTCCCTCCCTTTTGATTAACTTTCATTGCTTTATATCCCTTTTCCCTGATATTTTCCCCTCTCTCTCACGTGGCCAGTGTGGAGCTGACTTTTTAGAGACGGGTTTATATGCCGTTGTGGTGGGCCTCGCGGGCGTCTTAAGCTCACTAGCTTTCTCTTTAGTCGTGAGGCTAGAACCATCCCCTCATGCCCCTTCTCTGCTAGAGCCTCTTCTTAAATGTTCCGAGACTTTGTGACATGTGCCCACTTCTAAACTCTCACCAAGTTTCCTCATCTTTTAGCTTCTTTAGTGTACAGGGGTATGGCGTGGGAACAGAAAAGAAGGGTGACTGCTAGAGAGGGGAGGGGAAAGGGGGTAAAGGGAGTAAAAACAAAAAGGCGTGCTCAGCCCATCATCCCGTTACCGAAATGCGGAAGCGAGGTTTAAAACAGAAGAAATCGCCCGAGGGATCCCGACCCGACCTGTCAGTTATGAGGTTCCGGCGCGCGGCGGGGGTCGTCACTTCGGACCGCGGAATCGCCCTCGAAACGTAATGGAAGGAGAGGGGCGGGGGCGTGCGGCTTGGGTCATGGCGTGGCGGCCGTGTTGCGCACACTGCCCCCGTAACCGGAGGGTTGACGGCGAAAGAAAGGGAAGGGGGATGGAATCATGCTGTTCGGGAGACGGCGCGTGGACGTGGTCCTCGTTTCGCAGTACCCTTCTGTGCTCAGGAGAGTATAACCCATCACGAGATATCGCGACCCAAACATGGCTATCAAACGGGACTTGATCCGTCAGAACGACGTGTATACACACCCCCTTTTCTTCCTAACCCTCCCCCATCTATTCCACTCACGCCCCCTCGTCTGTTTGTTGATCTTCTCTCTTCTTCCAAACTTTCTCCTCCGCAACCGGACTCCTTTTGCTCTTCGAGAACACGCCAGGTCCCGCGGCGCGCTCGGGCCTTTTCTTTTTGCTCTCCCTCTATAATGAAGAAAAAGAACAGGGCGGAAAGTGAGTCGGCATGGTGCGAACAAAGGCCCACAGCGGTCTGCCTCGAGGGGCGTCTGATGAGGAGGAATGGGATGTGATCTCTTCTTGGCCCCTTCTCCCTCGGCCCACAAAACACCCCCGCCCCATGAACTTATCAGTTTTGGCGAGGACGAGATCAAAAGTAAAGACGGCAGAAGAGCCAGCAGGGCCCAGAGAAGGGCCGAGGAACGTGCGGAGGTGGATGGAGCCCGGTGGAAGAGGGGGCTGTGGACGCGGAAGAACATAGGGGTAGAGTTTTAGTCAACTCACACGGATATTCATTGTCCACATACTCACATCAATCCCACCTGCACCCATTCCTCGTTCCCCTTCTCCTCTGGAGCTGAGTCCGTGAAGACGATACGTCATACGTGCTCCCAACGCTCCCAACGTCCCCCACGATGAACTGGCCGATTGACTCTATCCGCGCACCTAGGCCAAGAGTTCTCACCATAGGCACGAGGGTCAGAGTCAACAGCCACTATCGCGCACATCTCACGGAAGGGGGCTGATACTAGATAGACACAGGTTGCTGCTTGACATGTGGCGTGCTTTCTTCGTTGGCGATCCTCATATGTACATCTATCAGCCAAACCAACCCCGTGTAAACCCGTCCTCCACTGACCCTGTTCCGTCTGTTCCATCTGTTCCGTGCGCTCTTATGAACCCTCCATCCCCGTGCGTCCAGGTCTAGGCTAGAAGAAATAGAAAAGCCTTCCACGCCGGTGATAGCCCGCTCCATCAAAATGTGTATACACGTTCGAGAAATTGTACACGAGTCAAGCCAAACTTGGGATATCTCTCCCCATTCCAGTATTGGCTGTTCTCCATCAGGACATGCAATCATTCGTAAAGGGTAGGTAAGTAAGGGCTCCCGCAGTCTATCCCTTAACCTGGCCCCAACATTCTAAAACGTATAAAGAAAAAAGATAAAGAAAATGACCGGTATCAAGAGGTATCAATGCACTTGCCCCTTTCTCCCCTGCCGCCTCCCAGTTTCTGACTTATTTATTGTGCCAGATGAAGTTCCTCAGGGAATCCCAATGGTTCGAGTCGACGTAGATGTAGTTCATGCTGCCCCTTAAGCTGGACTGCAGGTCTTCCGGGTGCCACCTGAAGAGGTACATCACCATAGCCCAGGAGAGCGAGGCGAAGGCGGGCCAGGCGTAGTGGCTGATCTGGGAACTGAGGGGCTCCTTTGATACTCCGGGAGTCCAATGCCAGGCTTTACGGCCAAGCGCGCGAGGGCGAGGGCGACACGCGCGAAGACGTAGATGACGATCTGCTGGTTGACCGAGGGATCTTGCCCGTGCGCGGGGACCGGCGACCAAAGACAACGTAGCCGCCGACAAGTCCCGCCAAGAAGGTATCGTAGGGGCCTGGGGTAACCACCGCAAGGTTAGCCGACATAGTGCCTTACTCGCATGCGATCGGAGGCCGCAAAGAGAGGACGGGAAGGGATAGATTAGATGGGGCGGCATATTCTTTCGTTACCTTCTTTGTCGGGTGTGGGGCCGAACTTCTTGAGCATCATGACGGTGAGTTTGTAAATCGTCGCGAAGGTAGCCAAGTTCATGGCGTGCGTCTTTGTGGCCCGTAGGACCAGCGAAAGCTTGTGCCTGAAGCTGTATTCCTCCCGTCGCAAACCGTTAGTGTTCGTCGACTAGGGAAGAAAAAGGACAAGCTCATGCCCAAGCTGGGAGGCAGGGCTGGCTCGAGAGACAAGGGCCAACTTACGTTCCAGACCGAAACAAAAATATCATGCTAAACAAGAGATTTGCTGCTGGGTTAGCGAAGGTGAACTGTTGCCACTGTGCGTTCGTCCCCATTCCCCTTCATGCCAACGCAGACGGAGCCCTTCTCCGACGGACAGGGCGGCGGGTATATCTTACACGAGCGCATGCGGAAACCGCACCTTGCTGCCGTAGACGGCGCCATTACGCGCGCCCTTGACAACGCTCAAGACATCTTGATATCGCGGATCGAGGATGATGCGCTCGATGGCGGACTGTGAAAGCGCACGCGTTAGCGATGGAACCCCTCGTTCTCCCCTCCACCGCACTCCCGTTCTTGGATAGGGGCGATCGGGGGCGACGGCGTGATATGCGACGGGGGCGCAAAGGCCGATCGCGGCTGCGCGCGTGCAGGGCGGACGAACCTTGATGACTTCGAGGCTAGACATTGCTTGAATGACGGGGGCTCACCAAGCTAAGGAGAGGAAACAAGGACGGGCAAGGAAGCAACCAAGAGAAACGAATACAAGAGAGAGAGAGATAGAGAGAAAAAAAAGAAAGAGGAAAAAGAAAAAAGAAAAAAAAAGGAAAGCGACGCGATTGAGCTGAGCAGTCAAGTTTTCTTGCTCTCGTTTCCCTTCTTCTGCCTCTAAACCTGGAAGAGCAAGGAAAAATCCTGGGGAAACCTGGGGTTGTTTTGGCGGGGAACTTGGGCCGAGGGACGAAGCAGGCGTGGCGGGCGGAACTACTGCTCGGGATCTTTTTGTCCTCTTTGAGAAAATTGGAGTCAATGACGTCTGGAACCTCGGTGCGTGACAGGGTCCGGAATTTAGGGAGGGAAAGGTGCAACGGCAGTCGACGAGCGGGTCGCAAACTCCGAAATTACCGAACGAACGATGCCTGCGTGCAAGGGGGCGGAGTGTAGAGAAAGAAAGCAGGATGTTGATTTCTATTGAGAGGACAAGGAAATAGAAAAGAAAAAGAGAACAATGGATAGTTATTGGAGAGGGAAGAGAACAAGAGGCGATGGCGGTTGTGGAGATGGGGGAAGGTCGAAAGATTAAAAGGGAAGCCGCAAAGTACAACGAAACATCAAGACCTCGGGTGGAGCAGCGCAGCACCCTAGCTTGCCCTGCGAGGTTGGTCCTCCAATATGCCCCCAAAAGTGGACGGCCAGCGCCCGAATTTCGTGCAAATTCATCGTTTGAATCAAGCTCCCTGGAGGGCAATGGTCGCCCTCCAGTTTTTGGGTCAACCCTGAGAGGGAACGTGAAGCCTCAAGTGCTTGCCCACGCGGCAGGTCAATCACCTCGCGATATCTAATGATACTGGGCGTTTCTTTTGTGTCCCCCACTCTTTTCCCCTTGTTGCTGGTGCCCGGCTTCGAGGACTGGTCTCAGTGCTACTTCTCGACATCGGCTTTGACCAGCCCGCATCTGCAAAATGAAGCGCTGCCGGCCCTGTGGTCTTCAACGGCAACACCCTACATTCTCATTGGAGATTCATCGTCGTGTCGGCGTTCCTTACCACATCCGTCCAAGTGCTCAGCGCAACGTGTCGCCCTGTGACCTTTTGTTTTCTCCAGTGTCGCACCACGCAGCGCCCAGTGGCGGCCCTCGAATCCCCTTCACCCCCGTCAGTGGATTCGATCATTCAATGTCACTGATCTACCTGCCCCCAATTGGCAGTGCCACTCAGGGCAAGGGGAAAAGCCAACAATGGCGGGGAAGGCTCCTGCTGTGCATGAATGCAATGGACAGCACGCAGATTTGACATGTGACTGTCGCCGTTCATGATGGACTGTACATAGCACTAACTTGGCGAAGAGCCAGCCCATTCTCACCGTTCTGATAAAAGCGGGATATATTTATTTTATTTCAGACTACTAAATGCCACATTTTACATGATGACGAACCATTCCATCCTGAGGGTGAAAGTCTATTTGAAAAGGAAGGCTCGTTTTGAGGATTCTGTCTTCGGTTGAGCAAGTACGACGCAGGTCAGAGCAGTATTCGTGAAGAACGAAGAATAATGGTGGGTCCAGTTCCCGTTAGAGGCATAGATGGCTAATTTGATCCAATTCCGCGACAAATGCAGCGCATGCCAACACAGAAATGATGGCCCACTGAACCCGCAACTGAACCTCGGCGCAGGTGAAGATGCAAAGGCGTTCTCCACGTTGTAGGAGCTAACAACGATAACCTCCTTGCGTGCGCCAACATATCCCTGCAACTGGCCCCTCAATCGAGATGTTTCCTTTTCAAGACAGCGAGGTGAGGGGAAAGGCCAAGAATCATATGCTTGAACGAGCACACCGATCAATGAGCATTGAAACCTCCCTCGAGACGGTGCTCTCAATTCACATGTGGCATTTGCCCCATTAACAAAACCTGATTCAATGCTCAGGTACATACATGTGCGGATCGCCATATTGAAACCGGTACAAGCAGGTTGCACAAGATGGTAACTATCCAATTGTCTATTTGATACCCTAGTCCTTACTGCTTCCCTTTCCGATAGCTACATCGACTTGGGCAATATCAAGTAAGTCTAATCTCCAGCAATGGAGAGAAAGAAAGGGGGAAAAAAAAAAGAATAAAGGCCAGATCTGGGGCTCATCTCCTTCGCCGTGGGCCCAAAGCACGAACTAGGTCAAGGTAAAGTGTGCATAGCATAGCATATTCCCTTGAATTTTGTGATTTTCAGCAACTCCCAAACGCCAGACGATGCATATGGTAAACAGGAACCACCCCCAGATTTTTCTCACACCCCTAAACCCGTGTTTTTCTTGATGATCTACACGTACTCCATTACACGAGCAAGACACTATTCGCATCTCAGGTTAGAATACGAGCCTGGCAAATAAGGACTTGGGAAAAGAGCAACGGTCCAGGCACGGCACTTACGCATTTACACAACCGTCATTGGAAGGGTTGTTGGTGATCTGGGCATACCGACCCCACACGACCTTGCCGGATGCCGTGACGAGTCCGAGATCGCTGACATTGACCTCAATAACCGTACCCTTGGTGAGGACTCCGAGCTGCGTGTAGAGAGGGTTGTTGGGGTTCTTCTTGACTGAGATGATGGGAAGCTGCACCGTGACGTTGAGTTCGGGATGCGTAACGTGCGCCTTCTTGTATCGCAAACCCATAGGCCGAATGAAACGCTCGTACTTGGGGTTGCGTCGTGTGAACTCGGGTCCGACAAACGTCTGCCAGGTCCCCAACGTTAGCATCTTTGCATCTTTGCATCTTCACCCAGAGTCTATCATGAAAAAAGGCGGAGCAGGCCACGCCGTCAAGCCCATAGAGCAAGGATGAAAAACATACCGGCTGCGTGACAACGCGCTTCCAGCCCTTCTTGTGCGTCTTCTTGCCCGTGGAGACCACCTTGAACATCTCCTCCTCGCTGATGCCCCTGACCTTGGGCAGAGGAACGCTAAACCTCGCCGCCTTCTCGGCTCGCTTGTTCTTGATGGCGCTGCTAAGTGCCTTGGCAGCAGAGGGGTTCTAAACAAGAAACAAGTAATCCATCGGTTAGCACAAACCTCTTCCATGATTGTCCACCCAAAGGGAACAAAGGGGTGAGGATAAAAACCACTTGTACAACATACCGATCGGTCGAGCAGGTAGGCGGGAACGGGCGCCGAGGGCTCGTTCTCTCCGGCGGCCTTGACATTCCTCTCCTCGTGGGCCTTGATCTGCTTCTTCATCTGGATCTTCTCCTTGTGCCTCTTCTGCTGGTGAAGCTTGGCCTTTAGGCCCCTAAGGTTCTGCGCATCCTTGGACGCCTTGTGGCCCATACGCGCGATGCGCTTGCGCTGGCGTTCCTCATGATCTAGTCGGCGGCCGAACCGCTTGACGTGCCTCTCGATATACTCGTTCTGGGGCTATAGTCGGGGAAAAACAAGGCATGTTAGCAGCTGAAATCGTCCTCGCGGCTCATTTTGCCACCCTGTCCCCCATATATATGTCTATCCTATCCCGGCACCTATTTTCTACTTCCATTCACGGGGATGGGGAGGGGAGCGACGTTGGCTTACCATCTTGACGGGCCTCTAACGGAGCACGATTGTGAATGTGAATGTTGTTCTCTGGGAAAAAACTAACAACCAAGGAAAGGGCCTTGTCTTTTTTTATGCCGGTTGGGGAGGCTGGCTGTTTGATATCCAGGAGCTCTCCAAAGGCGGTGATAAGAAAAAAAAAGGCATTCCCCCAAAAAACCCACCACACAGAAAAAAAGGTGGGATGCCAAGATTTCGCATCGGAACCGGAAAATTACCTAATCCGCGCAGGGATCGAATTTTCCCCTTGCGAACCCAAGCACATCAATCGCGAGAGAGCTTCAAGCCAAAAAGACGTATGAGCTCGTCCATCACAAAACCCGGAAACGCGCAAATCGAGGGGACACTCCGCGCTCTTTTTATCGAATTCTTTTTCTTTTATTCCGCCCTGTTAATTTCCTTCGACGGCCCAATTCGTACCTAGGATACTCCTCCTTCCTCCGCTGTTCACGCGACCCGATCCTCATCCGCCTCAAAAACAGCATCAACCACGGAACTGAAAGAACAAGAAAAAATGAGCCGGACACTCCTCCGCTCCCTTCTGGAGCTCCGCGCGCCCCTACCGCGCGTGACAACTAGCCCCCTCGCCCTCGTGGTACGGTCCATCTCGACGACGACGCCGACACCCTCCGCTCCCTCCGCTTCCTCCTCCTCCGCCCCCGTCTCCAAGACCGCCCTCTACCCGCCCGAGCAACCCGTCCACAAGCCCCTCTCCGACTCGGTGCGCTCCCTCCTCCCCGTGCTCGCCGCCCAGCCCGCCCACTACATCACCATCCACGTCCATGGCGTCCCCTACCTCGTCACCAGGGGCGACCACGTCCGCCTCCCCTTCCGCATGCCGGGCGTCGTCCCCGGCGACGTCCTCCGCCTTACCCGCGCCTCTGTCCTCGGTAGCCGCGACCTCACCCTTAGGGGCACCCCTTTGTCGACGAGCGCCTCTTTGAGTGCAAGGCTACCGTGCTCGGCGTCGAGGCTGAGCCTATGCGCGAGAAGACCAAGACCAAGAGGCGGAACAGAAAGGTCAAGACGGTTAAGAGCAAGCACAAGTACACCATCCTCTCTATATCGCATCTCAAGGTCAACACCCCCGAAGAAGTTGGCGCATAGGGATTAGGTATTACGGGTCAACACATGTCCTTTTTTTGTTCCTCGGCGAAATAGAGGGAGAGAGGAAGGCGAGTGAGAGAGGAAGGCGAGTGAGAGAGGAAGGCGATTGAGAGAGAAAGTGGATGGATGACCAAGGTAGCATGGGGTCAGATTAAAACCAGCCTTGTGTCCTCGGCCCCTGGTGGTGGAAAACGGGATCTGGGAGCGAGTTTCCCTGTACAACTATTTGTTCCATTTCAAAAGGCTGTTATGTATCATTCTCACCGCAGCATACTGAATAATAGACAACTTTCCTAACCAGAACACGCGGGCTCGGCTAGACAACGTGCCATGGCGCTGAGACTCTGGCAAAGACACATATCAACGTGAGCAAGTAAGGTGTAGTCGGTAGTTCCATCAACTCAAGTATGTATTATTCAGAGAAGGAAAGGAAAGAAAAAAAAAAAAAAAAAGAGGCCGAGCCAACAGAAAAAGACTAAGGGAATCAAGCAATGCTAACAACATCCGGAAGAGCGGGGATCTGGAACTCTCATCTAAGCTCAAACGCATAAAATCAAACCAAGGCTCGCCTCGCCGCCCAAGAAAAGAAAACACCAGTCAACCCAAGGAAAAACAAAAAACAAAGTCATGACATGAATACATGTAAGCCTCCCCTTCTTCCTGTCCCTTCCCCTTTCGTCTCGACAGCTAGTCGATTCGTGGATCGAGCAAGGCTGTTGCGAATAACATTTACAAGCTCTCAAGGGCAACATCCCTTTAGCTTTTTTCCCACTTCTGCCTTCTGCTTATTCTGATTCTTCTTCTTTTTCTTTGGGAAAAAACAATCTGCCCAAACCGCTCAAGGTATAATAATATAGACATCATAAAAGTTATAGAGAACAGGAGAGAACCAATTAAAACAACACCAATCGCAGTCGCTCGCTTCAACGGGCTGATCATGAAGAAATGGGAGTCAAACAAACGCCGCAAAACAAGAGAGTAAAGAGGAGAGAGAGAGAGAGAGAGAGAAGATATGGGGGAAAGGGAGAGGGAAGAATCGGGGTCGTAAAGAGGGGATGGATAGATTTCTAATAACGCGGAAACGAAGATGGAAGAAGAGAAGAAGACGAAATAGTGATGCATCAAACTCCAGTGTTTGCCAGTCACGTCCGGTTGGCGTTCATTGCCTTCTTTACGCTCGCCCAATAAGCGGCGGGCCACACCGACATGGTCTCGGCATCCGTGGGCATCCGCTCGCGGCATCGAGTGACAACGCTCTGGATGATGCGGCCAAGGAGCTCTTCGTCGATGGGGAGGGCCTTCTCGTGCAGTTCCGCGGGGAAAAGGAACGGGTCCGTAGGGTGGAGCAGCTCCTCGCACGTGGGCCGGAGATGAGGCTCTCTGCTGAGGCACCGCTTCATCGCGCGGATGAGGGATGGAGGGACAGGAACGCCACCCATGCCACGGCCAGGGAAGTCAATGGTGTAATCCCAGTTAATGATTGCCTGACACCTGGCCATCGGGTTGGCAATGTGCCCGAATGGGGCGAGGCCGTAGACCATTTGGTAGAGGATGCAGCCCAGCGACCAGACGTCGCTGGCCTTGCCGAGTTTCATGAGTTTTGGCTGGCCTGGAATTCGTACTCCGCGCATAGCGTTGTAGTCCATCAAGGATTCCGGGGACATGTAATTCGGCGTGCCAATCTGTGTCTCTCGGTGAACATGAACCGTCTCGTTTGTCTGGATGGCGTTGGCAATGCCAAAGTCGATAAGCTTCAGACGGCCCTGGACAAGGACAAAGTTTTGCGGCTTGAGATCGGAGTGCACGACGTCACTATCGTGGACGCCTAGCAGGCATTCGAGCATCTCGTTCCAGTAATATCGAACGAACACAGGATCGAAGCGGCCCGTGTCCGGAGGCTGCCGGGTCTTCAAGAACTGGTTGAAATCGACCTCGCCGAGCTCCATAACCTACAAGGGTTTCGTTAGTCGCTAGCTTCACGAGTTTCCGAGGTATGAGGGTGCCTCAAACTTACCAGGGTGAGAACCTTCTTCTCGTCATTCATCTCATAGTCCAAAAGGCTAATCACCCTCTCGACCTTGGCGAGCTTGGTCAGGAGATCAATCTCGCTCTTGAAGCCCCTGACGGTGTTTTCGTCGGCGTGCTCTAGAGACACTCGCTTGAGAGCCCACATCTTGCCATTCTCGGCCGTCACTCGGTACACCTTGGCGCTACCGCCGCGGCCAACAACGTCGAGCCTCGTATAGCACTTTCCGTTAACCTTGATAACGTTTCGTCGCTGCTTGACTTGGGTTGTGACGGCGCCGGCGGATGTCGTGGCAACATCGACGACCGACATCTTGGGCGGGGAGGCGCGGGGCGGTGGGGAGTATTGTGACTCATTGAGGAGAGGGGCTTCCTCTCCGGAGACACCGTCGCCCTTGGTGCGGGCACCTCGGATGGTAGGGGACGCCGCCCCATGGCCTCTACGACGGGCTTCGCCGGGAGGAAAACGGCTTGACGTGCCTGATGCTGAGGGGATTTCATTTTCTTGATCATGGGCGGATGGCATCATCACGGGTTGGATCCGGGCAGGAATTCGGGGCTCGGGTGCAGGTTCGTGTAGGGGCTCCGGCTCCACGTGTTCCTTTTCGGGTCGGGCCTCGGGCTCGGGATGCCTCACCGCGGGAGACAGCCTAGCGGAGGATGACATGCGCATATCGGCGAGAGAGGCGTGGCGGCGATGAAGGTCCTTGGAACTAACAGGGCTTCCGGACGCAAAGTCGGCATACTTATTGCTCGCATAGAACGAAGAGCCGAGGCCCTCTCCGCCTGGAGTAGGGTCGGCCTTTTGGCTATCCGGGTCCTGACTGGAGCCCATGAGCTCGCCGTCTCCCCTCTTCGGCGTCCTCTTCGCTCTGGCGCCTTCTACCCCTTCGAGCAGGTCCGCTGAGAAAACTGCCGGGGACCTTGCCCACGCGCTTGATGCGCATAGAGCTCTGAAGAGCAAGATTGTCCTCCAATCGGCCAACATTGCCCGCCCTCGACACGCTGCCCATATGGGCCGAATTCCGTGCAGCTGTTCCGGGTTCGTCTAGGGCCTCATGGTCCGCCTGTGACGAGTGCCCGGAAACAGGCACAGACCTAGCCGAGGAGACTGCTGACGAGGTGGTGGATTTTCCCCGAGCCGCCGAAGAGCCGCTAGCGATCCTCACGACTCTTGGTTGCTGTGCCGGCGTGTTGACATCAGCCGGTGGGGGAGGGGAGCGGCCTTGTCGAAGTCGGAGGTGGACGATTTGTCCCGGCTAGGAGGCCGGCCTCCGGTGGAGGGCTTTCTTTGCAGTGACGGTCGGGAAGTGGAAGTAGATGCGATTGTGGACGTGGACCTTCTCTTCATCTGGCCCAGGCTGCTCAAGCTTTTAGGGGTGGTGCTGAGTCGGACGACGCGTTTCCTGACGGGACTGTTCTCTCGGCTTTTAGCGGGGAAGGGCCGCGAGAGGATCTGCCATTGGCATCCTGGAAGGGTTGTGAGCTGCCAGACCGCAGGCTCCTCCTGCCCTCCTCCGGCGCGGCTTGGGAGGTTGAGAGCGCGCTGCGTCTCCTGGTCCTAGGAGGAGACGCCGCCTGCCTGGTGGCCTGCCTCATCTGTTGGGCAGCAGCTGGGCCGCCATCATCCAGCAACGCCTTGGTGAGCGCGCTGAGCTTCATGGGAACCGGCATCTCATCGTCAGAGCTGTCATGCATCGCTCCATACTGGGGCTGAGAGCCGGCGTTCGGGGCAGGGTTGGACTCGTGTCGCTTCAGAGTCCGCGACGGAGGGCGTCGCAACGAAGCCTGACGCTGGGAAGTCCTTCGGGTAAGTGGCGGCGCGTGGGATGAACCCATGGGGTTGGCGACGCCGTTGATGCCATTTCAACGAAGGCGGAATGGGTGGTAATTGGCGTTGTTTTTTTTCCCCGTCCAATTCGGTTTTTTTTTTTTCCTTGTCCTCAGGTGTTGCTGCTGGGGCGTGTTTTCCTCCGCTCGGTCTCGGTTCCGAAATCAAATGCTGGAGTAAAGGCCGGACAAAAGTCGAACACGCCGATTCTATTAGTATGTGTTGTAGAAGAAAAAATCGTCGTAACTACGCGTCAATTGTGCCCATGATGCAGACAATGTCGACAAATTGGCGATTAAGGTCTTGGGGCGCGTGGATATCTTGCGGTGAGGTAAAAGGATATCATTCGTGGTGCTGGGGATGCAAGATGGGGATTTTGGGCTCCGCGTCCACGAACGATGTTTGAAGGATGAGTTGACCAATCATCGTGAGTCTCGTTGCGCGGCAACGGGGGCAGACGAGCCAATTTCCCTTGGTTGTGTCGTTCCTTTCTGCAGATTTAATTGGATGCAGTATTTTGAAATTCCCGACCCGCATTCAAGATGGAAAGACCGGGCATTCTCCACTTCTTCCCCCGGCCCCGTCTGTTCTCGAATAATAGTGTACAGGCAGCAAAATCGTGCACTTCCTACACAATACTTCGTACTTCTTCTTCTTTGCGAAAGGCTCTCTTGTTCGTTTGGGTATTTTTTTGGAAGGGTTTCCCACATGGCCAAACGAACCCGAATTTGCGAGGTGGCTAAGGATACGAAAGAAGAGAGGTAAACCATCCAATCGCGTATTAGAGCTCTCATCCTTTCCTCTGAACGACCTACACCACATCACATATTGATGTCTTGATAGTACGGGGTACACGTGAAGATTGATAATAGTCAAGGTGAAGACATCCATGCCCAGATACACACATCACTTTGTTGGAACACAGATATGGTCAAACACGATCCCAGCGGGGATTTTGTAGTTTTGGTTCCATAAAAATGGAGGTCAGACGACTTCATTGCTTCTTTTATTTTTATATTCATCAGGTCATCAACTCAGGCCAAGCCGGGCCAGTGCTATGCATTAACTACGACAGTGATATCGAGGGGTAAGCGCTATGCATTTGCGAGCCCTCGCAGCAAGATTTGCCGTACGCGGCGAGCCACAATAAGCCCGGGCGAACCAAAGTCCAAGTTGAAAGCCTAGATCCCATGACGGCAAGTACCGGAGCGACTCCTGGAGGTTCTTGACTACATTTAGTCGAAGAGACCGAAGCCCATGTCGTCGTCGGACTCTTCCTTCTCTGTGGCAATGGTTAGTCACACATTCTCGGCGTACGCAAGGTATCCATGGGAAATTCCACTTACCCTCCTCCTTGGGCTCCTCCTTGGTCTCGGCAGCGGCAGCACCGCCGGCGGCAGCACCACCGGAAGCGGCAGCAGCACCGCCCGAAGGGACGGAAGCGAGCTTGGACGAACCCTCAGCGATCAACTAGAGCCGGCCATACCAGTTAGTAAACCCAATCTATACCCCGCGGGACGTGGATAGTGGCCACAGGCGCCCCCATGAATCATTTCATTTCATACCTCGTTGATGTCCTTGCCATCGAGCTCAGCGAGGAGCTCGACGCGGTCGTCATCGGCCTCGATACCGACGGAGGAGAGGACCTTGCCAATGTCCTTGGCGCTGGGGCTCGAGTTGCCGCCGAGCGAGAGGAGGAGGTAAGCCGCGAGATGCTTCATTTTGTCTAGGTGTGGGGTGTCTGTGAGAGTGCGATCGCAACGAGTTAGAGAGAGCCAGGACTCGCAAAAAAGAGAGGCGGGGGGAACAGTTGCAGAACGAAGAAGACGATGCGAGGGTCGGGGTCGCCTTACAGGTAGTGAAATAGAACACGAGAGAACAATCAATTTAACCGCAGTTGGGCGGAGACTGAATCTTCGAGTTCCGGGGGTGAAGTCGAAAATTTGGTGGAATAGGTTTTTGAAGTGGAAAGAATATCGGCCTGCTAGTAAATTTTACGCAGAGAAACACTTTGTGTGGTGTCAAAATGCCCCCAAACCCACAAAAATGTCAGCAAGTCCAGTTAGGGCGGGTTCAGTCAAGCCACAGAAAAACCAGCTGTGTGGGAACCTCCCGTCGTTCAAGCCACACTTCTTTTGGCTCTTCACTATTACACGTACTCCTTCCCAGGACCTGTCTCGCTTATTCATCAACGGGTGCTTGGCGTTCTTTTCTCAGCGTTCTGTGCTTGACATTGTGCAGTCCGAGTGTCGACTTGGAGGCAGCACTATTACTTCGTACAATGGAACGAGTTTCTCAATTCGCTCACACTGTTCGGATACCACCAGCTCGTCCCAACCCAAAAGTCTGATGATTGGCTGGCTCAAAGGCCTCGCTTCGCGATCCAATCCACCGCCCATGCTCATCATCGACACCAGGATCGGTCTCGATGTTTCCAAGAGCGAGGAGGGCTGTCCCGGAGGATTTTGACCGTCGGTATCCCCTCACTAGTTTATAATATCAATACTAGCGGGAAGCCCTCTCCAAACACCGTTTACATGGGTGGTCATCCAGCTTCGGCCGCCTCCAGCGAAAAAGGAAACACAAGGCAAATTGGCAAATGGGCAAATGGGCAAATGCAGCAGACCACACCAAGAAGGGAGAAGAAAAATGAAGTAATCTCAGCGCCCTTCACCTCCACCCTACCACAACAACGAGGGCTGGTCTATACCACACTTCATTGGCGGGTAGCTGTCTTCAAGTGCTCGGTAGTTGCACAACCCCTAGTCTCTCGGGGATGGAAAGCGCCCGACAACCTGAAATAGCGAGAGGCTAACGTCTTCATGGGGCCAATTCCGCGCAGACGACGACGGACGGACTAAAGACGACGAGGGAATATCCCACTGAGTATTACGAGGTAACCGTGCAAGGTCAGGTGTCCGAAAGAAGACGAGGGTGGCCGCATCCCAAGGCGGAAGCAGCTCCGAACAGGGAGATAGAAGAAAGAAGAGGAGGAGAAAAAAAAAGAAAAAGCAAAAAGCAAAAACTCGCCAATCCTAGCCCAAGGAAGTAATTGTAAGTGGAAGGGACAAAAGAGGCTTGGGAGGCGGTTTATCAGAGGTGCAGCAGCCGATTTGCAGCCCGCTGGTGAAACCCAATCCTACGCCAAACGGTTTTTGGTGGGTTTCTCGGGCTAAGGCGTGGATGAGAGACCCGAGCCAAGAGAGCTCAGGCCTACCATCGGGACCGAAGGTCCAACCTTGTTTGAATCAACAATGGGATCTTCCATCCCCCCCCACATACACTACATGTCCACGTCCATTAAGACGAGGCCAACTGGTGGTGAGGCGAGAAACGCCGCCCCTTTCCCCTCCACTTTTCCGACCACCTGCCTGTCTAACTCTAGCTATGCCCTTGTTTTTCTCTCACACTCTCTCTCCGTCTCTCTGCCTGTCTGTCTCATTAGTGATGCAAATGAATGGGTCAATCCGCGAAAGGGCTTGACGCAAAAAACAATGGGTGCGGCGGAACCGACCAGTTACTTGTGATTATAGATTGCTCAGCTACGTGCTAGGAAGCCCGATGGGTCCATCTTGGCATTCCCATTGCTTGTCTCACTCAGACTCCCAAGGAACGTATATCCGGCTCTACCGCCCTCTCACTTATACCCACGATGCGATGCGTCTTCCCTCAGCATTGGGAAAATGTGACCCTTGCCGGCCCTTTTCTCCCTATATCCCCTTCCCCTCATCCCACCTCCCCTTCTCTTTGTCTGTTCGCACCCTCGCCAGCCCGTCCCAACATAACGTACCGTATATTCATCCCGCTCCCGTCCATTCTTGTTTCATCCCTGGCCCTTTTTCGCCTTTCTAGATTGGCCCGCCCAAAGGCCGCCTCCCGCCACTCGAGTTGACAACCGCCTGCCTCGCCCGTTGGTTACACATCTGTCTCCCCTCCAGGTGATGGCAGCGCGAGGGATCGAAACCCGGGTCACATATTGGAGAGATTCGCCATCTGCGGTGTACGGAAGATCCCCTACCTCATCTATCCAAAGAGGAAGCGTGGGCACGATAGCATGGTGCGGCCATGTCAAAGATGTGCCAAAGAAACCGCCTACGTCAGCTGCCGCAGCCCTAAGAGGAGCCGACGCTCGGAATATGGCGGTAAAGGTCAGACGAGCAGCAGCAGAGAACCGACTTTTCGTGAGGTCCCACAATATAGGAGCGTCGTCGGTGCTCGTAGAGTTGCGATCGAAGGAGTAGACACCCCATTCACATTCGATTACCTTTCCCCGTCCCCAGAGGGACCTTATCAACCGCCGCGAAGGGGCTTAGTATCTTGTGATGACCAAGAGTTACCGCACCAACACGTCGAGTGAGTGTGACAGGTTCCCTTTTTCCCTTTTATCTTTTTCCCCGTTTCCCCGTTTCCCCTCCCCTCCCCTCGCCCCCTTTTCATCACTTCTTGGCTTGTTTTGTTCGGTTCTTGCCGTGGCTCCCGAGATTCACCTTTCAACAAGGTTGGGCTTGATGTGTTGGATACCCACTAACCGGCGGCCCCATTGCCCTCGCTTTATTAAGAAACCAAAGACTTGTAAGAAACAAGACCGAAAACCAGGTACGCTTACCCTTCCCACCCTTCCCGCCCTTCCATTCCCCTTGTCGTGTCCCAGTCTTTGGACCACCCCCTCCTCCTTTCTTTCCCCCATCCCAAAGACTTTGTTTTTCTTGGCTTGCCCTTGGTGTGCGGCACAGGCTCTTTCTTTTTTTCTTCCCCCAGCTCACACTCATGGGTGGGCGCAGTCACTCGCGTCCAAAGATTCCCAATCCGTCTCCCAGCACGGCCCTGCGACCCACGATGACTTGGCCATGGCTGAGCTTCTCATCTGCGGTCGCCCCAACCATGTGCCCCTCAGGCAACTGCATCCCAGCGTCCCGCAAATCATGTTCCTGTGGAACACCTTTCTCAGCAACGTCGACCCCCTTGTGAAGCTGTTTCACGCGCCCACGGTCCAGGATATGATCTCGCAGGCGACCATGAAGCTGGACGCCCTTTCGCAACCGGCGGAAGCGCTCATGTTCGCCATCTACCTCTGCGCCGTCATGACGATGAACGAGCAGCAGTGCCTCCGAGGTCTGGAAACGTCCAAGGAGACTCTGCTCAAGAGGTTTTCCAACGCGACGCAGCAGGCGCTGGTCAATGCCAAGTTTCTGCAGTACCCCGACGCGGTAAACCTGCAAGCTCTTACCCTATACCTGGTACGTTTTCTTTTTATCCCCCACTCCCCTCACTCCCTCTTTCCGCCCTTCAGAACTTGCCCCTCGCGAGGTTCCGAATGCCAAGTCTTACCATGTGCTCTAGCTCTCCACCCAGTCGTATATAGATCGGCAGGCCTTGTGGCCCCTAGCCGGAGTGGCCGTACGGTTAGGGGAGGCGTTGGGAATCCACGACGAACGGTTGCTCAGAACGCGGCCGCTTTGGGAGGCAGAGCTTTGCCGGAGACTCTGGTCGCAGGTGCTCTTGATCAACGAGTGGTCGGGAAAGTACTCTGAGGAGGCTCCGTCGGGTACCAGAGCACCCTCCAACTGCAACGATGGCGACCTTTCTCCCTTCACGGTCCGGATACCGGACGTGACCGAAGGCGGAACAGACATGCTATTTTGCACGCTTCACAACCGCTTCCGCGCCGTGCTCGGGGCTCTGATGCGGGAAGCCGACCATCGCAGGCGGCTCCCGCGGGGCTCGATGTGGTTCGCGAGCTCGAAGCTACGATGGATAGCCTCACGTGCCGATGCGACCCTTCCATCCCGCTCCACCTCTTCACCGTCCTAATTGGCCGGTACACGATAGCGCGGCTGAGGTTCTCGGTGCGGGCCAACGAGGCGTTTGCCGACCACGTTGACCTCGCCTCGATGCCGGGCGAGACGCGCGGCATCCTCCTCGACAACGCCCTCGCAGTCCTGCGGTTCGACACGGAGATGCGGATGACGCAGGCGATCCGGCCGTTCCTCTGGCACCCCGTGGCTCGGTTCCCGTTTGACGCGTTTGCGTACCTCCTCGCGTCGCTCTGCGCGGGCGTCGAGGGCCCGCGGCACAATGCCGCGTGGGCAGCCGTCAACAGCGCGTACGAGGAGTGCCCCGAGTTCTGCTCCCAGCTGGACAACCCGCTGTACTCGGCGGCGGCGGACCTCGCCGTGGGCGCATGGGAGCGAAGGGTGGCCGGCATGCAAAAAGAGGCGGCTGCTGCTGCGGCGGCGACGACGACGACGACTGACGAGGCCCAGGGGCTCGGCTGCTGCGAGATGGAGCCGCCCGGCAGCACAGAGTTTTCGGCCGCGCGACACGCTATTTCGGCGTTGAAGCAGGCGAGGAGGCGGCGGGGCGGCGAGGGCGCGCTGCTACGACGTCGTATGGGAAGAAGCACTGGGATGTAGAGCGCGGGGACGGCGATGGCGCCGGGTGCGAAGATCAAGATGAAGATGGCGACGGCGACGGCGACGGCGTGGATGACGAGGATGAAGATGACCCGACCCGGCGCGGTGAGGGAAAGGGCCCGCCACAGTTGGCGTGGGCGGTTTGGCAGAGGCTTCTAGAGCAGGCTGGGTATATGCATATTGGCCGCACCTATGGTTGATACCACGAAATAAATGATTTCAATGGAGCGCCTTTTCCCCTTTTTGTTTCTTTGGTTTTTCTTCTTTGGAGAAAAGGAAAGAAAAACAGAGAGATGGAAATATTTCTTTTTTTCCTGGATAATCTAATCTAATTTTCATAACTTCTTAAAAGGCCTCCCGCACTTGCACCAATCCCCATATCCTCTTTCTCTTCACGTCTCTTGTCTCTTGTGACCCCGTTCTACCGAGGTACACTCTCGTCTTCTATTCTGTTAATACTTTGTCTGCTCCCCCCGCGTCGTCACGCCAAGACCTTGCTCCTTCCTCCTTCCTCCTTCCTCCCCTTATTGGGCATCTCCAAAGTTCTCCCTGCCACCGGCAAAGATTTGGTCAAAGTCGTACTCGGACCAGCGAATGTCCGGGCGCAGACCGGCAAACTTCCAGGTGCCGTTGACCTTTTGTACCAGTGGGTGTTGGCGGAGTGGGCGTGGCCCTTGAGGGTGACGCGGGCGGGGCCTCGCCGGGGCGGCCGCGCCCGGGGTCGGGTCCTTGTCGTAGCGCTGGTGGGGCACGCGGAGCTGGTGGTGGCCGATGACCTCGTCGGCGGACACGCGCTCCCAGCGGGACGCGCCGACAAAGTGCTGCGTGCGTAGCGTGGGGTCCCCGAGCACCGAGTTGTCCGAGATCATGGCGATGAAGTCTTCCGAGGGCATGGCCTCCCATATCTTGTCGAGGAAGGAGCGGTAGTCGATCTAGAGATTTTTTCTTAGTCTCCGGACTTGGGTTTTCTCGAGCGGAGGGTTGGGCTGCTTTTCTTTTTACCCGCAGCGAGCGGGTGAGGAGCAAAGTGAAGATTATGGCAAGCAAAAACGAAAAAGGGAAAAAAAAAGAAAAAGAAAACCCCTAAAAGGGAAAGAGTGCTAAGGGAAGTGGCTCGGCGAAAAGGAAAGGGCGAGGACTTACACGAAGAGTTGGGGCGATGCACTTGCGCAGACGGTCCCAGTCCTTGGAGTCGTAGCTGTCCGCCCATTCGTACAGGGCCGCGTTCAGACCAAGGTAATCTAGTAAAGCACCAAAGGAGCCACCATATTAGCACAAAATTTCATGATTTCGACACGATCCCCATTGCCCCTTCGCTTTCTCGCCCACCCAGGCCAGGGGGCCACCGTGCATCTTACCGTCCATGGTGATGGCGGGGATCGAGAGCGTGGTCTCGACCCTCTCGCTCGCGAGGCTCTGGAGCGTGGCGGTGGCGGCCGGGGCCGAGTTCACTGCGGCGGTGGCCATGGTCTCGGTCACGAAGATGGCGGTGGTTGCGAGGAAGGACACGAAGGGGTTAGGCTTCATAAAACAACGGGAACCGAAAAAAGAGCTTGTGGATGTCGAGTGCCCGCGATATCTTGAGAATCATCGGGAAACCCCTTCTGAAGTTGGAAAGAAAAATAAGAAGAAAAAGATCAAAACGGGGATAGATGTCGCGTGGGCAAAGGGATCAAAGTTAGGAAATCCAGCTCTTCGTCCCAAAAGAAAAAAAGAAAAAGGTGGGAGGATTCGTCGTGTCTCTTATATCCAGGTTTTGTTGTGTGTACTAGCTAAAGCCTTCGATCGCCGCTCCTCCCCGAGACACGCGAAATAACCACATCCGCACCCTGCTCCCTCTCCTTCCCATACACATGTACCACGAAAAAAGAAAGCAAGACAAGCCCAAAAAGTGGAGGGATAGCTGCTGCGCAATCCCTCAGTTCTCGCCCCAAGAAAGATCAAAGTGTTTCCCTCGATCCTCTTTTCCCCCTTCTCTCCCAGCGCCACCAAACGGCCCCACGGCTGAACGTCTCTCTTCCCGCGCCCGCATTCGCCCTTTTTTCTCTTCCCCCTTCGCAACAGTAGTACGCGCCTCCCATGTGTGGGACCGCGAATTGGCGTTTCTCGCCTGCTCCGGAGCCCGGTGTGGGGATGTCCCGGAACGCCGCGGGAGGGGAGGGGCGAGGTCCCGCCCAACCCTTTCCGCCACGTCGCCAGGAGCTTTTGTGGTCTCCTCCCCCCCGCCCTCAGTTAGAACCCCCTTCCCCGCAGAACGACCGCAGAAACATATTCCAGAGCTGGCAATTGATGTGTACGAGAAGAGGAGAGAAAGAAAAAAAGAAGAAAAAAAAAACACCGGGACGAGGGAAAAGAGACCATCTCGTTTAAACGCCCCGTGTGAGACTTCCGGTGTGGCTTCAAAGTGCTGGGCCAAAATCCCCAGCCGAAGCTCCCCTTGTCCAATCCCAACGCGAATCCCGCCTGGCCGATCCGGACTGGGCTGGACCCTTGTTTTAGTTGAGGAAGAGGGGGAGGGGGGACAGCTTTCGACAGAGCAGCGAGTAATACAATTGCGTTTCTCCCTGGCTGTTGCACAGGTTACCACGCCCAGCTCTCCTCTCACGTACAAGTATAGAGAGAGATCAACGGATATCAGGTTGCTCTTCAAAATAAAAAACACCCCGATTTTACTTGGCTTCTTTTTTGTTGTTCCCTGACGCACCAACGACGTTGATGTATTACATGACCCGTATTTCCTACAATCCCTGCTTCTTTCGAACCTCCAAGCCGCCTTCAGCCCCCAACTTCCCACTTCCTTCTTCCCAGACTTCTCGTTCTCGCCTGGGCTGAGCAAATGGCACGGGGCATTGACTCATCCGTGGATGGATCCTCTGCTTCCTATTTGCATTTGATGTATTACATGGCGAGTCCCGAGGACGCCTAGAACATGCAACGAACCTGCTTGGAAACGGCACGGACTCAAAAATGGGGCCTGGAGAAGTTTGTTTGCCAACATCTGGATGTACTATTTTTCGCTCGCAGGAGCCCTTGTGTCTCTGATCCCCGAAGCCATTGATCGCTCTCCGCTCAGCATGCATGTGCCACCAGCAAGTCGGGCCTTACGCGCAAGATCATACACACGCGAGCCTACGCAGAGCGGAAAGTAACACTGCTAATCGAAACATGCGGCGAAAAGAAAAGGGTACAAGAGTGGGCGCTTCATCTGGCAAAGGCACTCTACCTGCACTGCTGTCTACATCTACTCTCCGCGCGTACTATCAATATAGTCACAGGGATTTCCACACTCTTCGACATGGTCCATGACGCTCCCCCAAAAATAGTCCTGCTCTCTTCTTCTTCTTTTCTTTCAAAAAGGAAAATGTGGGGAATAATGACTGAGAGAAAAAGGAGGAGAAAAAGGAGAGAAAAAAAGGAAAAAAGGTCAAGCCCCCCTTCTCTCACTCACCCTTGTCCATCACCGAACCCGGGTGAAACGAGCCCGGAGCCCGGAGGCAGGAAAAGGGGCACCAAATAAACACGAGAAGAATATGAAGAAAAGGGAGAAGAAGAAGAAAGAAAAAAAAAGGAACCCGGAACTCCATCGCTCAGGGTCTTTGAACATCAAGTACCCCTAGCTTGTTTTTGGGGAGAGAAAAAGAAACCCCAAATTTGGCAGAAGGAAAAAAAAAAGAAAAAGAAAAAGGTATAAAAGAGGAGGGGCTGCAGATGCCGCCAAGTAGGAGAGAGATATAATAAAGGAATCCCGAAAGAAAAAGCCAAATCAAAGATAATCAGCCAAGGTTATTGGCTGGCCGGCCGCGAATCTTTTTCCCCTTGTTCTATGCACCCGTTACCCTGCGCACCCAGAGGGTGGTGGGTTCATACTCGGCATCGCGGTCCTGTCGCTTATACGCCCTGTGAAGCTTGAGACCAAGCTCATATTCCTCACGCTGCACCTCGGATAGCTCGACCTTGAGGCTCTCAATCTTGACCTTTTCCGCCTCGCGCTTCCTGAGCACCGCGTCGCTGGCCATGAGGTTATCCGTCGGCATCATCTCCGTCATCTTCTTGATGCTCTTGTTGATGTTGAGGCGTCGGTTTGCGAGCGATTGGAGCCGCGCATTGAGGTACCCCACCCTGTCGTTGGCCGGGTTGATCTCCGGAGGCGCCGGCGGGAGCGCCTTGCTCGTCGACGCCACCGAACCCGGGCGAGCGTCGGCGCTGAAAACCGAGGAGCTCGAGTCGCCCCACGTGTTGGATCGCAGGTAGCTGGGAACCGCATCGCGCGGTCCCATGGGCTTGCCGATCGGCGAGGAGCCGCCCCGCGCTCCCGACATGTAGGGCTGGTTCATGGTAATGACAAGGTTGTCCTTTCGACCGGGGGCGAATTCGACAATAGCGAGGAATAAGCCTGCGGTGGCGTTGGCATCGGCGGTCGGTCCACGTCCATAGATGGCTTGGGCGATCCGGTATGGGCCGACGTCGCGTACGTTGTGACGCTAAACCTCGATGGAGGCTGCACCCAACCGTCCTCCGTCGTCGTGCCGGCGCCAGCGGCTGTGGGCACGGTAGCGGTAGCGGTAGCGGGGTGTGCCTCGTGATTGTAACGTTGCTCACGTTTGTCGAGACGTTGGAGTAATTGACCGGCGGCGGGGATCGAACTGCGAGTACACTGACGAGGCTGTCGAGAGGTGGGGGTTGTGGTGGGCCTGAGGTGGTTTGCTGCTCGACTCGGCGCTTGCGCTTGCGCTGGCTCTTGGGGCAAATGAGGTTGGGAGCCCTACTGTGGACGTCGCAGGCTTTCTTCGGATCGCCTTCTCGGGGTCGACGGAAAGAGACGAGGGGGAAGCAGAAGTCGAAAAGGAAAAAGAAGATGCGAAAGGGACGGGCGCCGGGTCCGCGGTCGTAGCAGTAGGAGTAGTAATAGGATGAGGAGGAGGAGAGGAGGTGGTGGTGGCATTGGCCATGGATGGGGGCGTTGGGCTGATTTGGGCTCAGTGGCCCCATCGCATAAGAGGGGGAATTGCAGAGCCCGAGTTGGGGGCTCGGATAGTCTTTCCAAGGGGTGAGTCGAATTGCTAGGGTCGGGGCTAGCAAGGGGAGAGGGCATGTGCTGCTGTTTTCTAGGGGTGGTAGTGGTGGTGGTGGTGGTGGTGGGATCTCCCACCCGACTCAGGGATGTTTCAGACCCGGAAGGGCTAACTGGCGAAAGTGACAACGGGCCTCCAGGGCCGCCCCGCGCGCCTCGGCTCAGGTTTGCCGTGCGCTTGCTGCTCTTTCGGGGAATGTGCACCGGCGGTTCCTGCGGTGTGTCGTGCACCGGGTCCACCAGTGTCACCCGCCCGCTCCCACCCTTCCACTGCGGGCGTTGTGCGAGGCTGGCGGCCCGGGGCGGCCTCGCCGTCGCCGATGGCTGCGCAGACGGCGTCGTCGACCGTTGTACCAGCGGCGGTTCTTCTGGCTCCGGGCTCAGAGTGTGAACCCTCTCAGGGGCCACGGCAACGCTTGGTCCGGCAGCTGCGTCCCCGGCGCGCATCTTTTGACCTTGTCGCTAAAACTGCTCTGAGCACTGCGTAACCTCGAGAGTGCGCTAGCCGCTGGGTTGGAGGCCGGGGCAGCAGCAGCAGAAGCACCAGAAGCCCCCGCGCCATGGCCACCAGCTCCAAACTCCTGGGCGTACTCCGCAGGCTTAACCTGGGCCGAGTATCCTTTGGGACCAAGGGTAGGTTCGCCGGTCATGGCATCCCACTTCATCTCGCGGCCATTGGCCATCTTGAAAACCTGTCTTCCAGTCGCAGACTGGCCCGCGCCTTCTCCTTTCCCAGGTGACGGATACGCCGCAACAGCATCAGATGACAAGCCGGTAGGGGCTGGGCGATCCCGCAAGCGATCCCTTGACTTGGATTCTCTCAATGTGGCGGCCGCAGCTTCCTGGGTTTGCCGGCGTTGACGGCGCATCATTGGGATGTTGCTCTTAGATTGCGACGTCGATGGCTGCCGCGAGGGCCTCTGGTCGAAGCCGGACTTGTCGGGAAACTCGTCAATCGGGGAAACATCGCGCCTAAAAGATCGAAACGAATTTTTGCTCAAGTTAGCAAACCAACTAGGCCAGATGAGCGTGTATATCAATGTCTTTCAAGTTCCCTGCCGCCCCGCCCCCAGAAAAGACCATGCACTATGGCCCAATGATTCTGTCATCGCTGACACCTAGTGCGGCCTCACTCCTCTCTTCTCCTCTGACTGACCAGTCACCAGGTCGACGACAAGATACGCTTCAACCAGCTTCGTCCCCGCGCCTCCTTTCTTTACTTTTCCAATGCTCTGAATCTCAATCCGGAGCAAAGGAAATGCTCGTCAAGAGCCCCCGCCCCCTTCAAAAGGGAGAGGGAAAAGAAAAGAAAAGAAAAGAAAAGAAAAGAAAAGAAAAGAAAAGAAAAGAAAAAAAGGGGACCTTGATTCGCACACAATTTTGAAACTTACCCTTGTTGAACGGCTGCCATCTCGGGCGAGCTCGGCGGCGAGATGCCCTCGCCGCCTGCTCCATAGTAGCCGTAGGTCGCCAGGTTTGCGAAATCGGAAGTGACGAGCGGGTTGTGGGAGTAGACGGACGATGTCGGGCGCCAAGTGGAACTGCGGTCGAGCGTTGGGCGACGGTGAAGGGTCGGTCTCTCGTGCGAGGGTGAAGGAAGAGGCGGAAGAGTTGTCGAGTCAGGGCTTCTAAATGCAAATGGGCGAACAAACGGAACCGCCGCAAGTTAGCGAGGAGCTCGGTGGCCTTTGAAGGCGTCTGTCTGTCTTTCTTTTTCCTTTTCCTCTTTTTCTTTTCTCGATGTAGGAAAGAAAAGGTGGCGCACAATCAATGTGGGAGCAAAAAGGAAGAGAGAGACAAGAGAAAGAGGATTGAAGTGAGTGGCACCAGCGCGAGTTGTTTCTTCGGAACAAAGAAATCGGCGATTAGGAGTGAAGGACTCAAGACTCGAAACAAGAATGAGTGTTGACGAATGAATGTGCCATCGAGCGAAAGAGTTCGCATAAAGGGAGACGGGGGGAGCTGAGGCAAGGGATGGGATCCGGAATGGGAAACGCGAAAAGAGGCCAAGTGCAATAATACACGAAACGGGGGAGGGCAATAATATTATCATTTGGCCGTGCCCGCGATGGGGGCAGGAGCCTAGTCTGTCCAAGGACGAGAGATCAATCAATTGATCCTTGATGTACCTTCTTCCCCCTAGACCAGACGAGACAATCAACTCTCCCCACGCAATCATAATAAAGGAGGGAGGGGTGGAGGCGAGATGGGCGCAGGTCCACCCACTAGTGACCCTGCTATGAAAGAGATCATTGATGGATGGAGCGTGATGGGTGTAGCGAGTTCCCTTCGTCATTTTAGTGATAGGGTATCACTTCATTCGTTACGGCGGGGGCGGAAAGGATCGTTTGAAGAGGAGGGGGTATGGAAAGGGCTCCTCCTCTTTAACACCCCTGTGAGCTTGAGCCAATCTGATCCTAGTCAAAGGCTTTTTTAACGTGCACCATTTCGTCCAGTCTGGTCCCCGATTCTGGTGGAGTCTGGCCTGGCCCTCGACGTCGACGGGAAAAAGGATCAATTGCTCAATGGGCACACGCAAAGGGCACACGCAAAGGACAGCGACCCCAGGTGTCCAAGCATTTCATTGCAACGTCGAGGAGTGTAAAGGTCCGTGTGTAAATATGCCTCTTCAGGCTCGTCTCATTTTCAGATGCACCACATGCACCACATGCAGCCGACTTCGACCTGGCGCAGGAAAGGGGACAAAAATCAGAAGTGAGGCAAGGAGGGAACGGATCATTGATGGGTAACAGACAGGGTCTCGTCGCCCTGAGCTGGAGCGGCGGGGGAGGATCCAGAACCAGAGAGGATCAGTCTTCGGTACTGGTTCTTGACAGAAAATTGAACAGATCAAGTAATAATAGCTTGAGGCTACTCGAAAGCTCTGACGGTGATGGCGCCGCAGTCCCGGATCCAACGCCAACGCTGAACCGAACCGAAATGGGCGGGTTTCACGTTTCCCACGCACTGGACATTGGTTCGGGAGAAATCGGTCGCGTGGAAGAGGGAAGAGGGAAGAGGTTTCAACGGGAAAGAAAACAGGGGGAATAAAAGAATCCAAAAAAGACGGAATATTGAATGCACATGCAAAGTAAGGAGGAACTGTAATAGCAACCACAACAAACGACACAGAGATGAAGTGGGTAGCAACTTGCCACTTCCCACTCGGAACAACGCCAACTAACACGGTGTGCGGAGTCGAGTCTGCAAACGACAACCAAAAGGAACCAGGCAAGGATCAACTCATTGTCTTGTCCAAATAGACCCCCAGGAGGGAGATGAAGCGCAAGGGAAAAGAGAGAAAAGAAAAGAAAAGAAAAAGAGAGAGAGAGAGAAAGATACCAAGAAAGAACGGATGCGCCAACCGAGGTAGGGAAGGACAGGGGAGACCCGCGAGAGGTTGTCTCTCAACAAGCAACTTACAATTCGTCTGGAGTTGGTGGGAGAGCGAAGAGCGGTACGGGAGGGTGCACGTCCGCCTTGTAAAATCTGCTTATGATACCCAAGCCTGGAGGGGTCCGAGGCTGTCGGTCTGCTTCGGCGAGGTTGCGGGCGGGCTGCGTCTCCGTACCGTGGCAGACCACGGGTCTTGGATTCATCCACGGAAGATCTGTCTCGCAGCGAATTCCCACCTTCAAGCTGACATGGTCACGGTAGTCGTCGTTGCCAGGCCGAAAGTGGTGGTGGTTGTAAACCCCGCCGGACCGGGAACTTCGCCGAGGGGGCGGTGGCTGTCCCTGGCGTCTTGTCATGACGAAGCACGAGGGTTTCTCGCCAAAGAGGCTTAAAGGAAAAAGAAGGAAAAGAGAAGAAGAGACAAAGGCGAAAGGAGGGAAAAGGGAAGGAACCGCCCAAGTGTGGGCCGTACGTGAGCGATGGCTTAACTGCTATGAATGCGGTCAGTTGATCACAATGAATAGATATGGATCCATCCGATGTGATCGATGGATGCTTGTGGTTGACGTGCAAAAATGTCAGCCCAGCTTGAAATTCAAAGTTAGCTCAAGTCGCACCGGGTGGCAGAGGCACTAGGAATTGACGTTGAGCTAATAATGCGGGCGTCTGATGGTCACTGCTTCCGACTAGAACTGTTCTGCTGCCGGTTGTACTTGATGTAACGAATCGTCTGAGAATCTAACTGATGATTGACTGCCCACTAAGGCAAACCCGGGATTGGCGTGGACCCTCACGACTGGGTTTTGTGGTACCGCTGTTTTTTCTAGAAGGGGCGGAACCAGAGAGAAGGACGGTGGACCTCTTTGTCCCAAAGTTCGGGTTTCAGGTTGAAGAGAGCGTCGATCAAGCAGAAGGCGATTGGATGGTGAGAACGGCCCCGGTAGGGGTTTCCGAGATTGGGCTAATGTTCAAGAAGACGGGGAAAAAGAAACGAGAACTTCAAGGCAATGAAGGCGCGGTTGAAAAGGTTCATCAATGTCTCTTCTCCAGTCAATACATATATGTAGGGTATCTTTTTCTCAACTGGGAGGGAGGGAAGAAGAGAGGCTGCAGATAAATAATAAAAAATGACAAGAAAAGAGGTGGGCTGGAGGAAATGCGTAGGTGGTGAACCGACTCTGCCGTGAATTGAGGATCGAAGAGCTGAGGGCCAATACTTGGAGACAATTGACTTGCGTGAGGAACTGGCCGCACCCAAGCGCTCGAGGGGGCCGGAAAGAAGAGGCCCTGCAGGGGTTCGCTTTGAAATGTAGCGTGAATGGACCTTGACGTCTTGTTTGTTTGTTGATGCTGTCCTGCTGGGTCTGTCAGGCCATCAATTGATGCGCATGCCGGTCGTTTATATCGAGGCCCGCTCGCGAACCACGGCGCGGCAGATCGCGACTCTTACCACCCAATACCTCGTCTGCCACTTGACGATTTCGTCGCCGCTAGCCACCTCGCAGAAGGCCCCCACGGGGAAGGGCAAAGAAGGGCAAAGGGGAAGAAAAAGAAAGAGAAAAAACGAACAAATTAATAGATGGCAGGCAATGAGAGAGAGGGTTGGCTGGTGCAAGCGATGAATTGTGAGTAGGCCAGGACAGGAATAATACCCGATAATATAGGCTGACTTGTGATAGATGGATGCGTTGGATCTGCGAATGAATCGATATATATTTACGTGTCTATGCGAACCCCCGCCAAGGTGAATGCGAGCACCGCCGCTCCATTTTTCATTCGATGCGCCTAGACACTCGACCGGCAATTGTCGTCTCACTCTCAATATACCAATGGATCCCTTTCCGCTCCCTAGCCCTCCCCGCCCATCGCGGAGTCGGCATCTTTGACTCTCTCAAAGCTGCGAAATGGGCAAAACCCGCATCGCCTCGTATCGTGATGTTTTGACTAATGTCTCTCCTCAGCTCAATCCTTCAAGTCGAGAAAAAAAGAAAAAAAAGAAAACGCGGGAACTTCCTCCTTTTAGTTCGTTACCACCTCTTGTTTCTCCAGCGTTCAGCATAGCGTGATCTAGAGCAGAAAAAGAACATTGAAGAAGAAAAAGAAGAAAAGGAAAGGAAGGAGGGGCACATAGTGCCGGTCTCAGCGCGGTGCTTAACAGCGTGTCTCTCGTGTGGTAAAAGAACATTAAATAAAAAAGGTGGCGGAGGAGTCCCTACAACAGCAGCTGGACGCTGACCCCTCATCACCACACCAGGCGACACAACACGGCTGGCCTCGATCTCGCGGCTGGGCAGCTTCAATGCCACCAACGCGGGGTAGTTCGTGAGGTTGGGGCGGTCTCAGCCGAGCTGGCGGAAGAGCGCGACCTGAAGTGCTCCCCTCCCGGGCCCCAAAGGGGTTTCACGCCCCGCGCAGGCGCCACCGTCTCTCCTCGGGCTGGAACCCGCGCACCAAGGAATTGATTGATATAGATCCCTCCATTAGACCCGGGCCAATACAGGCCAGGCCGATGCTTCAACGCGCACTCTTCTCTTCATCACTGGCACCTCCAGCCCCGTCCAGCCTCATGAACAAACTCATACAAGTAAACTAGACTGGCGACGAAATTGATCCATCAAGCGTGTCCCCTATCGTCAACGACATCCATCCTTCCATCCATCCATCAATCCATAGATGGATACCTCGGTAGATGCCATCCAATATAGCTCTCAAAGAGGTTCGACAGCGCCACTTGAGCGCGGGGCGGTTCGCAAAAGCCCGAGCCAATCGTCCCGCCTTGCTAGCACCAGCTGACAAGTTCAATGGTTCTCACCATCAGCCGTGGTTGAATGAAAGCGTTGACATCCAGTACATGGATCTATCATAGATGCTTCCCAGTCCTTCGCCATTAACCCTATGCCCGAGGACATTGAGCGCGCGTGTCGATTAGTACAAGTACAGAAAGAAAGAGGGCGGCTGGCGGCTGGCTCCCTTGAGCCTATTAATGTGTTTTCCGGCCGCCCGGCCCCAGCCCAACCATTTGCGCGGGCGCGTGCAAACGCACGTCTCAGAAGGCCCGCAATCAGGGCGTTGAGCTCGTTCATTCGAATAGATGGCTCAGCTTGAGACGACGACTTGCTTAGACAGACATACACGATGATTGATCCAGTGCACATCCATACAATGGATATTTGTTCCAATGGTTCCAAAAGAAACGCTTGCGTCCCCGTTGGGCGAGGAGCAAAAGAACGTTCACGTCAACCAACGAAACAAGCTAGGATCTATTCAATCAATTGATTTTCAATGTTGTCACTGATGACGAACTGGCCCGTTCTTTTTTTCTTCTTTCTTTTCCCCTCCGCCCCGTCCCATAACCTACAAAGTCGGGGAGCATAGCTGATATGGAATCGTTGAGGACTCTTCAATCCTACACCCGAGCACCGAGTTCGTCTGTGGCCCGTTTCATCGCCCTCGGCCCTTGGCCCTCCTGAACAACAGCCCCCACATAATGCACCTGATCGAGTGGGTGGATGCAATGGATCTCTCTCTTCTCTTTGTGAAAAAGTCTCTTGCTACCTCCGGGATTCATCAACCGAGGCCCTTCCCGCTTTCCTCGAAAATCATCGTCTCATTCTTCTCATCTCTGGTCTGTTCGCAGCTCCTGCTCGCTCAGCCCGGTTCCGTGAGGACAATATCATGTACATCAATGTCCACTGCCGAAAGATATGTGACGCTTGACAAAGCGTGCGTGGAGTCCGTTCCATCTAGAAACGCGATCTTCTGTGGGCCACATTTCATTAGACCCTTTCCCCGTGCACCCATGATATCTGCCCTACTCTCTCCTTTTGCTGTTTCTTTCTCCTCCTTGTTTTCGTCTCCCAATTTACACCCCCTCTTCCTTTCATTCGCCTCATTTATCGCGCCTTGCAAACAAGGGAACCGAAACGGTTTCATGGAGGCCGATGTGGACGGCGACTTGTCAGAAAGCCTCGGAGGGAGAGGGAGAGAGGAGAGAGAGAGAGAGAGAGAGAGACATCAAGGATGTGAGCACAACGGCACAGATGGAGAATAATCATTTTTAACCACTGCTCCGCTCAGTGGCAGACCGCTTGCGTTCTGAACGCCCACACCATCTATCGAGATGACACGCCAACCCCATAACCGTAGCCATACCCTGCACCAAACTCCTGCACCGTCACGAACCCGTGAGCGGAAAAGTACTCTAGGGATAGTTCGCCATGCTTCAAAACCCGTAGTTATGGTAGCCCATATCAGTAGTAAGCGTTTCTAAGGCCGGGCCACACATGCCTGCCATTGAATTCCAATATCCATATTAGGTTGTAACCATAGCTAGCAGGCCATTATAAAATACACTCTTTTTGGAGGAGAAGGGCCATGGGGGCAATGTTTCCCAGGGCTAGAAAAGAAAAAGAATAAGAAAGGGGGTGGCGGGAATAACAATTGCTCGCAGTTTGGACTTTGGATAGTCAACGTTTTTTCAGGCTTCGCCTACCGGGCTAGGGTAGAACAGGAGGAGCAACTCTCCCTCTGCTAGGAGGCGGTGGGGGAAGTTGTGCTGGAATCATGTCAATATCCGATCCAGAATCCGAGTCCGCATCGGAACCGGTCCGGCCTCGATCGCGTGTTTGCGGGGCGTGGATCTTGCGTGGCCACTTGAGGCTTGACGGACTGTCTACAATCGTGCTTTCCACCCGAGCCCTGCTCGGCGTGGCAAGGCTCAACGCCGGCCTCGAACTAACATGGCTGCTAGGTGGTGAACGAGGGACAGAGACCTGAGCCTGCGGCAGAGGTGCTGCAGCTGACTGGGGGATAGGCCGGGGTGCGGGACCGGGGAGATGAGTTGGCACAGGAGCCATTCCAGGGACTGCTGCCGGTGCCGCTGGTCCCGGTGGAACCCCGGGACAGGAGCCTCTGGCCTCACGGGTTTCCGCGTGGGTGTCTCCAGGGATGAATGTACTCGAGAAATGTCGTCTACTTGGGTTGGCACGGCATCTCCAGCATTCATCCGCGCCTTCTTGCTGTGGTGCATATCATTTGAGCTTGGGGTAGGCGGCGGGTAGGACGTTCCAATCATTCGGGCACGCTGCTCCGCCATCTCAGCCCTGGTCTTTCTCTCCCGCAACTTGACACCATACTTTTTCCGAACCATCGACTGTTTCGTTGCAAGACTGTTTTTCAGGCTGTCGAGCCTTACTTTCAACTCTCCCGGATTCAAAATATCTCGTTGTGCCTGACGCATTCGCTCTGCGTATAGGCTTTCCGCTCCGGCTAGTTGTATATCCATTTCGCGGCGCTGCGCCGACGTTAGGTGTCCGTAGGGATCATGCAACCCCGTGGCGGGACTGCTATTGAGGCGGAGGTTGCCGAAGCGGTCGGCTGTGACGATTGCACTTGGTGGTGGGTAGGGGTGCTCGACGGGTATTGGGGGTAGTGGAGATAAGATGAGGGCGGAGGATGAGAAATCGGCAAGGCCGTTGCAGCGGCCGCTGGTCTTGCCGCACCGTCAATGCGATTCGAGCCGTTCGGCGCATTAGAAGGATGGAACGACTGCCGTAGCTGCGTGACTTGATGGGGTTGCACAGCAGGCTGGGACACAGGGCTACTTCCACCGGACGACACAAGCACGGGCGAGGCTGCCGAGGTGGATGCGTCCCCCGAATGGATCGTTTCTGGTACGCAACACACTCCATTCTCTGCATGGTACGCCAGGCCGTATTTCGTCGAGAAGCCCTGGCCGCATAGATCGCATATAAACCTGGCGCCCACCGTAGGTTTCTGACAGATGCCCTTTTGAGATGCTAGCGTATGGTTAGTTGAAAACAGGGACCAACACCGTGCTGCACGCACCCACTAGGAGGGGAGTGGGTGTCTCAAAGGTAACTTACATGGTCTCGCGGCGCTTCTGTCAAGAACGTCCTAGAGCAGTGTGGGCACGGCATAGGAGCGCTGTTTAAACCGGGTACTGGTGGTGGGTGTTGAGTGGGAGTATGGGGGATAACTCGTGGGAGGGGAGGGTGCGAATGGCCACCGAGCCCGTGTTTCGCTGGCGGTTCGGGGACTCCGTTTTCAATAATATCACCAGAATCGTAGCCAAGGCGCTCCGCCCGAGCGAGCATATTCAGCAAAGGCCTTGCGTCAATTGTCTCCAAACGCCGCCTCATAGCTTTATCAAGTAGGCTATCGGGGGCCTTGGCAACAATAATATCCTCCATGCGGCCAAGCAGGTCCGACTCGGCAGAGCGTATCAGTTCCTCTCCGGCCATCCTCATGAGCCTTGTGCCAAGGACCGCCATGGATGCTTTTGCCGTTTCGTGGCTTACCCGATCTAACGTCGCATTCAGCTGTCACCATCCTTCTAGTTAGCATTATCTCGCTTTCGAACCGTCCTCAGACCCGCCTTTGGCTCCATTATAGGCGGGGCGGACGCTGTCTCTCCCTGTTCGAAGAAAGGAAGAGGAAGAAGGAAGAGGAGGTACTTACAACAAACTGAAGGTGCTCCTTAGACCCCACAAGCGACCTCTCCCAGGAATCTCTAACAAAGCGTTGGAAGGCATGAGGTGAAACCCGAATGATGGTGGCGTAGATGGCATTACACTCGTCGGCGATGGCCTGGGGATCGGCCGGTCGGTCGCTCTGCAATGGGAATCCGAGGCCCTCAATCACATTTTCCGCGGTATATGGACCCGGAACTCCGGAAGGTGACGCGCTCCCGATACGGTCTCCAGAAACCTCGGCAGTAGGAAGGGCGGTGGGGGTCGGCTGAGAAAGGGGGTTGCGGCAGTCATGCTTGCCGGCTGAGATGGTACTGATTCGCGGGGGCCTGGTGGCCTGATGGAGACTGGCGCAGAGGGCACATGGCTCTGCTCGTGCGCTCGAAATACGTGAGTGTGTGGGGAAAGGTGTTCCCGACTAGGCCTGGTCGCGTTTTGGTTCGATTCAACGGTTACAGGTTCGGAAGCCGGGAGCGCTGCTGCGGTATGCCCAGCAGCCAGAGTAGGAGGCACGCGCGGAGCAGGACCTGCCACTTCCGGTCCCCGGGGCGCCATTTCTAGGGTCAGAGGCTCCGCCGGGGTTGAACCCAGCCGCGTCCCTCCTTCGCGGGCCTCCTGCGGCGGAGTACTGCTCGACTGCAGCAACTGTACACTTGGGGTTGGGGTTGGACTCGTTGATGGAGGCTGCGCCGTGGGTCTTTCGAATCCTCCACCGGTCCCGGCTGAAGTAGAGGATGTTGCGGGAACTGTTGCAGAACTTTGGCAGGAGGTTGGAACAACGGGGGAAGGCACTGCCTGCGTTGTCATGCTCCCTCCTGCTGCGATCGAGGTTTGCTGAGGTGGGCTACGGGAAGCAGTGCGCACTGTCCCCATCGTACCTGATACGGGAAGTTCCACGACAGCTCTCCCAACGATGGGCGATCCATCGCCAGTGGTCTGGGCAGGCCCAGTTACGGGTGTGTCACTCATTCTTGGTTTGCCCCCGGGATGACGTGAGAGGGTGCGATTCGCCTAACAGGCAGAGGGAGTAAGTGAAGATTGAAATAGATGTGGCCTTGCTAAGAATCATGAAAAGATTGAGACAAGCGAAGCTGACTAGCTGAACGACAGTGCCTAGTCAAGCGCACAAAAACGTTTCAGTGGGCATGTGCTAGGTGTAGTCCTTGCTGACTTTCATAAAATTCAGCCCGCCCGTATCCAAATACTCGAGCGATGGGAAGCTCCTCCTTTCGTCTGGAGTTTCGATAATGCGCGTACAACTGGCATGCGCCGAGAGGGGACGCCAAACAGCCCAGTAGAAAGGGAAAAGAAAAAGAGTTGGTTGACGATGATGTCGACGATGGAGCTCTTTGACCTATGAAGGTGGGCGGGTGGGCGTACGTTGTGGCTCAGACGCGTCTCTTTGGAGGTAAAAGAGAAAACTGAGTCGAGCCAACACGCCTCACGCACAATACAAGTACAATGAATGTGGGGAGCGCGTTAAGTAGGAATTTGAGCTTGTCGACCAAAAGGGAGACGGCTAGTGTTATAAAAGGGACACTGATAAAGGGAGAATGAGAGTTATAAGAATTATATAATCTATCTAATGGTTAATTTGGATGGGGAACAATTGGTAATTTATAGGATTCTGATTGGGTCTCACTTTTCATCGCTGATATTATATAATATAAATTTATAACCCCCGGTTTTCAGCATTGCTACTTCGTAGTTTGACCAGGGCTTGATGCTATCTACTTCGTACCTCAGCATTAGTAGCTTCACAATGGCTGATGTATCGAGCTATCAATGGCTCCAATTAATATTTAATACCTGACAATTAACGCAATCGACCCGAAGACCACCTTTATGCTTGGATTCAGCCAAAGTAACAACATGTCCGTCCCCTCCCCCATCATGTATTGCTTATGGAGCATGAATGATTTGAGTTCCTTCGCCACTCACTTCGTCTATGTCAGACCCAACCTGTAACTTTAACAAAGGTTTGACACAATTGCTTGTTTCGATGTTTTATCTAATCACCACATTACCCTCCCCAGCCCCAGCGGCTTGCGTCCACAGCACGTGGCCAAGAGCCAACCCAATCGATGCCAAAAACCGAGACCCGAGTATGTCTAGGCTCGGCCCCAACGCCGCATGTGATGCGTCCGGTTTTTCGCCATTGTTGTCACCTTGTTCCTCCGAGTGAAGGATCTCGATATCGTAGTGGAAGCCCGAAGGTGAGCAGATTGTACCATCGGAGGACGGCATCTCGACGCTCCAAATTCCATCCGCGCAGCGCTGCCATGATGATCCCATGCAGTTCCATTGACCTTCCGAACCCCCACACCCTGACCCCGCTGCCTGCCGCGGATGAAGATGCTGCGACGAGGATGTGATGGCGGAAGCAGCGACTGCCAGGGAAGTTCGCCAGCGAGAAACCAGATGAGGATGCCGGCACTCCTTAGACGTCCTGCTTTTTGTCGTATCCGTGCCATGGGAAGCCTACTGTGTAATTCTCGCGGGGATAAACGAGTGGGGGTCGTTATAGTGTGTGCTCAGCAGGTGGTGCTTTGAGTGCCAGATTTAGGTGAATGATCGCTCAAGGTGCATGATTTGTAGTAGAGAAATCGACATATTCCCTTAATCGAGCAATCCTTCCGAGATACTGTAGACTCAACGTTCTATCTGCTGCCTTTTGTATCAATAAGCTTACACTTTTCTCCGACCTCTTAACTCTCCCATCCCTATATCTCGGCCTACACTCTACCCTTCGTCTTCGTCTCCCCACAATCCCGACGTTGCTGCCCAGCGAGGTGGCCAGCAGTTGAGGGCACGCAAGTTCAGACGTGGTGAGATCCCATTGGAACACGCCGAGACCGCTTCTTTGCGCACAATAAAATTTCTCCTTGGAAAAGCTGCCAAGTTATTCCTTCACTCCTCCTCAACACCCGCGCACGGTAGCATACATGTAGAGACGGTCGATCGGAAACTGTTATGGGCGCGAAATGCGATTGGGCATCACCTCACACATGGTCCTTCTTCAAATTACTTAGACTTCGCTGAACTATAATCGCACGACGTGCATGCATTGATCCAGTAGATGTAAGCATGTGAGCTCTCGAGGAGGATCATGTGAGAGGCAGTAAGGCAGATGTAGATAGAGGTACATCTTTTTCAATCAATATTACAATTCATTTCATAAATAGCATACCGTGGTCTACAAAGAGACTAAAAATATCTAAGAATCTAACAGCTGTTTATGCGAAGAACACCAATCATACACCTAACGTAATCTTGAAATACTTGTAAATGCATCAACGCTTCCCAGCCCTTGGTCCGCGCCTTCATGACGAAGAGGAAAAGAAAAAAAAACAAGAAGAAAAAATGCAGCACCGCCATAAAAGGATGCATATTAGAAACGGTAATGCCCTCGCCGCTAGGAACACGTTAGGGCCGCTGGCCGTTCAAGCGCGTATAGTATCGATAAAGACTGCAAATCCGAAGAGAGATCGGGATCCTTAGTCGTCTTGTCGGGGTTCATAAGCCACTGTTCCATTCCACGAGGGAGTAACTATTTGGGTAGGTACGCTTGGGGATTGGCCAGCGGATGATGAGGAAGAGTCAGCCACTCCGGTTACAAGTGCAATGCCAACAACGCCTCGAGCGGTTGTAGGAGTTGCATCCCACGCCGGTGCTGGCTCCCAATCATACACAAGTGCGCTTGGCTGGGGCGCTGATTCAAGTGATGTACCTGCAGCAGGCTGTGGAACAAGAACGGGAAGTGGGGTTGGTAGCTCATTCGCCGAAGCGGTGCTTGCCGCCTCTTCCCAACCGGACGTCGGAGCCTCGCTCACCACACCATCCATAGTCGAAGACCACTCCAACTCCGGCTCGGGCGCAGTCAAGGCAGCGCGGTCGTAGCAGAGGCGTCCTCTGGGACAGATGGTGCAAAGATGACCGAGGGCGTGGGGTTCGTTAGAAGGGTTGTGGAAGAGAGGGTTGATACGGAGATGCTGATGACGGTGGAAGTCGGTATTGTGAGATGAGTAGAGGACTTCAAAGTAGAGGGCGCTGGGTTGTTATGGTAGACAGTCACCGTCGCTTGGCTTTGGTGGTGTGTCTCCTTGACCCCAACCACAGGAACAGCTGCCGTATCTAGACGTTGGTTCTCGTCGGCAGCCGTCTCAGAGGAAGGGCTAGGCTCGGATTCTTGGACCTGTGTGGCTGTGATGGGAAGCGCCGACTGTCGAGTGATGGTATGCGTTACCGTCGACCCAATCTCATTGCCGCTATCAGCATTCGCGTTATCAGAGAACCCGGGAACATCAGCCTCTGGGTCTGCTATGTTAACAACCGGATAGTCTGGACTAGGCTGTCCCAGGCTACGTGCCCGCAGGCCAAAGGGAGGCCTGACGTGAGCCAGTAGTGCGTAGAGAGTGTGAGGAATAGGCGGGAAGATGCAGAGATCTTCATCTTTCTAACAGGACAACCCTAGAAGGGTTTGGATGCCGGGTGGTATCGGTAGCGGTGGCTGTGGCGGTTGTGGTGGTGTGTAAGCCAGGGAATTAATTGACCACAAACTTATTGAATGTTTTAAAGCCCAGAATGGATATCTTCAGCTTGAGGGCCAAATGTTGAAGATTGGAATGAAGAGCACGCGGCCAATTCTTTAGTTGAACTTATAATAGCGGTGCGTGTTCATGTGGAAAATTAGGAACCCTCGCTTAGGCCACGGCATTACTTTATGAGGATTTACAATTGCTTGTGATATTTCTTTTTCTTGAGGAAATCCAGAAGGCTGGTTGTTAGCGGAGTCCGGCGATGCTATCCCGGCCCGCAATTTGCGCACACTAGGAACATAGCGTAGTTTGGAGAGGTTGGGCAAGCAGAAAAATGGGACGAAGATTGATCTGTGCACTGCGTGGACCTTGACTGCCACAAATGTGTGCACTCTGTTCCTGTGTGCCTGGCGTTATGCCGCTTTTGGGATCACCAGCCACCTTTTTCCTGAGCTCTGATTGGCCACCACTACAAAAGGCATCTTTCTCACCATCGCGTCGCGCGATTGTGGATCGTACCTACTCCCTACATGTCTGTTCTGGAACTCAGGTTCCAGAAAACCGATATCCTGGTGGTATTGGTATCCCTTAGCGCCTTTCCCTTGCGCCGTTGACTCAAGGAAATTGGGAAAATCGGCCACAGGAGGCCCCGCATCTTCGTGGCAAGAGACGAGAAAGGGCGTGGCAGCCCTGAAGTCGTCGCATGGGGAGGTTGAGGGCGAGACATGAGCGAAATTTGTGGCAGTGCAAGACCACCGCCACAACATCTTGTGATATTGCCCCGCATCATGACATAACTGGTCGAAGGTGTTCGCATGTGGGGTCTCTCTGCCCCTCAAGCCCCTCCCTGCCCTCCCTCCTCGCTGGAAGTGTACTTAGGTCGTCGATGTGTTGTGGATGACGTACTCATAAGCGAGGATTTCCACCTTGAAGAAGGCAGGAGGGGCACAGCAGAAAAGAAGCTGCAGAGGCGTATTCCGCAAGTGCTCTCGAGTTTGGGCTGGAAGAGCATTCTCGTGTAGTTGTTGCTCATGGATTCGATCAAACTTTTCGTGACGCCCGGCATCTTCTCCGCGCAAGAAAATACGGAATTTGCCAAATATGTCTAGGCTGCTTCGAAACCCGGGAATCGCTCTTAGCTCGGGGCTGTAGTGCTGCTTGCGCAGGTTTGGGTCGAACCAGTCAATCAATAACAGGAAGCCACCAACGATTACGTACCAGCCGGCTTAGCTTCTGAGCCTTGGCTTGCCCCCTCCCGTACTTCGCCTGGAGGTGGCACGTATATCTCAAGCTTGTTCGCCCCTGTCCAAGCGATCTTTTCTCTCGTGCTGCGCCGCGATTCCAGAAGAACTTAAAAACAAGCCGACACCTTCGTCACCAAACCAAAACTGAATCGGCGTCTTTCCCCTCGCACCTAGTCCCTTTTTTTCTTCACTTTTCTTTTTTTCCCTCGCTTAGAGCAATGTCGTACCCACCCTATCAGGGCTATGGCCGTGAGTAACGACCCTTTGAAACTTCGTCTGTTTGTTTTACTGCCAGACTAACGACTCTGTTTTTCCAGAGCCCCTCAGCAAGGCTATAACCAACCGCCAGGCCAGTACTATCAGCCTCCTCCTCAAGGCCAAGGCCACTACGGTCAACCCCCTCCCAACCAATATCCTCCCCAGAACCAGCAATATGGCGGTTACGCACCTCCCCGCCCCAGCAAGGCCATGGATACCATCAACAGCAGCCCCCTCCCCACGGGCAATACGGCCACCCGCCTGCCCCTTATGGTGCCCCCCGCACTCCCCGCAGCCCTACGGCGCCCCCTCCCGGACAGTATGGCGCGCCCTCCCGGCCAATACGGTGCGCCACCTCCCGGCCAATACGCTCCTCCTCCTGGCCAGTACGGCGCTCCCCTCCAGGGCAATACGGCGCACCTCCGGCAAGCAATCAGTATCCCCCATGGAGCTCAGTTTCCTCCAACCCCTGCCAGCCCGGGCTACGGCCCTCCTCAAATCATCAACTGGGACGCCACAGCCGACGCGCAAACCTGTCGAGCCGCGATGAAGGGATTTGGTACGGACGAGAAGCTCCTCATACGGGCAATCGCCTCTAAAGACCCCCACCAAATTGAAGCTTTGAAGGCTAGTTTCCAACGGCAGTTCAACCGCGATCTCGTGCGGGATATCGAGAAGGAAACGAGCGGGAACCTGGAGTACGGTCTTATGGCAGTAGCACGAGGCCCCCTTCTCAACGACGTGCACACCCTCCGGGACGCCCTGAAGGGCATGGGCACCAATGAAGCTCTTCTCAATGATGTGCTACTCTCCCGGTCCAATGCCGATATCCAGGCCATCAAATCTACGTACTCAAAAACGTTTGCCCGTCGCTTAGAAGATGATGTCAAGAGTGACTTGAGCGGCAAGACGGAGCGACACTTTTTAATGGTCCTTGCTGCTACGAGAGCGGAGGATGCTGCACCCGTCGTACCGCAGCAGATCGACCAGGATGTTCTCGAGATCTACAAGGCTACTGAGGGTCGCATGGGGACAGACGAGCTACTTATATGTAGCATCTTCACGTCGAGAAACGACAACCAACTGCGCGCCATTGCCCATGCTTATCAACAAAGATATAGCAAAAGCTTAGAGCAAGTGATCAAGAGTGTATGTAGCTACCCTCTATCCTTTTCCCCTCTGTGAAATCCCTTATACTAACCTCCCATGTTGTAGGAATTCTCGGGCCATATGGAAGATGCTCTACTCTACCAGCTCCGCCAAGCGAACGACAAGTATATGCATGCCGCGACACTCCTAGAGGCTACCATGGCTGGTGCTGGAACGAGAGATAAGCTTCTCGCCTCCCGCGTTGTCCGTTACCACTGGGACAGCAACGCACTCAACAACATTCGTGGCGCATACTCGCAACGCTTCGGCAAAGACCTGGCAAGGCGTATCAAGGGCGAAACGAGCGGCGATTTCGAAAGGTTCCTGCTGTCTTGCATTGGAGAGTCTATCTAAGTGGTCAACATATTGTAACCCTTTTCCTTTTTCTGGCAACCTTCAGTCCCTTCTTTACATCTACCGCTTTCGGGGTCTACTGAATTGGCTATGTATCTTTGTGCTTTTCCCCATATTTCATCTTTCCCTTCTTGTTATTGCTCATTTGATGATACCCCGGTGTAAACGCTCACCAGGCCATGAACTAAGTGTCATTAAGACAATGGATCCATTACACGTAAACCCCATGTGGTGGAGGCGGAAGAGTGGCGTTGAACGGGTTCTCATTTCGTGTTACGAAATTTCAGCATCTTTTTCACCATCATTAAGAGTTATTCCTAGTAAGAAAAAGTTTTCTCGGTACTAGTGCTATGTGTGACCTATACCTTGAAATGTGATGCCGCCAAAGGGGACTGTGATCGCGTAAATGCTTTGACAGCGACTGCTCGGCACGGGATGTACCCGAGGATCTAGCTGAGGTATATGTTATCCCTTTTGATGGGTAGGATAGGCGGGACCAATGGCTTTCTCTCCAGGGGTGGAAATTATATCTTCTTGTGCTGGACTCTCAATCTCCCTCTCAACTCCTCCACTAGAATGAGGTAGATCGTCGCGCCTCATTTTCCAGCCTCCGCTCCAGCCGAACCAACCAGGTTCACGAGGTCCCTTAAACAGGCAGACTAGGATAGCCGAACCGATAAAAGCCACTAGAATCAGTGCAAGGTGTCAGCTGGCGGATGGGAAAACTTTTGCACCAGAAACATAGAAAGGTGAAGAAAGAGATAAGCATGGGTAGGGTACACGCACTGCAAATACCGCCGCTCCAAGTCCAGCCACCCTCGTGGTAAAGCCGGTTTCCGATAGCGGTACCGGAAAGTTGGCCGCAGAAGGCCATGACCATGTACGCGGTGTTAAGCCTGTTTCGAGCCTTGGGGTCGATGGTGTAAATGGCTGTGCGATTGGCGGTCTGGGCCATCTGGATGCCCACGTCGACGGCAACTGCCTGTATAACGGGCCCCGCAATGGTGGAATTACCTGTAAAGGTACTAATCGTGATGCCGCAGAAGGCAATGATTAGGCCGAGGAGAGAAGAAAGCCAAGGGACGTAGCGATCAGTGACTAGGCGGCCGTAAAGGGCCCACCTGCGATGGACGCGATGCCGATGAGGGAAAAGAGACCTATTGTCAGCGAGGAGTAGTTATAGGGAGGAGAGGAGAGGAGAAATGTCAGGGTTGTCCAGAAGGCTGTGAAGGAGGCACTCATGAAGAGGGCGATGAGGCAGGCCTGGACGAGCAGTGGCTGGGTGAAGAGCATGTGAACGATGGACCACAAAACGCGGGTGTAGCGAAGCCCGTTAGGATTTGTGGACGGATAGTCGGGCATGAAGAAGTAAAGGGCAACCAGGAGTAGGTGCTGAGCCCCGAAAGAGAACCAATAAACATTGCGCCAATCCGTGTAGTTAGAGACGATACCAGACAGGAGGCGGGCGACGAGCATCCCGAGCATCAAACCAGAGACAACGATGGAGATGGAACTGGCCTTGCGGTGAGGAGGAGCGAAATCGCCGACGAGGGGCAACATGAGCTGTGGGGTAACGGTAGTCGCGCCACAGAGGAAGGAGAGAGCGGAGAAGACAGTGAAGTTGTTGGTGATGCAGAGACCCAACCACTGACACGAGGCATGTTAGTTTGCCAAGATGAAGATCTCATCATGGCCCGCATCCTTTTGGGGGAGAGGGGGAAAAGTGAAAGAAACGAAAGGCAGGGAGTAAAAGATAGGACAAGGTAAAGGAATCGGGGAAGAGTATATTTGCGAGAAAGCTTACAAGCATGGCGGTGCCCCATATTAGGGCTAGGATAAAGGGGCGTCTCCTTACGATGTCCCCGAGGGGGCATATAAAAAGCAACCCAGAGGCGTAGCCGGCTTGGAGGAGTGTGGCCACGGAAGAGGCTTTTTCGTGGGTAACATTAAAGGTCTCTGCTATCTTATTCAAGACCGGTTGATTGTAGTACAGAGTGGCCACGGTGAAACAAGCGGACTGTGACGGTAAGCTTAGACAATCTTCGCGATGAGCAAGACTAGAGAAAGCCAAGGCCATCAGCGAAGGCGGGATGCATAGACACCAGTACTCACGAAGCCATAGAGGATATTCAAAGTCATTGTGAAGGGTGGCGGGTTTTTGGGATCAAACCTGCACCGCGGGGGTCCAGGTGATCGCTCGTCGTAGGATCTTCAAGAGCCCAGACCATTGCCGGTGCGGCGGCTCTGTTTCTGCTGGAGAATTGTCAAGGTCTTCCGCCGAGGCCACGGAAAGGGGCGTCTCGAGACTAGCCTTGCCACCGTTGTCCTTCCCTTCGTGCGTACTTCCCGCCCGGGTTAAGTTGGGGTGGTGGTTGGCCCCAGAGCTTGCAGCGTCTCGGGGCCCATCCTTCCCGGGAGGAGAGCTAGGCCTCGCCACATCATCGCTTGGGGATACCATCGTGATAAGTGACCATGGGTAGATGAAATGGTACGAGGATTTTGTGCTCCGCGTCACACAGTCTATCACTCGCTGGGCAGCGGCCTCATATGTTTGAAATGCGGCGATGGGTTCATTACATTTGAGTATTACAGGCACTAGGGAAGTAGCAGCACGTTAAGTAAAAAGATGAAAGAAACGAACGCCGGGTCTTGAGGATAACCGTGAAGGCCTCGGGCGAATAGGGTCAAGAGGAGCGAGGTGAGTTTCCTCCTCCCCGGAGCCCAGCGAGTGCGGAGTCCCTTGCCCCCCTCCATCTTGTAGCACATCATTGACGGACCCGCATCTCTCGATTTCGGGTGTAGACAACCGGGTTGAATTTTTTCCTTCCCTTTTGGGGTACTAGAATTAATAATGTGAAGGGAAAGGATGGTATATGCCGAAGAAGTCCGTTTTCTTCTCGACCAATGCAAGGAGCCATCATTGAGCCACTAGCCCTGACTGGCTTGGTGTATTCGGAGCTTTCTGTGGGCACCGGTGGTGAGGAGGTAGCCGGGGGCGGACAGGGTTACACAACATCTGTGAAATCCTCGAGATGCATTCTCGAAAGGGAAAATCCGCTTCTCAATTGTTGGGGTGGGAGATGCCCGCCTTGAATATCGGAGAGCGGAGAACTGCGGACTTCCAATGGTCACTCAAGTCCCTTGCTTTTTCGAGATGGAGGTGTCCGGAAACCTCCCGGCAGCGGTAGCGGCAGCGGGGTGGAGGGCCTGCTGAGTCACTCCTGACCCATTCAATGCTCCAACCGCTCTGACCCACACATTCTCAAGAACGGTTTATAAGATGAAATTAGAGACGGCAAAGTAACATCCGATGTAGTATAGTGGTTAGTATACTGCGCTTTCATTGAAAGGCACCGCAGGGGCCGGGGTTCGATTCCCGCATCGGAGTTCATCGATTCTTTTTTTTTTTCTCTTCATGCTTATCTATCGCTATCTATCCCTGCTGCTAGCCTGAGACTGGTTTCTTTCTCTTCCCCTACTTGATTGATTGCACTTGGTTCATTTTTATTACCCTCCCTCCTCACCTTACTTTCTCGTAGGTTCTATTGCATTTTTGAGGTTGCTCGAGGTATAGGCCAGTCAGTGAAGGGCTCTCTCCTCATGCCCTCCTCCTCTTAATTCCTCCCTAGTGGGTCGATGTTGGGAGGGAGGTGACTATCAACACAAGCCCGATTAACGTTAGTCATCAACGCAGACGAACGGGGCCAAAACTCCCCAAGAAAAACTGGTGTCAATATTTTCCTTCTTTTTTTCCTTCTCAAAAATATGCACCCTTGCCCGAGAACTGTTCCCGCTCCATGCCGAGCTCTTCTCTTGCGAGGAAGACGGTGGAAGAATTCTTCTACCGTCCTCTGATCAGGGTGCTATAGTAGTATTGTATTCCGTCCGTTTGAAGGTAGTCATAGCTTTCGCCCTGACGGCTCCCTATGGTAGTGACGGCAACATGAACGATTCTTTTCGTCCTTTTACCTTGCGCTGTCATTATATTCCTGTCTCTCGTTCTAAGGGGAGACAGGGAGTAGTGAAAGCTTGAGGAAGGCCTTGAGTGGCGAAACGCGAGGTTCAATTCACCGGCAAATACTGTTTGTGCTAGCCTGTTGACATATTCGTTGAATATACTTCCCCCTCCTGCGCAACGATAGTTGTAGAGTAGCCCTTTACTGCCAGGTTGAATTGATTCTGTTGATTCTCTCTAGTGTGATCTCCCTAATTACCACAAAACCATCAAATGGTGAATTTCTCTGGTCATTGCGAATGTAACTAACCTCCGCCTCCTCTCAACACCAACCACATCCATCAAACATAAGCCCCTAAATGAAAAAGCTATATATACTCTATGCCTTCATGGTCTCTCAGGGCGGCGAGCTCGTCTCACGAATCGTCCATCATTTCCAAGTCCTTCTTAGCCCGTCTTATAGTACTGAGCTGGCACAAATGGCATCTTGGTGACTACCGCAGCTCGCTTCTTTCCTCTCACGAGAACGTCGACCTCGGTACCCGCCTTGTGGAGACCATCCTTGATGTAGCCCATCGCGATGTTCTTGCCCAATGTCGGGCTGGGAGAGCCGCTAGTGATGACGCCGATCTTTTCGCCTTCCTTGCTGTGGATCTCAACGCCCTCGCGAGCAGGGGCACCGCTAACTGTCAATCCCACGCGGCGCCTTTGAACCCCTTTGCCACCCTTGGATTTCGGGGTGAGCTGGGGGAGGATCTCTTCAGCCCCGTTGAAACCACCAGCCTTGCGTCGGTCCGGAGAGATAATCCACGAAAGTCCCGCCTCCACTGGGGTCGTTGAATCGTCAAGGTCATGGCCGTAAAGGCACATACCCGCCTCGAGCCGGAGGCTATCTCGGGCACCGAGACCGGCGAGCTGGAGCCTCTCAGGGCCTGCAGCCTCGAGCAGGGCCTCGGCGAGGGCCGAGACTTCCTGTACTAGGTTGCCCTTGCCATCGGGGATGATGAGCGAGATCTCGAACCCGTCCTCGCCCGTGTAGCCCCCACGGCTGATGAGGAGATCCCTCGTCTTGGAGCCATCAGCCAACCGAAGCTGGGCATAGAAAGAGGTGCCAAAGTAAACATTTCCGAGATCAATGCTACCTTCAATAAGGTTTCGGAGTATACCCTCACTCTCAGGCCCCTGAAGAGCCAGGAGCCCGACGTTCTCCTCTACCTTCCAGACATCCTTCGCGGAGATCCCCATGCCTTGTAATTGCTCTCCAATGAACTGAAGGTCCTTGTCCCGGCACGCCGCGTTGGACACGACGTAGAAATTGTCGCCCTGCAGCCGGGTGACCATCAAGTCGTCCACTATGCCCCCGGTCCCCGGCCATAACAAGGCACTTAGCCTTGATTGCATCTCCCCGAGAGCGCCTGTGTCTACAGGCGTCATCCGCTCGAGGGCCTCGGCCGCCGCCGGCCCGCTGAACGTGTGCTGCACCATGTGACTCACGTCAAACAAGCTCGCTTTGGTCCGGGTGAAATGATGGGAGTCGCCCACGCTGAGACTCGAGTACTGTACGGGCATTGAATAGCCCGCAAAGGGCACCATCTTGCCCCCGTGCGACGTGCAGGTCATATAGCGGGGTCTTCTTGACCGCCTGGGAGGACGAGGGTGAGGTCGATGCCCATCGAGCTGAGGCGGACGGGAGGATTCTGCAAGTCGGGCTCTTGAAAGCAGTCGCCTGCCGTGTGGCGGAGAGGGCGGTACGTAATTTCGCCATGCTATTGTACGAATTGCCCTGTGAGCCGAGGTAATTTGACGATGGTGATGATGTGATGTGAGCCAGGAAATGTGGGTTGTGAAAAGGGAAATTCTTCAAGGAACAAACATACGGAAATTGTAAGGGGAAAAAAAGAGTTAGATCCTCGAAAATCCGCACTTCCTCGATATATCTATAGTGCTCACGGTTTCTTCGTGGTTGAAGCTCTTGTTCACCGAGCTTACCAAAAGCTTCAATTCGATGAAAGGTAGTACTTCGGGAGAGCGAGGCTCTCAACTAAACGGATCCACCCGTGTGATGTGCGAGCTTCCGGTTCTAGCCATAACAACCAGTCGCTGGATTGATCGGCTTGAGTCGGTGAATCACAAGGGCCGAGCTTTCGATTGGTGGGGGACAAGCCTAATAGATGTGGGCCAACCGCCGCTTACTTACAGCATAGGTCATGCACACTTGCCGGTGCAAGCTCGACGTCGAATTGCGAAATTGACTTGAATTGGGAGGGGGAAAATAGCACAACACTTCGTCAGATCTGATTAAGCTGAAGTGAGACCGATTTAGCTACTGGCAAGCGCCCCCGCCAGCCACAGGATGCGTGAGGCTGTTCACGGGGGCAAATGTCATCGACATTATTTCATTAACATTGAGCTCTTGAACTCAAGACGATGATGATTCCTGCCATTTGTGCGCCCTGCTCCCCTCATACGACCTCCACGCCTCTTGAGGGTTGTGAAATCACACCAAAAAAAAAAAAAAGAAGAAAAAGAAGGACCAAAAAGGGCGGGGATGGGAGTTGGTGAACAGCCCTGGGCTTGCCTGTAGACGTTTGAGCACCCCATGAAACGATAAGCAAACGCCGAAAGCGACTTGAGCTCTCCTCGGCCTAGGATCTCAGTCTAATCCTTTGACGCGTCATTGGTCGGTGCAATAACTCTGAGCTCAGGAGTCCTCTAGGCTATTTGCTACTCTCAAAGCTGTACTTTAGCCACCCACCCAGAGCCCGCAAGCTCTCCCACCTTACATTCTCATCCGCCTCAGCCATGAGTTCCATGACGCGCTTCTTCAACCCCAATTTTTCCAGCTGATGTCTCCTCTCGGGTGCCTCCCTAACGAGCCAGCCAATATCGCTGCATGCAATGGCAAGAACAGCCTTGTCCTGGTCCCATGGCTTAGCCATAATTTCCATTAGCTTAGGAAGCACGCCATTCTCATGCTCGAGAATCTTCCGTGCATTCTCAGCCCAGAACATGGCGTTGCGGTGAGGCGGAGACCATCGAAGATGTCCTGAATTAACCTCTGCCACATATTCATCAAACGTTGTCTTGGTCTGGGTATACTCCTCGAGAAGCTCCTGTAGTAACGCAAGATCCTCGAGGAGGTCCGGGTCAGTAAAATGACGGCCCGAGAGGTTATCAAGTAGACTCGGAAGCCTAGCTAAGACGGCTGTAGGGAGAAGGGATGTTTGATTCTTCTCAAGCAAGTTCCAGAGAGTGGCGATGATGAGACGCGATGTCTTCTCCTTGGGAGAGACTCGAAGAAGCTGGGTATATAAAATAACGATGTCATACTCGCTATAGTTCATGTGCGTATTAGACTTGGTATGCTCGGCTATGCGTGGGATCGCCTTGGACTAGGGATGCTAAAGCAGAAATTTCTACTTACTCATCGAGTGCATCGCCGACTTTGGAAGCTTCGAAGCTAAGCTGCCACAGGACCAGAAGGACATGATAGAGGAGCTGTAGACCAACCCCGCCGCTTAGTTGACTGTCTGCTCCAGATCGAATGTTCGCGCTTCCACTCCATAGACTCGATGTATTCTGTGACCCCACTCCGGCAGCCGCTCGGAGGATATCAGTCAGGGGTTTGACGGTCTCATCTCGCTGCTCCCAGAATTGGCGGCGGGTTTTGTAGGAATATAGGACGGTAGAGAACTGCTGGACAGCAATGTCCTGCTTTGAAGCGTCGTTGCTCGTGATCAGACCGGAAAGATAGGTAAGCACCTCGGGGAGTGCACGTTGGGTCGCGGTAGATTCATCGCGAGCACTAGCCATAAGGCTTGTAAGAACTTTTGCAGTAAGAAGTGGAATGGGGTCGTCGAGAGTCTTAGAATTTCCGATGAGTGGCCGGAAGGGATGATACGGGTCGTCTGAACGAAGCAAACTCTTGGCCAAGCTTGGAGCGTCTAGAAGTAAAAGCAAAATAAGTCTCAGCAAGCCTAGCGGGGAGGGTAGCGGCGATGAGAGAAGTAGAGGATGCGAAGAAGGCAAGGGGGAGAAAATTAAGGCCTCGGTGGGGAAGACAGGCAAAGTTGGCTGCCGGAGCACGGTGAGGTAATAAGGGAGGGGCACGATCATAACGCACATTCTACGATGTCGCCAAGAAGGACAAGAAGATACTGCACCATGGCTGGTTGCTTTGCGGCCGTCTCAAAGACGCTGGCGCGCGAATCAGCCCGATTACCGGCAAAAAGCGCTGTGTAGCTCGCGAGATCATTTTCGATGGTCGCCTTCTTTTCCTCGATTTTCTTGGCGCGGTCGATCGCGCGGATGAGGGCTAGTTGGCCATCTGTAACTAAACCAGATCGCACAGCCCCCTCCCAGGGAATAGGGCGTTGGCGGATGTTGTTCTGGAGCGAGGCCAGGTAGGTGGGTGCCTCGAGGGCCATTCCGAGGGTAAGGGTCTGCGAGGGTGGTCGCAGCGAGGCTGTGGGGGTTTATAAGCGGGAAATAACGAGCACGGTTCTCCTGCCCCAAAGACGAGGCTGGCTTGAGCCTACTGTTAAGGAATAAATTGCAAAAAAGAAGGTGAAAGGGAAAGAGTTCGACAATCTGCAGGCACAGAGCGTCGTCTCGCCTGGTTGACAAGCCAGGGGGTTGTTGGCTTTGAGGGTGGCTAAGGAAGATTGAAGCAGAAATTGATGATGTTGGATGGACAGGGAGCTTGGGTGACGTCGGAACTTGAGCAGCGTAGGTTGAGCTAGGCAGAATGATTGGGGGAGGGGAGCAAGTTGGCTGACTGCACGGTCTCACTGTGCGCCAGTGTATGCTAGGTCTGCCCGCACGGCTTTATCTCCTCCTTGCGCTTTCCGCGGCTCCGCGAAGGGAGGTTGTGGAGAGATAGATCTTGGTGTCGGTTACTTTCCGAGGTAGGACACCAGACTTCGAAACAAAAATAAAATAAAACAAAATCCCCCATCACTCACTAAAAGCTAGGAGGACTAGAGTGCCCTTTGAGTGGGATTTAGAAGTCGGAAGGGTAAAACCCCTCCAAGCATAAATCTATGAGGAAGCCTCGGTGCCGCTTTTAATTTTGAGGCCGGAGTCCAAAGCAAAAATAAGGACAACCTCAAAAGATTTTGCTATCTTTGACCTGCTTTTCAAGGTTTCCTCCAAGATTTCCTCGTCTCTGATACAGAGTGAGTTGGGTTGGTAACTGACCAGTGCCCGCCCGAGGTTTCAATAAGCAGTCCATCCGCCACCATATCCCCGTCCGTCATGCATGATGAGGGTTAACTATTGCTCAATCTCGTGTCCTCTCCAGATGGCAATCAAAGAATTCCACGCACATCTCTTCTCGTTTCTACTAGGCTTGAATTGTCTGGACTCGACGAGTACGATTTAGGCTTTTTTCTTGCTCCGTTTTCCCCCTCTTGCAGAGCTTGCTTGGCGAGTGATTGACCTGTGTCTTAGCTTGTTCTTCTTGCCGGGTGTCTTGCAGCTATCAGCAATGGCGTCCCGGGAGTGTCTCTCTTTCGCCCGGGCCCTGCATTAAAGTTGCAGATGAGGCTCAAATTTCTGTCCGTTCCCTCGTCGTAAAGGACGGCATTTTTGTTAGCGGTTCCTCTTTCACACAAAAGCATCCTGGAGAGTGACAGAAACGCTGGTAGGCTTGACGGAGTCTATTCGCCTCGCTGCCCCCATGTTAATAATTACATAGCTGCCAGTGAAATATTTGCTGCGCCCTGGTAGGTAGGCATGCTACATAACAAATGATAAACGGGTCAATCTATCGATGGATTGATCCATTGACCATTAGCGGGCCGCTGATCACTCCGGGTGGTGACAACGGACTGTCGCTGGGGTGGGCTCAAGGCGTGTTTGCCAGGTTCAAGCTTGACTCCTCTGGTGCCTCAAGAGTATTCCCACCGCCATTTTAGTGTGGGGTCCGGGGAGCTGAAAGGGGAACCGAAGAGCTCGTCAAGTGGAGACGAACCACCTCACCTTGCAGCTCAAGCCGATGCGCGCCCAACTTGGAAACTCGTCACCAAGAGCGGCGGGCGCCCAACGACCTTTAGGAGCACTATAGCCCGAGGGTTGTGCTCTGATATGGCTCAATTTGAGCAACCTGAGAGGACATTTCAACCCAACGTGGAGGGTTTGTTCAAGCATTTGGTGGTCTACTCGCTCCCATGCTCCGTTCAAGGCTGGGCCAGACATTGGAAAATGCACCACCAGTGGAAGAATAAATCCCGCCATGGGTTCGGAGCATGTTGGAGGGGTTTAGGCGAATCAAAGCCGAGAGAGTCCTTCCGGGCAAAAAGCGCTTAATCCTGGCCTTGTTCGTATTCAACGATCAGAGTGGTGATGACGGTGCAGCCCGGGTACTTTCAATGTTCACTGGTCACCTTTGGCACTTAATCAAGGTTAGTTGAAGCCCGCCCAAGCAATCCGACCCGAAATTTAGCGCAGGATTAATCCTGGTTGGACAAAATGGGCCTGGATGGTCGGCCGAGGGGAAAGAAAGAAAAAGAAAAAGAAAACAAAATTAAGAGTGACATATGTTGTTATTCTGATGTGGGTAGGTGCCAAGAGTGGGTTGAAGGGGGCCGCCAAAAAAAAAAAAAACGGCGAGGTTGGTGGTGGTCTCAGAAGGGGGTTGGTAACAGCACGCCGTGCACCGCATTGGTCCAAGTCATACAATCCGCCCTTCCCCCTCGATTCACTGGGTGGGCGAGGATGCACTCCATATGCACAATGCGCTGCCCGCTTCCTGTTATAATACCTGCATCAACACACTCACACACCACTTGTAAGCCAGACTTCTTCTCTCTTTTTCCTTCTCTTTTCACACACACACACACATACACACGAAATCTTCAATCCTTTTCTGGTCCTTTGCTAGATCACGAGCCATTTCATTGTTCTTCGCCGTTCCCTCCTTCGACACTGCTCTTTTTCGGAATTCCTTCCCTCTCTAGCAGCTCTCGCCTGCGACCATACATTACCCATATAAGTCCGGCCAAACTCGACTGAGATACACTACAATCTTCCCCACCAGCTTCTCGCTCTTGAACCCCGCCAAATTCTCCTGCACAAGGGCGACCAATTAATCTCCCCGCCAGTTCAAGCCGACGGCAGGAAAAAGACGAAGACTTGGAAACAGGAAAGAAAAGAAAAGACCGGAAAGCAGGAGCCGGCCGGGTTGGAGCTTGCACCACCAACTCCGACTAATTTCGCCGCAACTCGGCGCAACCCTCTGCTTGTTTGCACGCACACCTTGAGCCGTGTAGAACGAAACCGTGGCACAAATCACGGCATTCAGGTGCTAATCTCGTGAGAAGGGAAGGAAAATCAGGTCCCCGCGCCACTCAAACGAATGTGCAAATAGACACTCCTCACTTCTGATCACATTGAGATTTCACGCTATGAAGAATATCTCCCGAGGGAGGACAGGGCTCCTCTTCACTGCCCTGCTCCTCTCCCTCTCCGCCCAACCCTCCCAAGCCGTTCCCTACCCCCGCGACGAGCTCCACGATGCTGGTTATTCTTACCTTATGCCTCGCGCCTGCGTCCAATACTGCGGTGCCGACAACCAGTATTGTTGTGAGGCTGGCACGGTATGCACGACGCAAGGCGCCATCGCCATGTGCGCTGGTGGCCAGGGATTTATACCACGACCTGGACGGAAACCAACACCTTTACGAGTACCGTCACCCACGACGTTCCCGCGGTAGCGGCGACCCTATTGACAAGTCTGTCCCTTGTAAGCCTCAGAGCAGCGACTGGACGACGTGCGGGTGGGTGTGCTGCGACTGGTGGCAGGAATGCGCCGAGGAAGGCCAATGCAAACCGAAGGCTGGCTATGAAAATGGTCCGCCAGGCGGTATCACTGCTGGCGGCGGCGGTGGCGGTGGCGGATACGCGACTGTCATCACCACCAACGGTCAAGTTACCACGCTTTTCTCTGCCCCTTTCCGCGTCACCGGTACTGGAACGCCGTCCCCCACGGGCTTTACTTCTGGCCAAGACCAGGAAGATGAAGGGGACGGCTCTGGCCTTAGCCCTGGGGCCATTGCCGGTATCGTCATCGGTACCTTGGCTGGCATTGGTTTGCTCTTCCTGCTCTGCTTCTGCCTCATTGCCAAAGGTATTCTCGGTGCTATATTCGGGAAGAAAAAGAAGAAGGAGCGTGCTCAGGGTGCGTACGACGACAACTATACCAGGAGCAGCCGCGCTCCCTCTAGCTATTTTACCAAGAAGGATGCCCATAGCTCTTGGTATGGCAGCTCCACAAGTCCAAGGCGCAACGAGAAAAAGAAATCGAGTGGTGGTAAATGGCTGGGCATCGGAGCAGCAGCGGCCACGTTGTTAGCTCTCCTCAACATCAAGAAGGATAAGAAGCCACCTTCGAGAAGGACTCCAACCATGTATACCGACTCTTATACCTACAGCTACTCCAACTCAAGCCCAAGTAAGTGTCTTCATGATAGCACGCCATACCAACTGCAAATTACTAACACCCATAGCAGGCAGCTCGAGTTCTGGAGGAGGCTCCAAACATCCCAGTAGTCGCTCCCACAGATCACACCGCACCCAGCGCACTTCTCGCTCTCATTATACCCAGAATACTCGCCAGACTGCGAGATCTAGCCGGAGAAGCTCCGCCCATTAACCTGCGGAAGCTTAATCTATGACTGGGCTTCAGTCCCTTTTCCCTATTTCTTTACACAGCCGGTCGCCGAAGGTAGTGATATCCGACCTAGCATATATATTCCGCTGTGGAATCCATATCCCCCAGCCCCGTACATAGTACATAACGCTCTCAACGTTTCCCATTCCTCCAGCTTTAGCATTTGTCTTTTTCTCCTCTTTTCTTTTTCTTTTTCCCTTTCTTTTAAATGTTACATATTTCATGGCGCCGGCGTTTCGGAGGACAGAGGATGAACCGATCATTATGATGCTTGAATGAGGATCACTTTGCTTTTAGAAGAAGAATGCATAATACCAAGAGATGAATACGCCGCACAGCAGTCGAGATATAGAGATATGGTAGCGTGCTAGTAGCAAAGTTCATATGAGACTGACGACTTCGAAACTTGGAATGGCACACTTGTAAGTTGGAATCAAAGATGGATCCACTAAAATAATACCAAACTATTTCCCTCGCAACCAAACCAAGCCCTTCATTTTTTGTGGACCACCCATCCTTGATATGTGTGGCGGCTTGCCCCACTCCACCACCAACCACTTGAATAAACAGCTCCCCTCAATCTGCTTCACCAGCATGATTAGTCACAGTTGAGGGCATCTGCAAAGGCCGAAAGGTCATCATCTTGGCTAGTTCTCTCTTCAACGAGAGCCCGTCCGCAACCGAGCAGTGTCTGCGAGTTAACGAAGGACATTTCATACAGCATGAGTGAGCACTGACAAAGGATGCCGTAGGGCCTTCCCCAATTCTATCATAAAGTACATAAGCCATTTCGTGGACCAACAACTCACAAGCTGTGGGACATAGCTCATGGATGGACTCTTTTCATGAAAGATTGTTGTCTTCATTGGGTGTTTATGTGTTCTGTAGCCCCTTTTTCGCTACATAAAATGCAATGAGGAACCCTCTTCACTCCTTGGAGACCCAAAAACCGCAAAAGAAACAAACCGTGGCCCGAATCCCTTGCTTTTCTTTTTACTCAGTAACGATATTGCTCTTCTCCGACACGTAGATACCGTCAAGGAACTGTTTCGCGGTTATAGTTAGCAAATTAGACATGTTCGAGGCAATACAGTTGTTTTTGATTTCTATTTACCTTTCGGATATCCTTGTTTCGAACCTTGCAGCTCTGCTGGATATCCGCCGCGCTTTGGGAGACATCCTCAACGGAGTTGCCGCTAAGGATAAGCTCATCCTTCTGAGCCTTGGAAACTTCGACATCGACGCCAGGGCGCATGATCACCCGGCGGACGATTTTCTCGCCAATGAAGTTCCTGGTCAAATATTAGTAACTGATACCCGAGACCTTGGGGAAATGTTGGTGCATTTCGCCTCAGATTCTCGCGTTGCGGATTTCCGTACCTGATCTCCACTTCGGTGCAGCCAGTCTCCTTGTCCTTCTCGAGGTTGATGTTGATGGGGAAATGGGCGTAGACGTATCGGAGCTTGTAGAGGTAGCCCTTGGTGACACCGATGATGAGGTTGTTAAGGAGCGTCCTCACGGTTCGGAGAGCGGCAACATTTTTCCTGGAGCCGTGGTGGATAAGAATGGCGAGGGTGTTGGGCTTGGGCTTGGTGAAGGAGACCGCGATGTGGCTCAAGTCCTTGGAAAGCTTTCCTACACGATCAATCTTCCGGTCAGCAAGCCCTACGTGATGGCTCTCTAATCTCTCCTTCTCGCGGTCGAAGCCTCGACTTTCCGGCTCGATGGTTCGGTATTGAAAAACGATTTCGGGAAAGCGTACCTCGGGGACCCTCGACAGAGACAAGCCTAGACTTGATGTTGACCTTGACTATTCCAGGAAAATCCATGTTAGAGAAGAGATTCTACAACAACTGCCAGATGCCTGATGGCGCAGAGAGAGCAACGTCTGGAAGGGCAATCCAAAAACATCGAGAATTAAAGAAAAAAGATGACACTTACCCCCTCGGGGATTTCAAGGAGCTCCTGCGACTGGATATACTTCATCCTGGCGGTGTTTCTTCAATTGCGTTGTTGAAGAACTGGGTATCTTTCGCCGGCTGATCACAAGAATTATTCTTCGGAGCGATAAATTTGGCGGGACCTGTGGGATGTAAAAGTTCTAGGGTTCTGGCAAGTCAGCATCTTGTGGGGGTCTGTAATATAACCGAAGATCTGCCAGAAACGTGCGACTCTATGTTGCAGCCACAGTCCGATGACTAATGTTCGTTCATTGATTACGCCACAGTCATAATTCTCACAGCTCCCTTGCCAAGGACAAGTGATAGGGACGGCTCGGTGCTCATGGCCGAAAGAGGGTGCCCCTCCCTAAACGGTAGAGAGCTTCGCATCGAGGACGACGACTGTCACCCACCACATACCATCGGATCCGATTATTATTCCATCACTGGCCTTGTTTTGTAGCCTTATACAGCTGTCTTAATTCTCAAACTCCAATCCAGTTACCCGCACATCATGTCCTATTTTTCGCAACTCCAGTCGATATCGACATCGTGCTTGAGGATGCCGACGATAGGCAGATGGTGGACGTCAAGCTAGACAAAAACCGGCGAGAAAAGGCGCCCTTGTATATGGATGGAGAGTCTGTCAAGGAAATGTTACCATTCGCCCTAAGGACGGAAAGCGCCTCGAACATACTGGTATCAAGGTGCAATTCATTGGCAGCATAGGTCGAGATATCCCTCCCCCAAAGCAGTTCCCAACCTTAGCCACTCCGAGCTCCGGGAGACGAAATTCAGCTAACCTTCTTGATTTTGTATAGAAATGTTCTTTGATCGAGGGAATCACTATGAATTCCTCTCGCTAGTTCAGGAGCTTGCTGCTCCGGGCGAGCTCCAACACCCGCAGACATTCGAGTTCAACTTCAAGAATGTCGAGAAGCAATACGAGTCCTACAACGGCATCAACGTCAAGCTTCGATACTACGTCCGAGTCACTGTCTCTCGGCGCATGGCAGATGTGATACGTGAGAAAGACATATGGGTTTATTCCTACCGCGTAGTCCCAGATATCAATAGCTCTATCAAGATGGACGTCGGCATTGAGGATTGCCTGCACATTGAATTCGAGTACTCGAAATCAAAGTACCATCTTAAGGACGTCATTGTGGGGAGGATATATTTCTTGCTTGTGCGGCTCAAGATCAAACATATGGAACTCTCAATTATAAGACGAGAAACGACTGGCGCTGCCCCGAATCAATACAACGAGAGCGAAACGCTGGTTCGATTTGAGGTAGGCAGTGTTATCATACCTATAGAAAGCACAATCTTTGGTCCCCTTCCGAGCGATGCTTATTCTCTCATCTTTTAGATCATGGACGGCTCCCCTCAAGAGGCGAGACGATCCCAATCCGCCTCTTCCTTGGCGGATTTGACCTCACACCAACTTTTCGGGATGTCAACAAGAAATTTTCTACGAGATACTACCTTAGCTTGGTGCTGATCGATGAAGGTGGGTTGACACTCCAAACCTGGAACCCTCGGATTTAGTCCTGCTGACAGTCTGTAATATAGATGCACGGAGATATTTCAAGCAGTCTGAAATCATCCTCTATCGACAGACTCCGGAGCTGCCGGCTCCGGAAACCCCAGGAGGCACCGCCCAGCCGGAAATAAGGACGATAGCCACCGTCCCCCTGCCACGGTGCAGGCGTAGGCCTGATGTCGCATGAGAGACGGCTGAAATGCCTCCTCGTTCTTAGTCCTGTCCTGCTTTTAACTCATTCGCATACTTGTACCTATTACCACATACGGCCACGGCGTCCGGTTATCCTTACTCATTTCGCAATTAAACCATGATTGTAGACAAACGTGATATTCGATTTATATATCCCGTTGGAGAACAGCTGTCTCTTCTTCCGTTAATGCCTCGATTTCATTGTCTTCTTTACCTCACTTTATTACACCGGCAAAAAGAAAGGTCCCCTAAAATCAACCCCATAAAACAATATCTGCCCCACCCTCGAACCTGTCCCTCAAAGAATTTGCATCGCATCGTCCGCCTCAAACCCAAACTGGTCATTCTGGATAGCAGCGATCCTGTCTAGCTCATCTTGGTACTGTTTCCTAACATCCGCCAATGTGACAACCTTTCTCTTGCCTTTCTTGCTGGTGTTGTAACTTTGTGTATCGTCGGACTCGTCCGAGAAGATCCACGCTTGTTTAGGATCCACGCAACTCAGGGCATTAATGAGGAGGAGGTAGTGCCGTGTTACAGGCGTATCAAGGATATCCTCGCCAACGAATTTATCTCCTTCTCCAGCTGCCTGGAGGTTCCGTATCCTGTCTAGCAGGACTGAGGCAGCTCCCCTATAATCATTTCGGCTGATTCTCCACGAGTAGTGAATCTGATGGTAAGGCACACCGTGGGCCATGTCGGCTGAATTTTGGCATCTACTTGCGAGAATCTTGTCAACGGCCGTCGTTAGGCCAGTGAATGGAAGTGAAGTTAGCTCAATGTTATGGCAGGACTCGCACATCTTATCGATGAGCTTGCGCAGGCTAGACTGCCGCATGGCGTGGTCGCTCATGGAAAGCAGGGCCGAATGTGCTACCTCAAACTGGGAGATAGCGACTGAGGCATTGAATTGGCGACTGAGCATTTCCGTCCGCATAAGCTCACTATCAGATCCGGCGCTGGAAGAAAACTGAAGTGCAAGTCGTGAGAATTCGACGACGTATGAGTACGCCCTCATTTTCTCAAATAGGGAAACGACGTGACAATAATACTTGGCCATGCCCTTGAAGAGAAGATTCCACTCGCTATCATCAAGAAGGCCAACACTGTGCCTATCGGTGCCCGCATCTTCCACACCTAAACGAAAATGTTGTCAGCTTCATTTCTAGAGTAGAGACAAATAAATCGGGCCGTACATACTCAGCCCTGTTGCTGCCTTCTTGAAGGAGACGGCAGCAGAAGAAAAGTCTTTAAGAGCGAGAAACACGCGGCCCTGGACGTAGGTGGAGAAGGGGTTCTGGTCGGCAAAGGGAATAAGCTCGGCAGCAAGGTCAGCCCTGTCCCTCTTGATGAGAAAGCATTGAATATGGGCGGGCGACAGTTCGATGTCGCTATCTGGTGAACAGAGACTAGTCACGATCTTGGTGAGGCTTGAGGCGAGTGGCTCGCGCCTAGCATCTGTCAGGCCAAGAAGATGACCCACACTCCCTTCTAACGCACTAATCGTCTGTGACTCTTCGCTCGAACGTTTTTGCGCAGCAGGCGAGCCGGAACTTGGTCCAATTCGGTCCTTTCGGACCGGTACTGATATTTCCGTCTTCGAAAGCCACCTCAAGAGCTCAAGACGGCGCAGAATAGCGACAAGCCTGCGGAACACGCCCCCGATATCGACGCGGTGGTGCAAAGCGTCTTCCTCTTGCTCAAACTCAAATTCCATATGCACAAGAAGGATGAGTTGGCTAAAGCATACTCTCCAATGCAACTCTAGGTTTTCTTGAACCGTCCGGGCGACGAGTCTTCTCCCGAAGTCGGTCAACGGATAACGAATATTTCGGTTAGTAGAATCATCCGGCGCGACCAGCTCAATGATCTGGTCGTATAACTCGAGCGTCACCAGGCTAAAATTTTGGCCAAGACTCTCGACAACAGGACCACAGTCTTCCTCAGTGACACCCCGCCAGAAACCTGCCTTATCTGAGAGATATTGAATGCGCTCCAAGTCTGTTTTTGTGGTATCCTCAAAAGTTCTGATCGGAGTACGGCGTTGCACACTTGGATGATGTTGTCCGGAAAGACATCCAGGAACGAAAGGGCCGTAGCTACCAGTGTGGCTGCGTCTTTATCATCATTTTCGGGCCTCGACAAATTGTGATAGAGTCTCTCTAGGGGGCTACACTCGCGGATTACTGAAACAAAGTCAGCACACACGACCCAGGCGGTATCGGCGTTGGGGTCCACGATCAGTGACACTGCCTCGCTTCGCCTCTTATCGAGTTCCATGAGTAGACGATAGAAACGCCTCCAGTGGATCTCGCCGGCAGACCGGAACTGCTCATAATCCATCCCACCGGACGGTCCTCGCTCTAGGGCAGCCGTAGAAGCAAGCACAGAACAGATGGCCTCCGGCAAGGCCAGGGGCCCTTTCGACGGGCTGTCAGACTTTTTGCCCAATCCACGCTCATAGATAGCCAACGCAGTCTCCAGCGTGGATTTGGTGAAACGGCCTGGACAGAGAATTATATCCAACCACCGTTCCGTCGTGTCTGTTGGGTCACAGGGCCCCGAGGTTTCCGCCGTTGGAGGGCTGGAGTCGAAGTACACGGCCTCGCTCCCAGACTGCCAGGACTCGGCCATATCCGTCAAGCCGAGACAAAGCCTTTGGACCCTGTATGTGGTATTGTTCTTCCAAAGTATCCAGAGATGGAACTTGGCATCAGCAATCTCGGAGATCGAGAAATCGGCCAGAGTCCAGGCATCGGAGAGTGATGGTGCATCTGGGATGAAATGTTCAGTTGGAAAGGCATCATCAACCAAAACGTCAGAATCCGTCTTTGCCACTACCTTCCAGAATTTGAACTCGCCAGTCCCGATCGGAGAAAAGGTTACGCAAAGCCCTCGACCCGGTCCAGTCTCGATGAGACGAACGAGGTTCGCCTGAGAGGGGTCTATGGTCCATTTTCCAATCTCCTGCGGGTTTCTCTCTGCATTCAGAATATCAACCGTATGCAAGATTTGGCCTGTTTTTGGATTCCATACGCGTAGACGATGGTCGATACACACTGTAAAGAGGAACGGGAACCTGAACCCAGAGTAGACACCTGGACTGACGCAGCAGCGCTATAGTCCATATTCAATTTTCCATACTTGACTGTATTGCTACCGCGAATCGGAAGGAGATTTCGAAGGCCTTGAGTCCATGTTTGTGAGTTGTAATTCGATTCGATCCATGGGTTCACAGATGCTAGTGACATGAGAGCTTGTTAGTAATGTTTCAATTATTCCCTCGTCATCAAAGATATACTATGCAGCTCACCATCGGAATTATTATTTTTATCCAGTCGAACTAGCCCACCATCGTGAAGGGTAACAAGCAAAGTGTTCGCATTCACAGCTGCTAGTCGGTGGGGATGTCTAGAAACAAGAGAAGGCGGAAGGTATACCCGGCATACGTCGCCAATGCTAGAATCCAGAGACGACCTTCGTGAAAACATCTCCGGGCGCAGAGCGAATGAATAGAGGTGATTTAACTGGTCAACGGCGTAGACGAAAAGCGCATCGTGGTCATCGGGTTCGGCTAGCGCAACACATAAGGGCTGGATGGGAATAGAGAAGTTGAAATTGAGAACGAGTGTCGCATCGAGGGCCTTTTGCTCTTTGCACACATCAATCGCCCTCACACTCAGAACCGTCCCATCATCAAGAATTCTCCAAAGGAAGCTCGTCGGGGCGGTCGAAGATTTTCGCTGGAAGATGGATGTCGCGGGGGCCAGATTTTTGAGCGCAAACGCCGTCTCTTCGTCCAGATCTTTGCCTCCATTTCCGGTTGGTCGTCTAAATGTTCCTCGGGGGTGCGATGATGGCGGTGGGACACGAATGTTGGCAACCAAAGAAGATGTTGATGGCTCCAGATTTAGGCGCGTTTCTTTGAAAACGAACTGTGCTTCCCTGGACTCCATCTTGGCTCCATGCAGCTGCCGAGGAGCCACAGGCGTCAAACGCAATAATTCGGCACGAAAATATAGATAGACAGCAGTGAGCGTGATAATTGAGGGTGATGCGGTGCACGAAATACCAAGTCAGATCAGGTCAAGGCTCGGCTCTGGCTTGTTCGATGATGCGGCATCACAAAGTATTTGGGTGCTACAGCGACCAATTTAATTTTTGCCCTGGTCGAAGCTTTCCCAGGCCCGTTTCGCGCCAGCACGGCAACTCCTCAACTCGCTCAGGCTGGCGCAGGCACCAATCAGCGCCCCCAAATACTGACCGGGACACCCTCTAATAATTATGCGCTAAGCTGAAAGGGGAAATCAGCTTCTCAAATTTCTGGACAAACACACGATGACTCGGAAGCCAGGACCCCAGATATTATGGTCCAAATCCCACGGCACCACGTTATTTGTTGCTGCTACTTCTCAATTGATCACTAAAGCAGACCGACAGCCTCCGCGGGGTCGAGAGATAGCAATACCGATACTACTTTCAAGTCAGGCCCGGTTTATAAAGGGCCCTTTGGTAGGGTTTTTTTAAATAAATAAAAATATGCATATAATTAAGAACCGGATACTAAACGCCCCTAACAATGCGCCAGAAATAAACCAGTTTTCCCTTGCAAATCTACATTGGTAGATAGATATCGGGTGACAAAGGGAAGCGTCGCATTATGTTGGATGTGGGTTGAAACAACACAAACACGTCCACCACACAACCCATAAAGCACCAGGCTACATCTCATCCGAACCTCTTTCACTCCTTGTCAACATCCTTGGGTGCTGGATCACCGATGCCATCCTCATGAATAGCGAAGAGACAGTCACTCTCCGGTAAACATGGACTATCATAGATCTTGGCGATTCTCGTCTCCCCCTACCCTTCTTGAGACTTATACGAGTCGTGCTTGCGTGAGCAATGATGTTGCCGCCAATGGGTTTCTTTGGGTCAGGATTGAACATGGCACTCGGACCACCGTCCACTTGCGCAACAACCTGATTAGTGATGACCACAGCAATGCCAAACTCGTCCGCAAGCCTTTGCAGCGTCCGCATGAATTTAGCGAGGTGAGTCTGCCGCGACGACAATTCACCTCGGCCCAGAAAATCAGTTCTATAAAGAGCAGTGGCGCTGTCGACAATTAGCAGCGAGAACCGGGTTTCGCACATCATAGAAGCTGCCTGGTTCAATAGCTGAAGCTGATGGTCTGAGTTGTATGCTCGCGCATACGCAACATTATCCAGAACCTCTTCTCCGGACAGCCCGAAGCGGTTCGCTACGGCCAGGAGACGAACGGGACGGAAGGTACCCTCTGTGTCGATATACATGCACTTCCCCTCACCACCACCCATGTCGAACGGAAGCTGACACGTCACGGCAAGCGTATGGCAAATTTGGCTCTTTCCTGTCCGGAACTCCCCAAAAGCTCAGTGACCGAGCCAGTTTCTATACCTCCAGCTAGAAGAGTGTCTAGATTTTTAGATCCCGTAGTAATGCATATCAGCTCGCTCCGTCGCTGATGCATTTCGGTGGCAGTTGTAAATCCCATGGGAACAAGTTTGGAGGCTAGAAACCCAGAATTGTCAGTAGTTAATCCATCGATCCGACCCAAAAGATTTAGGTAAAACGAACCTTCGCCTAAAATTTTCGCTGCTTTTTGCTCCGAGATGCCCTTAATCTGTTCGAGAACCCGGCGTGGGGTATACGCAACCGATTCGACGGTATTGAAGCCTCCCTCCATGACAAGTTGAATATCACGTTTTGTCAGTCCTGCTAGCCCCTACATCAGCCCCTACATCAGCCCGAGTTCAAATCTATGTCGACTTTCCTTTTTCAAAATTTTGATGAAACGCATACCTCAAGAGCGGTGAGAGGAGTGGGCGCTCCCGGGCCCGTCATGCCCGTATCCTCCCCATTTTGGTCATCGTACATTCCTTCCTCGGCCATTATTGTTTTTCTGGCACGACCGGTAACGTGATTGTTTAGGACAGGATGTTAAGGAGGGCGACGAAAGGGATATCGGCCGGCTTGAAGCGACAGTGGGTTGGTAACGTTGTCGAAGACGCGTCGTGGTGAACGCTCAGAAAAATGAGGGGAAAACAGGGACGCCAAATCACATGACCTCGTTCTTCAATGGTAATTGCTGTCGAACGCTGCCTGTAGCCTGAGTGGTGCGTGCCAGCGGCCAGACCAGTTGTATTAGTGTATACATGTAAGCTCAGACCACGGCCCCTCCGGTAACTTGAAAGGCTGTCACGGATTAATACACACTTAACCACTTTCATACTAAGAAAGGGGTTCTTTCTTGTCTTGGTTGTTCGTTCTCGGAAACATTTGGATTTTACAATAATTAAATTTATGGCTAATGTACAACTAACCCTCTAATTTCCTTGCTAGTCAAAACATCACCTTCCGTTATCACCAGGGGATGTAAATCGTGGTGGCGCTGTCAATGTGAACGTTCGCTCCATCATCCGCCTCGCCAGATACACCCATCCAAATGTTGCTAAATAGTGAAACCCGGCGGTATAGGTATGGTGGGTGCGATAGGAAAGTATTGATGATAAATACTTCGCTAAACAATTTCTCTTAGTTGACTGCGATACGGTACGTGCCAGTCTTCTTGTGCTTGGGCACCGTCACGCTCAGAATTCCATCTACCAAGCTTGCAGTGACGGCGTCTTGCTGAACATGAGTAGGAAAGTTGAAACTCCGGGCGAACTCGCCAATGCTACGCTCAGAGAGCCAGTACTTGGCTTTGTCCTTGGGCGCGGCGTCCTTGGTTGTCGCTATACTCTCGGCCGGGGTGATCGTGCCATCGACCTCAGAATCCTCGTCCTCCACAGTCGCCTGATGGGTTTTGTTTCCTTCGATGGAGCCTCCAGTCGTCTTAGTCTCGACGGTGAGAGGGGCATCATCAGACGTGTATTTGCGCTCGACGCGCCCGCGAATGATTAGGGTCTGAGGATCGGAGAACTCAATCTGGACATCCTCTTTGTTCATTCCAGCCAATTCACCATGGAGTTGGTAGGCATCTCCGGTTTCGCGTACATCAAACTTAGGCTGGAAGGTCGGCAAACCACCGCCCCTGCAATGGGATTGGCCAGATTGGTAGGTGTCAAAGTCCTCAAGAAGGCGAAAGAGGGGTGCAAAGCCCTGGTTTGCATAGATGGATCGTGGGAAGAGAGACATTATCGTGAAGTTTCCAGGTGGGTATTCTTCGTAAAGTGATGAGTGGTGGTTCTTTTGATATAAGTTGGTTGGGGATAAGAGCGGATTTAGAGCGTTTGCTGTTGGGTTTGTCTCACAGGATTGTATTGTTTGTGCTTCATTAAAAAAAAAAAAAGAGAGACGATTCAAGAAAACTACGACCATATATATACTCGCGATAATTCAACGATCACTTGAATGCCTTAAACTTGAAGGTGCTTGAAGAATCGTTTACGTTCTACTCGCATCTTCTTACATTGTGAAGTAGCTTCAAGAAGCTTCCAGGAGGCGCTCTATCATCGACCATGAAGCTTCGAGAACACGCTAGCCATTGCTGACGGAATATTATGGGGAGCGCCCGAAGTTTCGAGGGGCTAATACCGTTTACTAATACCAGCTAAACCCGCCTAAATCTAGGCTCACGGCCAGTTCCATTGGCAGCACGGCGCTCAATTCTATAGACTGTACCTCGGTGGGTACAGTCATCCATGGATCACTAATGGGGGACGTCGCAGCTGGAGGCTTCAAAAGCCATCCTGCCATCGTATTGAGATGATTAGAACCCCAGTTTCTCCCCTCCTCCAGGATTAATAATTAAAATGATGATAAATAAGTATATTAAATCTAGATAACAAGATATAAACTTTCAACGTTCAGATAGTTCTACAGTGTAAAATATTTTTCCGGTGATGAATGGCCTAAGAGGCGAGAGGTAACCAGGAGTCAGAGCCACTAATACTGAATTACTGAATGCGTCGAACATGCAGGAAGGTTCGAGAACGAGATCCAGCCAGTTCCAGCCTAGTGATGATTAATCAACCGTTGAGTACCCTCCATTGCATCTTTGATCCAGTACCAATTTCGATTCTGATTACCGATATCGTGATCTCCTCAAAAGGATTATTTTACAAAAATTAAAAAAAAATTAAAAATTAAAAAAAATTGGCGGGCTTGGGCTTGAGTTTGGTTTTGAACTGGGGGTTTTTTTCTTCGTGGGGACAGCCAACCCGTTTCTCATGGATGGAATTCGTTGCTCCATTTTTCCATCCCTGGAGAAGGGAAATAAATCTAGGGCAGCCTGGGAGCCATGGTCCATGGTCCATGGTCCGACGCTACATATTATGGGCCGGCAGGGACTTGCACGTCCAACCTCTACGTTCAACCGCTGACATAGTCAGCCATCATTAGCATACTTCCATCCATGGGATGAATGTACCAAGGTAGAGAGTGTGGCATGTAAACGAAGGCCGCTCCCGCCTTAGGATTCTCCCTCAAAACACCTTCACGGTGGCCCTTAGCAAACCAGTCAAAGATCAACGTCTTCTATCCTCCACGAACCGTTTCGAAGACGGAAAAGAGGTCCATGACATGGCCGGGGCAACATGCACCCACCCACATTGCGACGTCGACTGATGTCACACCTTTGGTCCTCGAGGTTCTAGCCCACGCCATGCCGCCGCGCTAAGCTTGAATTAGGCGACATAATTACGTCGGGCCCGGGCCTGTGAGTTGGCGTCGAATCATAGCAAATGGGGAAATCCATCCTCATCTGCCGCCAACCTAGCAACGTGAACTACTCCTATTCTCTTCATTTTGGGGCCCTCTCTTTGGCACATCCAACTTGGTAATACAGCGGAAAGCCCCAGCAGCACAGAGGTACCCTAGCTGGCATCCAAAACTCTGGCCTCGCGTTCAGGCACCGCCCACCAATTTCACACCTGCCCAGTATCTTACGTAGTCCACATGTCCGGAATCAACCAAGTTTGAACAGGAGGGGTTCAGAGGCCTCAGCTCATGGACAGTCCTCTACATGGATAATGGGAAATTTTCGTAGCAGCAAAGAGAGAAAAGGAGCTGGATTCTTGCAAGGAATAGTCCTGACGTCACCCTTGCTTCCTAATTCCGAGGCGTCCCTAGGACCCAGCATACCCCACACTAGAATCCCAGCCCTCAGGCTGAAGAGAACATTGAAAGCTTGGCTGGTCGGTTTTCTCCTTTATTAGGCTTGCAGCTCGAGAAAGGTTGGAAAGGAGGGCGAATACACCGGCGCCTCGCACAAACGCACACGCCCCTCAACTCCACGGCCCTTGCCATATTTTATCCTGCCGGGTACATGTATTGTCGGTATGATGTCATTAACCCTGCGGGAACTCGCAGAAACGGGGAGCGGGAAGGCTTAGAGGCCAAGAAGATGTCGAACGGAACACCCAGGGGAGACAACCAAGACAGGGGGTGTGCGTCCAACCATGAGTCCACTGCACCCATGACAGCCGCGGGTTTTAAACCAGCCAGGCAACCTCATGTCTAAGTTATACGGGTTTTGCTCTCAAAGGCCCCTTTCACGAACAACCGCGGACCCAAGCCAACACTTAGAGAAGTACTCAAGCTCAAGAGATCGATTTCACGCCTCCGCCGCCTCAGTTTCAAAACGATACAGGGCGAGGCCTAGATCATTGGGCTAAGAAGGACAACATTCCCGATGATCACATCAGTGCCCTTGTTCAAGCGCAGAGTCGAATAGTACAACCCATAGATCAATAACTTCGTCGCGATAATCATAAATCCACCGTACTATATTCTAATTCTAATTCGTTCATATAGAAACAACTACTTACTCTAATAGCCAACTCTCCTCCTCTCAAAGAGGCTCAACAAGTCGTGGTTATACGACTCTAAACTAAGTATAGGGCCGTGGCTGTGGTTGGGAGTATCTCATCGCGCCAGAAGATCTAGCAAGCCCAGGGGACAAGCCCCGGGCTCTGTACCATATTGAACAACCCTACCAGCCGCCGCCCGACGCTTGGTTCAAGCTCGGTACCATCTCTCGCAATTTTTACCTCCCTGTTCGCATTCCAAGGGTTCCGAAGCCCCCGAGTCCGGTAGAAAGGAACGCGGGCAGTCGAGAGCCAAGATAGAGTAAAAGGCTTCCCCCAACTCTTTGGGGAGGTCTCTGTTTCACCATCCATCTCTGCTATACTTTCTATATCTCCGTCTTCTTCGTCCCCACTATCTTCTTCTCCCCTCTCAACCTCCCAAAAGATAGTTCCTCGGGCCGAGTCATCGATTATTCTTCCTTTAGGGGCGTGTTCAGTTGCATCGGTTGGGATCGCCTTTGGGAGGTCAACAACCGCCGTAGATTGCACTGAAGGTGCAAACTCGATAGCTGCAGCCGGGTCTTCGTTTATCGAGGAGGTCATCTTCGCATAGCCGAAATATTCCCCCGACTTGTTTGCCGAAAAGAAGAGGTATACGTGATCCGCAGCCTTTAGGTTAGGTGTGTAAAGTTAGACAAAGGGTCACAGATTAATTCTCGTATATTCAGAGTCTTCATACCTTGAATGCGGCGTTCAGTATTTCTTCGTTATGAGATTGGGTCGCCCAGATACCGTTTCGGACACTCATTTCCAGGTCCTCCATCGTAAGGCTCTTGAGGATGAAGTATCGTTCTTTTTCCAGCCTGCTTCCACCAGGGGCTTGTAAATGGACCATCTTCGCCGGCGAAGGAGTAGCAGAGCTAGGCACTTGTCTTGGGAGTTCACTATCCCCACTTTCCGAAGCCGGTGCTTCGGATGCAGGAGCAGAAGAAGAAGGTGTAGATGCAGATTCTTCGAGAATATGCGAACCTCCGCCAGGCCGCTCAGCCATGGTTTTTCGCAACCTACTAACTAGGCGCACCGACTGAAACCTAGAGTCGTGGAGCTTTTGTTGGGCCGAACTACATGCTTGTTCATCTCTAAAGTTGGCGAACGCGCAATTACTTTTGAAATCAGGAATAGAGATTCTAGCCCTGGAGTTTCCCTGCAAACATGGCTGACAAGGCTCATCAAGTCAGTATGCGGTGGTAGGTTACCGATCCAGATAGCATGGCCTAAGTTCCTCGCACCGAGCTGTTAGTTAAACGCTGTTATAAATGCTACTGGCGATGGAATTATCGGGAATCAAACCTCTTTGTTTAGGCTTTCTAGGAGGACCTCGAACAACCGCTTGTCGGCCATCAACCATTTCAGGGTCTCCACCCACATGTCTATCTTGAGGTAGGATCTCTTGTCTAGCAGCGGTGAGGACTTGAGGGCCGCTGCCTGCGGCTATCGGTGGAGGCACCATCCGAGAGTCGATAGGCGCTGTTGGGTAAGCAGGGTACTGTCTCGGGGGTGGGAAACTGAATGGCTCGGCGCGGGGTAGGGGTCGCGGCTGGATAATAGTATATGGTCGGTTGCATCTGGCCGGCCTGGTGATGGGGACTAGCAGCAACTTGTGCTTGATGGAAGACGATGCTAGGTCTAGGATGCGTGCTTCCTACCACAGGGTGAGTCTGATAGACCGGCATCGAATAGTAGGGCTGCACTGCCGGGGTTTGTTGAGGATAAAAGGCTTGGGTCGGAAGTTGGACAGCATACTGCGGTGCGTGCGGCATCTGCGTCCCCATTGTAGCCCCTGGAGCCGGGCTGAAGGTAGGCTGCCCCCGAGACCGTAGGCTGGTGCATACCCAGCGTGCGGCAGGGCTGGTCCGAGGCTGCTCATATTGAAGGCTGTTGCGCGATTTGCCGAGGACTGCGCCATGTCAAACTGAGATGAAAATGCATTTGGTGATGGGCCGTGGGCGTGCTGGAATTGATAATCCGAGTATTGCTTCGGGCTTTGTGCAGAATATCCTTGGTTTGATTGCCCCCGGCTACCGCTGGAGGTGCCTCTGTATCTTGCAGAGTTTGTTTGGCTTTCAGAGCATCCCCCATTTGTCTCTATTTCAGAGGGGAAACCTCGGAAGATGATGAGTTTGAAGAGACGGCTATCGAGAGGGAAAGCCCAGAGGAAAGAAGGGAGTGCGTTTTGTTTTTGTTCTCGTGCTGTTTTTCGTTTTATCAACAGACGTGGCTCAATTATCATTTACCAATCGCTGATAGGGCTTCGTGATACTCGATACCTAGTGTCCTTTAGGTTGCAAAGGGTTGCCAGGAAAATATGGTACTTCGGCGATTGGAAGAGTTTGACAAAAGTTGTGGGAGCAAAGATGAGTTTACTCTCGCAAAGTTTAGAAACGTAGAGCCTCCTGCCTCTTCAAACCGGCTTAGAAAACCAGGTTTATGACGAAAATAGATCGTGACCATATGACGAAGACGATGGAGTTTGAAGAGGGCAGCCAAAAGAAGTGACAGATCCCTGTTCAGGCGATGTGAGAAACTAGACGGCACCGAACGGCTGTTTAACACACTATCCAAGTGAGTGTGCAGTGTGTGCGCGAGTGCGTCCCTGTATTAACACCCAACGGGTTAGAAAATGAAAACGGGTGGTGTTTCTCCCCAGTTGAGCCAGGATTCCCCCTCTTCTTCTCTTGTAGTGTTCGTCCATCCTCGTCGGGTGAGAATGGGGGTGGAGAGGGGGGTGCAGTGGGCAGGAACGTGAAGAGAGTAGCGGGGCGAAGGCGGGTGGCAAAGGGCCAGCTCTGTTCGTCAACATCCTCCTGGGGTACACTCATGGAGAAGTACGATTTCGATGTGGCCACTGGGCTTATTGGGAGGGTATTCTCCGATGGCCGGATTCTAATCTGCACCTCCCATCATCCATGGGGGCGGTGCAGGGGTTCCGGAATCGAGCGTCTAGGGGCGGCAGAAACGTTGCTACAGTACGTACCGTGTCAAACTAGATGGGCGCTGGTGTGTAGGCGATGGGTAAAAGAAACCGGTGAGGTAGCGTGTTGTAGGAGGTTTGATGGTAGGAGTTAGCTATGGGGGAACTGGCACCCGAGTCTGATCTGCAGCCTGACTATGTTCCCGGTCGCTGAGGCTAAGGCAGGAGGTGCTTAATTGTCGGAGGGTGTACTTGAGCGGACGTGAGCTATGTCCGAGATGTGTTTTCACCCTTGAGAACAGGCCTCAAGTGTCACGATGCCTCTAAGGTGGATCCAGTGTCGTAGGCTTTTCAAGTTTGCGAAGGCAACAGGTGGGAGCAAGTCTAGTAGCACTTGTTAGGTGCTGGCGATGCCTGTTGGCGGATGCGAACGACAAAATCCTTAAGGGCCGTCTTAGTGGAAGAGTCCTATCCCAACGACAAACGGCTAGAACGGTGACAATTATGCCACCACGTTGCAAATGGTGATAGCCGAAAACACACGAGTTGTCAAGCTTTGAACTTACAATCTGGGACGGAGGGCGTACCTTGCCTGGGTTGAAAGGATGACGTTGGCAGCACCAGAGCATGCAACTCTTAAGTCTCAAGAAGATCAAGAGGGACCGATGACGATGACGAAAATGAGTATTGATTAGATCAAAAGCGAACGTTCTGGACTAGAGGTGTAAGTCCATGGACCCTTTCAATGACTGGGGGAAGGGGTGTTAGAGAGGTGGGGCGTATTGGCTATGCTGAACCAGGTGAGAAGAAGAAAAAGAAGGGAAACAGAATATGATCTTGGTCCAAAGCAAATCGCGCGGCAAGATGATAGATAGCTCATTCGCCGATGGATGACGATGACCGCCTGACGGTATAACAGACGAGGCAAGAGATCCATTCTAGTGTACTGTACCAGTACCCCGGGGGTGGGTGTGCGAGTGGCTAATTTCAATACGTCTAACGCCCTCCACAGGTGGATACGCAATAGGGCCACACTGACAGAAACTTAGGAGTACAACTAACATGGCAAGGAGGCCCTGGATTCCCTCGAGGGGGCCATTCGGGGCTCAATGGGTGGCACAGCGTCTCTTTGGTAAAGGGCTCGGGGGAGATGACGACTTTAACCCAATGAAGGCGTTGGACGACGACCGGGTCTCGTAGTCGCACCCGGGGAGCGTACGGAGGCGACGACATAACGGTAATGGATACTTACACAACGGAGAGTTGATGAGCATCAAGATGGAGAGGCACACCCAATTGGGGCTAGAGGGGTGCGATTATTGACGCCGCTTTGGGCGGAGTCTCCTCTGGGATAAGAGGGAACCATCGGTTTTGGCTACAGAGGGGTGCCGCATACGAGGTGACATACGATAACGTAGCCATAGGGCAGAGCATGTGAGAGATGGCGTCGAGGTAGACACCCGTGGGTTGACGTGGGTTGGCTTAATTGTGAATGTGAGCGTGGGCGTGAGCGCGAACGTGGGTGTGGATGTACGTGGATGCATGGGTGTGAGTGTAGGGGCGATGGGTCAAGGCGTGCCGGCGTGTGTAGAGCTGTGGGAGTGGGCATGGACCACGACTGGCCTTCCGAGCCTGTGTAGAGGGTTGGACATGCCCGGTCTCCATCCCGGGACGGAAAATGAGGGCTTAGGATGGGCGGATGGAGAAATAGACAATTATGGCCAAGGATGGGGACCGACGTCATGGGTAGAAGATGGCGCCGCTGGAGTGGCAGTGGTTTCAAGGTTTCATGGTCGAGGGGATCCGGTGACGGTTACCTCGACCGTGTGCCGCTGGAAAACCGCGCGTGTTTGCGGTATAGTACAGGTTGGGAGACGCCCACAGGCCCACCTTAGGGACATTGAACAATGGTTGAGCATCTTAGATGGGTTAATCCAAGGCCTAATCCAATTGATCCATCCCTTCAATCAATTGAGCAGGGCAGGAGAGGCGCACCAGGAGAAGGTCGCCCCGCTGGCACTGGTAGGGGAAATCACAGTAGAGAGTTTCGAACCCTAAGTCCACTCGATTAAGTAACCCAAAGGTCTACGGATCAATGGTAAGAAAAGGAAGAAGAGCGAGAGGAGAGAGGGTCTCCAGAACTATGGATGTCACAGTGAAGTCACCGTCCCAAGTTTCTAGGAGCACTAGCCACACTTGATCCTGCTAAATCTAAAATTATCCAGCCATCACGTTGCGCAGGTTTAATGAGTGGGAACACCTTGCGGATGATTACTTCATCTCATCTAATGCGGACATCAACTGTAGATTCGAGGACATCAGAGCTTGGTCGGACACCACCGGGCACTTTCGCTCTCAGTTCCTGTTTCCATTCTACGCCTCACGTTTTGGCTCCTTTCCGAATTATCGCGGCTCTATACACTTTCTTTCACTGCCGCGCTGTTTAGTCGCATCGTTGAAAGTCTTCATCGCTGTTCAACAACCTAGGTTCTTAGCGTTAGAGGCTATATCCATTTCATAGACGCAGTGTATTGCGAACCTTGTCAGAAACGGTGCAATTTGAACTCAACAACCAATGGCGGAGTAGCCCGCTGGGCCCGACTGTAGCTGCACCATCCATGAAGCTTTCAGTGCTGGGTTAGCCACGCGCATAAACCCACCAAGAGCGCGACGAAACTGCCTTGACTTTCGAGAGGAGAGTATCGGTGGCCAACACCCTCAAGCAGGAACGGAAATATGGCCTTGAAGGTCGAGGGAGGAATGACACGGTGAGTTTTGATACCTCGGCTTTCCTCAGACGAATGCTGGTTATGAATCACTGAGAGCCCGCTAGATCCTACATCAGGGCGGCGGTGCACCTACCAAAGAGCGTAGAATGTTCGATCTCTGCCGAGGTGAACGTGAAAGGCCAGCCAAAGCCAGAGCTGGATTCTCCCTCACTAGCACCGGACTTCATTTGGTGGGCTACCACGGCCTTCCCACATGACGATCTTAAAAACAGAATGAGAGGAGTCTTTGTGTAGCACCTATGGATGAGGCGAATGAGCGGCACTAATATGACACTAGCATTGGTTGATTTGTCACACTAGATTCCACCACCATCTTTGGCTTTCCCTACCCATACTCGCCAGCATCCTGCACCCGCCTTCTCTTCTATTCCCTCCTCTTCGAAGAAAGAGTCACGCGAAATAGGCAAGAGACGTGGGGCACATCGGCGTGTAAACAGTACCGGCCACGTGTGGAAAACAAGCATAGATCAATTGAGGTGGGCTGCCCATGATGCCATTGCTGCACTAGACAATCGCTAGCTTCGTGTATTCTCGCGGTGACGCAGATGAGGATGTCTGAATGTTTGCCCAATCGCCAAGTCTCATCAACGACCTATCTCCATTTACCTATGCACAGAAACAACGACATTGAACATCGAAGTACAGAGGTACTTGACTAACCAATATATACAATCATTTATTGTTGACATAGTCATCACCCAAGTCACCCTATGCCTAATAATTCCCGGCTACTCCAGGGGAAGTTCAATCCCCACTAATGCTGTCAATTCAATTTGCAGTGGCCACTCCCTTCAATGGTCTTGGGTTCCTTATTCAAGGTTCTTTTTGATACGCGTCTGGTCCAAGCTGGTTAGGCAATGGTATTGCATTATGTTTCTTGGCATTATTTTTTGTGTGGGGATGTGGGCTCGGGGCTGAGGTTGCAGTACATATCACCAAAGCCAGACCACTTCTACACTATGAGGGGACCTTCAACTCTACATGTAGATTTGGGAATAGCTTCCAGCACTTTTGAAGGGGAACTAGGGTTGCTTTATCCTACCAACGCAGTCATCTTCTATCTACCTTCTTCTGCGTCTCCCATCGTTTCTGTATTCGAGTTTGTTGTGCAGACCTGCATACGTAGCAGTAGATGCAATGGAGGGACGGTTTCTTTCCCCGTCATCAGTAAGCTCGCCGAATCCGTCCGAAATCCTGGTGCCCGATGATGTCAGAGCTCCACGAGTCTAAATCCCGCCGCCCCCAGCCTTGGTGACATCAGTCGCGACATCACGACCACCGGCTTTCATAGCTCGCTTCTCTGTCTTTACAGGTATGTCCTGTTCTCCCGACCTTTGGTAATGGGAAACAGAGACGGATATTCTTCGGCCGGGCAGCATCTGCGAGAGAAAGCCGGACCCGTCTTCAAAGTCCCAAAGACAATAATAACTCCCCTTACTAAGCACGGCGGATCAAGAGTAGAGGTTTTCCGATCGTGACACCCAAATCCTGCCGAGCCTATCACCACCTATTTAGTTCGTCTAAGCCGTTGATCTCCTTCCATATTCCGCTTGGGTTCGTGCTTACTTCACGCCCTGCGCGGGAGGTAGACTCCCGGTCGGATTCTAAATCGAATTGATGCCTCTAGCTTCTAGTCATTGATAGATACGTGAAAGGATGGAGTGCTGAGAGGTGAGAGGGGTGATGTGCCATAAGGGGAAAGGGAAGAACGGAGTAGTAATAGTCCAGAGATGCAAACTCCACCATTATCCCCACCTTGCCATATCCCTGCCTCCAAGAGAGCTTGTTGGCAAAAAAGAAAGGGAAAAAAGTAGGGGGTTTGAGCTCCAAGTACTTCGTATGTGATGTGGCTTCCCACATAGCTCCCAACGGCTTCCACCACGTCGCACACCGCTACCAAAAGAAACGAGAAGAATCTCTCGATTGAAACAAAGCTCTCCGCCTGTTGCTTGAACAAGGGCATTCGAGTGAATTCTTCCCTAAGAGGGGGACACACATGCAGCAATGCCCCAGCGCGTGCCTCTACTTGGCCGCATAAGTACCCAATGGCTTCGAGTGGTTGGCTGTCTGTTGCTTGTAGCTTGTCATTTTGGTGTGTCATTGGGCCGATGTGCAATGTTGAGTTTCTAATCTGGAGCTAAGCCTGTCCGCCCCTGACTCAATTCGCGATGCTTGACAACGTATGCTTCCAAAGTTCCATTTCTTGGTAGTGCGCTTTTTGTTGATGATTAAGCTGTTAGTTGATACTGACAACTTGAGGCGGTTGTTGTTAGATATGTATATCGTGGATGTTTCGAAATCTAACCGAGTCAAAATGGAGGAAAATATTAGAATCGAAACAGCATTCCCTTTCAGGCTCCTGTCTGTCAGGGACTAGTCCAGCTAGTCGAAATTGCTTTCAGTGCGATGTCTGGTTCTATGGACCTAAAGGAGTCAACACCGAGCCGCCCGCCTCCGGTCTGCTCCAGCATCCTCAAGCAAACGTTTCGGGGAGATGGCAGGCCGTGGCCGGGAGATCGGGTGGTAGGGGACGAAAACCCATCGGAGCAGGTCTCCACGTCTTCAAGATTGAGCACGAGCCGATATCGAGGGCTTATTGTGGGCTGTGGGCGATATTCCCGCAGACTCGTAAGTGGTCCTGCATTGCTACATGTAGGTTCAATAAATGCTGCTTTCAAACCCCCCTTCCTTTTTTTTTCTTCCCCCTCAACGTGCGCCCCTCCCCTCTTCGAGCATATGCGAAGTGTACCGGGATGAGGTTTCCTGCTTCAACCTCATTATTCTACACCTTGCTTTCACAGGCCTGTTTCCCGCCCACCCCCTCACTCTCCCTTTCCCCTCTCCCCATCCCCTTTCCTGCCTCTGTTTTTCTCCGTTCCCCTTCTTAATGGATCCCTTGCTTATCCATTTACCTTGTGTTACCCCTGCCTCACCAAGTCCGTCCGTTTTGATCCGGATCTTGCACCTGTGCATCAGCCCGCCATGAATCTCCGTGATCGATGCAGGCAGTCCCCCAAACTAACACGGGCAGACGGTTTATATCCACACCCGCTACCCCCAACGGAAATCTTTGACTTGCTCCAGCTAGTCGGGTGTTTTGGCCCCTCTACGTACGCTGTGGAAGCCTATCTGCCTGCTCTTTCTCGAACCTTTTCCACCCTTACTCTAATAGCCTTGTGGTTTTCAATATCGGGCCGAACTTTTCCTTCATCCTACCACACGTGTTCTGATATTCGAGTACGGGGGTATACCTCCATGTCAATGATCTACTTTATAATCAAAGCTCAGTGAACCTCGAGGGAAGCATGGGTAGAACTATTTTCAGATTGCCGCCACCGACGTTGCTACTACATTTCTCGCCCACATCCCAATGCAGAGCACAGGAGAGGGGCGTCTCAATTGCATCAATGACGTAGTGAGATGCATTATGAATCGAGTCCTCCCATGTCCCCGGGGTGCCTGTTTCTCGTTATTTCTCCTTACCCCCTACCTCCATTTGCATCTATGGATGGGTTGCCCCGGCCCCTCTCTTGCACCCGTATTGAGGCCGTTGTCGAGGGCTGTGACCTTCGTTATATGTTGCGCGGGACTCAGCCCCTCGCCGACAGCGGCCCAGTGACGTTTGCAGGGACAAGATACTTAAGAGGTTTCTTGAGTTGATTTGGTGAGATGGTAGAGACTCCGTATCTTCGGGAGGCAGTGGACAGGATGTATTGATATGCTAGAACACACACTTGTAATGGTACTCATGTTGAACAGCAAGGGCAACCGGCACGTAATCTGTGGCTGCCATGCTACCATTCCGCATATCGAGTCTACTGGTAAACTCCTTATCTCGAAGATATTTGCTTCTCAATGGAGTAAGCACCTTCCAAGGTCACAGAATCTAGCAAATCCAGGCGTAAAGTAGCTTGAATGACTTGTGCTGCTGCTCTCCGGAGGCTTTACTTCGAATTCAGATATTAAACAGGGCGACACCTGTCGCAGATTGGAGATAATGGTCGATCGAGTTCCAAATTGTTGTAAAAGAAAAGTCCCTGGCCTGTGAACTTTTATCACTGCACAGGAGGTCCTCGATGACTGATAAAATTCCATTGGAAGTATCTGGTCTCGTCCTCCAACTGAAGACCTGCCAGATGTCTTTGGCGAACAGTTCGGAAGCCATCTTCCCACCGCGCCAGAAGCTGTGAGGCCTCTCAATGTTTAGGACCTAAGTCGACCTTTTCCCTCTCTGAGAAGGTGTAACAAGAGCTTGTAAATCTTTCTTGTGTGGCCTTTATATCTTGGGAAATATCTAAGGTTTGATACTTCAACGCTCTCGTGGGGAGTGAGTGACCAAATCCCGTGCATCGCAAACGAATGACTCACAGTATGATCGGGGGTGCAGGGGTATCGGTACCTGAATGGAGAAGGAACTAAAATAACAGGTGCCTCTGTTCAAATGGATCAATGGGGTCCTCTTTTGGTTCCGATCTTTTTCACCCGCTCCATGCCTGTTACTGTTAAAGGAGCTTCCTGCCTCATTCCCCGAAAAGTAGTCATCAGGTATAGCTTGATCCAACCTCCCCTTCCTTTTGCCTCTAATACGCAGCTAAAATGTTACTTCATAGACGGTGATTTGACGATGTTGATAGTTCTGAAAATGTTTGGCAAAGAAGAAAGGTTGGTTGGGAATAGGTATACCATATTGTCCAGTGCGCTCTTTGCATTTCCGTGTCCTAGGCGGTCTAGCCTCCCGAGCAGCTCATGATATCACAGCTCGCTATTCTGTTGAATACTTATCTATCTTGGTAATGGCACGTGCAATCCTTGATATCCGGCTCCATGAAAAGACTCAGAGCGCACACGATCGTAAGGCTCGCGAGAGCACAGCGCGAGGGCTTCAGCACTATGGCTTTCTTGCCTCCTCTTAATGTGTCAATGTGTACGTGTGTGGTCTCCGCTCCGTGGCCCTCTAGATACCTAGGACCCTCCAGCCGATTGGCCGCGAGGCAATGTGCACCTCGAAGACTAGACAAAAGGTGTGCTAAGACGTAACTTGCCGATCCGGCTGCAAAAACCTTGGGAGGCTGCATTGTATCATTCGCTATCAATGGGCTGGTGTTCGGTTGGCGGTGCGTTGCATGTGACAGTAGACCTCAACTCCACGGATGATACCTTCTTAGTTCTCGATGACCCAAAGGTAGTTGATGGGATTGTATTAATTTGACCATGGCTCATCTCAGTAAAAGCGCTGTTGGTAAATTCAGGGCACTTTTACGCCTAGGGATCCCCGTGCCACGAAATCGCCATTTTCGCGTTAAAGTACGATGGGAGCGCCTACGCAAATCACCCGGCGAGGTCAGACTGAGGCAGACCCTAGGGTTATAGACAAAGTATTTAAGGTAAAACTCAGATGAGTGACCCGAGACGTCCTTTGGTCATGGGACAAAAGTGAACGGGGAGGCCTTCAAGCTGTGCTAGGTTGGCACAAAAAGAGCAGCCTTAGATATGGATCTGGATTACTTGGGGGCCCTTAGATGACGGACCTGGAAATGATGAAATCATACTGAATTCCTACTTGAGAACCAACACAAACAAACCATAATGTTGTACAGAGATACGCACTTCCCGACGCTTAGTCCTTCTTCAGAGGAAGCACAATTTCTTCGATCCCCCTTCGTGATTACCATCATCTGCAGAGCATCGCCAACCTCAATATGGCGCTCTACCGCCCCGTCAAACGCATCTTTGACGAGATTCTCAACCTTGGCCCTCGAGAGAGGAACTCGCTCCCTTTCTTGGAGGGCATGGCCCTCGCCGCTTCCTGGAACAAACTGGTTCTTAAAGTTGACCTGGTTATCCAAGAATGGCATGATTAGGCTGCCAGCCGCACCCCAGCCCGGCATTGTTCCCGCTCATAGCTTCCCACGGGGTCATAGGAGTACACAGCCCCGGTTCCATCCTCGTCGATGCCGCCTAGAATAGCATAGGCATAGTAAGGGAAGAAGCGTTTTTGGTAGAGGATAGTAGCTAGGCGCTGTGCGCAGGCTTTGACGGAGATCGGCTTCCCATGGCGGTAACGGTACATCTTACAAATCGCATCAAGTCGGTCCTTGAGGGCCTCGCCGTCAGCAGCAAAGCCTACAACGGATAGAACTAATGTTGCATCATCCTGAGATGCCGTGGTCCCCCGATCTTGAAAACTTTAGGGGCCCATCGGGTGTTGATAGAATATCCAGCTGTATGTCGGGTATCGCCTGCCACGATTACGAAATCATGACCTGCGATTGCAAGGGTGGAACCGCCGTTATCCGTATACCTTTAAGGCGAAGAAAGGAGAATTAGTTTCCGTAGACGTGAAATCAAATCGATAGGAAAGACTTACGGGCTGAAACGGTGCTCCTTGAAGTTGCCTTGAGCATTGTGCGGAGTGTCGGAGAAGGAATAGTTCGGACCATTCATCAAGGGGTTTTGGCTGAACATGGCTGCAGTGCACCAAATGTAGGAATAGCAATAGGTGTCCGCAGAAGATGTATCTATGCTCCAAATGGAAAATACTAGGTCGAAAGAGGGCAAATTGTCTGTTGATGTGTCGCGTTGGGAGTAGCCGGAGGGTGGTGGAAGAGGTCAAGACGAAAGGATACGGATGTTTCTGATTAGGATGAGTGATACCAGTGCACGCGTTCTGGCTGGAGCCTTGCGTAGAGAGCTTGAGCTGTGAAGGAGCTCATCGATGACTAAGCAACCTGTTAATTCAAGATGGAAGCTGGATTTCTCTCTTTCTCAGCTGGGCTGTTTACTCTAATATTTACTTACTCAGCTAATTACTCTTGTATCCCAAGGTAATCTTAGCATTCTTGACCAGGAGGCTGCTCAATTCCTCAAGAGTCAAACTATCAAGTTTGTAGTCTGGTGTTGATGCTATGTTGATTAACCCGAGCTTTGTCTGTGTGTACGATATTTAACTGCTGAAGCCCTCTAGCCAAGATGGGGAGGGACATACGACAGCGGGCTTTACAAAAGCTTGCATCTCTCTCAGCCTGGAGCTCCGCTTCCTCCTTCGATAGATCCGATTTCGACCGACTTTGCAAGGCTTGCCATCCGGGCCCTAGAGCCCGGGATTATACCAATGGACACTCCACGGCGGCACGAGCTCCAATGGTATGATAACATTCCGCATCATACCGCTCTCCCAGGTCGATGCCTTGATCGGCCGAGTTGAACTAACGTCTCTTTCAAAGACAATTCGCGAATTTGAGGTTCTCCTCGCACTATGCAAGGCATCTCCGAATATTCGTAGTGCCCAGAGTGCTCAGCGACTTGTTCATCAGCTCGCCCCTTACATCCTCGATGCCCATGTTCACTCGTTTGTGCCATCGCCTTATTTTAGAAATATCGAACCCTCCCCAACCGAAGCTCTTGCATTTCATACTACTGGTGCACTGTTGGTGCTCGGGAACAGCTATGAAGATCTTGAGGATAAAACTGCTGAAGCCATATGGGCTTTTGTCAATGCTTGCGGCGTGGTAGTGGAGAGTATTGCGTCACGCCAGGCTGAGGATGCGGAGACGTCTAATGTTGAGGATGCTGTTCGAACTGCGACTGTCGCCGTTGCCCTGCTTGGTTTCATGGATGCGGCGTCTGCGCAAGCTGATTTCTGGAGGGCCGGTGGCCGGTTAGCCCTCGTGAAGCGACTCCGTAAAATCCTCTCCGAGGCTTTTTACTCGCCGTCGAGTCTTCATTTTCCACTCTTCGAAATTCCGACCTTGCCGATCGCCGATCTAATGAGTGGAGGCACCACCTACGGCACTATGCCGGCACGGGACGGCCTTTGGGGGCTATGTTACTCCAACGTAGCTTCTCATGGCTCGTTGTTTCCGCCACATCTCTTTTAGTTGTGGACGCAAAATACTTGCGGCAATCGCCTGTCCTTGACCTCCTTATATCTGGTGAGGGGAGGCTTCGGCCTCTCTCATCTAGAAGCTCTGAGGCAGATTTTAGATCTGTAGAGTGGTACTCAACTCTTATTACCGACCAAATGAACTTTCTTGAGGCTTCGGCAGATTTTGATCAGCAGCTTGCCACGTCATGGCAGCAGAAAATGGCCTTTGCAGTCAAGGCGTCCTCTCTCATAGCCTACCTCTGTTGCGCTATTCTCAACGTTGACGCTGCGGACACCGAAGTGCTCATGGCCTGGCTCGAGGATGTCCTTGGTGACCCTGTGCAGATGGCGGATGAGGCCTTGGCAGTTACGGTACTGAAAAGCATGACACTAGTGTGCCGGATTTCGCCCATGCTTGCTGGGACTGTGAGCCGTCTGTTGCCTCGGTTCATCGTCCAGTCTGCTACCAACTCAAGGACCGTCGCAACGGCAGCTAAATGCCTCGCTTCAGTCTTGCAAATGCTATCCAAAGACGCCATCATTACTACCCTATATACACTCGGGAATGTCCTCAGTCCGGGTTCTAACCGCGCCGTTAACGGCGCAAATGATGACCTCGCGACGGATGCTGTAGGCGTTCCAGTCTACACTGGTCAGCATTCCACCGGCAGCTCCATTTCCCTGCAACTTGAAGGCGAGGAGCACACGGCCGTTGCGTATGGCAATGTCGTCCAGGCAATTTGCGGCATAGCCGAAGCGTCTCAAGATGAAAAATAATAGCCTTGGCCTTGTCAATGCTTCTTCAGAAGATAGGAAAGGTCAACAGCGTTGTCAATGCTCAGATCATCACTGGGGCTGCTGCATTGTCCCTGAAGGGCGGTCAGCTTGAGTTTCGTTCGCTCCTCAAGATGTACTCTAGGATCTCGCATCTTGCTGTAGCTGAAAAGAAAGAGCAACTCTTGAATGCGGTAAGTACCTCCCATATAGTATCCGTGCATTCCTTGTCCTCTAACATATACATATCCACTCGAAGGTTATGAAAGCACGCTGCCACATATCCGCGAATTTGAGGCCCGGCTCGCCTCTCTTCGATACCTATTGGGAACACCTCTTAGATACTATAATCTCAGTCGGGGATGTTCACCAATCGTCTCAAACCAAAGACTCCGATGTCCAATTAGCAGCGCAGGACATTGCACAGCTTCTCCGGCCACTTGCGGTGTTTATGGCCTCCAACGACATGTCCGTTGATGCTATAACAGAGGATGAATCGCACTCGATGCTTCGTGATGCCTGGTTCAATATCGTTGTCCATGGATTCCTTTCTTCTAGCGACTTGGGGGAGAAGTGGGCGAACGAGCTGCGCATAATGGCAGTACACTCGCCCCTCTGGTCGCTGAGCAACGCGGCGAACAGATAGAAAGCGATATCGAGTTGAATACCGTTCTTCGCAGAGGCATGTCCTCAGAAAGAGAAGCAATGCAAAAGAAACATTTGTGCGATCTCTTGCCATCGAGAGCCTCGGATATCCGCAGCCTGAGTTATAGAAAAGTCATCTTCCTACAGGCGGCTTATCTTGTTGAGAGCCTGCGAGCCGACGCAGGGGACTGCACAAAAGCGCTGTCGTACTTCCTAGAACCCAGCATGCGCGGTGGAGCTGTGAGCAGCACGATGGAGGCGCTTACTGCTGCCGTCGTAGGCAAGTATCTCGCGAAGACCACCGCCGGAAAAGACGGGGCTTTTACTGCTCAGTATGTCGCGGTGCAACTAGCATCCATCTTTGTAGTTGTTGCCACCGGATCGAGCGTGTCCAACAGGCAGCTTTAGCTTGTGCAGATCGCATCATGCGCGATGTTCCCTCCGCCCTATGCTATAAGTCGTCTCTTTTCGCTCTTCTGGAGCTGCTTACGCTCATGTGGACCAGCTGTCTCGAAGAGGAAACCGATCTCTATGAACCGCAGTCGATATTCACTTCCCGCCTCGGCAACGTAACGGTCGAGCTCTCTCACGACTACGACTATCGGCGACGCACACTCAATCTGCTCACCTATAAAGCAAAGGCATGGGTCTCAGTGGCGATTAATCTCGCTTCTCTGGATGTTAAAGGGCTACTACAAACTTATCTGTCTGAATACTATGACGAAGGGGCATATGGACACACCTCTTTCGGACGGTCTTTCGCCGTTGAGCTCGGCTCCCTTATCCCAGCCACCGACAACCGCCTACAGTCTATCGAACCCGTTGGAAACTACAAGGTGAATGCTGCCTCGGATTTTGTCGCTCAATATACAACCCGCCAGGAGTATAGGTATGGTGAGACGTTACCAGATAGGGGTATGGAGTTGATGAGCTTCATGCACATCAACAGACGAACGTCCTTTGTTCATTCGTCCAATGATAGCGCCAACGCCGCAACCGCTCTCGCACATGTGGAAGCTCGTCTCTTAAGCGGGAAGGATACACCCCTCGAGGAAGTTCGAGCCATTCTCCGAAGGGCAGCTGCCCTTTTGTGCCGCAGCACGCGTGATGAGTCCGCCGTCACACACTACCTTGTTTCCATCCCATTTGCTATGTTCACGAAGCAATCCATCAAGCTCGGTGCTTCTCTATGGCTGGGGGTGATTAACGAAACCCCGCAGCTAGAGCCAAGACTTTTAGCAGAGATTGCCCAGCAATGGGAGCTTACCATCCAACGGCGACTTGGGCTCTTCAACACGGCAATGACGTAGGTCCCCATACACAGCCTCCAGCAGGCTCTCTTGCTGAAACGCGGTCTCTTCAGCCTGCTCCTCCGCTAATACCCATGTGTTCATAGTCACCCGGATCCGTTTATGGCCAAAAACGAATTCGCTCCAAGCGATCTTGAGGCTATTGCAAAACAGAAGCAATTCGTACACAACTTACTCTCCCCGCATGCCTGGTTGATTGTGTTTCTTGGTAGCCATTTCAATGCCACGCGCCTTGGAAGCCCTAATGTACATAAAATCTTCCTTCGTCTGATTGATATCACGGTCGATGCGGTACGAGATTCGACTCCTCATCCTCTCGCACGCAAAATTCGCCTCGAGATTGTACTTTTCGGCCTCCGAATTCTTCGTGCCTGTACTAATCTCGGGGCTATTGCTGAGTGGCGCTTGAAGGACAAGATTTTGTCTGCCGGGCTCAGTTGGTTCAAGCATTCACCACGATATTCGTTCGGAAACAACATCCTTCAGGTCAAGACGGAATTGAAGTTGCTCACCGATGTCCTCAACGCTCTAAAGCCCGTAGCGTATATCGGCGCACACTCAGTGGGCAACGTCAGGTCTCTTCAAGCCAAGGAGCAACTCCTCACCCTTCTTCTAGAGAACGAGCAAACCCGGCTAGCAGTCTGGCTGAATCCAACAGACGATGCATCGAAATTTCAAACCTTCGGGCCAAATAGCTCTAAGAATGCCCTCGAGGTTCGTTTCAATCAACCTACAAACAAACAAGTTTTTCCAAATTACTAACGCCTCCGCTTAGCCGACGCTATTGCAGCTAGTCCGAACAGCTTGGATGGAGGCTCCATCAATCGCTATCGAGTTGGCAACACGGTTTCCATTCCCTAGGCTTCATGCCCAGATCCGATGGCTTCTACTCAATGTACCAGGAAAGGCCATCGACGAGCCCGGGGCTGTCAGCCTCCTTCTTGGCGGCATGCTACCGGATGATGTCAATTTCCTTCAGCTTAAGGTATACCCCCTTCGCCCTTTACCCACGCAATTTTCCAAAGCTTGTCCCCTAATACTTTGACGGATAGCATCTACTGTACTGGGCGCCCGTAAGCCCGATCACGGCCATAACGTTGTTCATGCCTTCCTACCAAAATCATCCTTTTATCATCCAGTATGCCATGAGAGCGCTCGAGTCTCATTCTGTAGACGTAAACTTCTTCTATGTCCCGCAAATCGTGCAGACCCTCCGATACGACGCGTTGGGCTATGTGGAGCGTTTCATTCTAGAGACCGCACAGTTCTCGCAGCTTTTCGCTCACCAAATCATCTGGAACATGAAGGCAAACTCTTACAAGGATGATGATGCCCAGATTGTAAGTCAATTCAACCCATTCCCCGCTGTACTCCTTACGATCCCCGCGACCTGCAGCTAATAATCTCTCGCAGGAGGATGCCATCAAGCCCACCCTTGACAGTGTCATGAATAAGATGGTACGAAGCTTTAGCCCAGAAGACCGGACCTTCTACCAGCGGGAATTCTCCTTTTTGACGAGGTTACCGGAATTTCGGGCAAGCTCAAGCCCCTTATCAAGAGGTCTAAGCCAGAGAAGAAGCAGAAAATCGAGGAGGAATTACGTAAAATCAAGGTAGAAGTCGGTGTTTATCTTCCCAGTAATCCCGACGGTGTTGTCATTGGTATCGATCGCAAGTCTGGGAAGCCCCTACAGAGCCATGCGAAAGCCCCATACATGGCTACTTTCAGGATTAAGAAGACGAAGACAAATGTGGATTCGTCGACAGAGCTGATAAATGGAGCGGGAAAGAAATCCCAGGAGCGAGAGGAGACCTCGATTGAAACATGGCAGTCGGCCATCTTCAAGGTGGGCGATGATTGCCGCCAGGACGTGCTCGCTTTGCAGATGATTGCGGCGTTCCGAGGCATCTTCCACAATGTTGGGTTAGACGTTTACGTTTTTCCATATCGCGTTACGGCTACCGCCCCTGGCTGCGGTGTTATCGACGTGCTCCCGAACTCGATTTCACGAGACATGCTCGGCCGGGAGGCTGTCAACGGCTTATACGACTACTTCATCTCCAAGTACGGGAACGAGGATTCTCTGCGGTTCCAGAAGGCACGCAACAACTTCGTCAAAAGCATGGCGGCCTACTCTATGATCTCTTTCCTCCTACAATTCAAGGACCGGCATAACGGTAACATCATGATCGATGATTCTGGTCATATCATCCACATTGATTTTGGGTTCTGTTTCGATATTGCCCCAGGTGGAATACGATTTGAGCGTGCGCCATTCAAGCTCACGAGTGAGATGGTGGCTGTAATGGGCGGCAACACGGAACACCAATCATTCAAGTGGTTTGAAGAACTCTGTGTGAAGGCTTTCCTCGCCAGCCGGCAGTACTGCGATAGGCTGTCGCAGATTGTCCTCTTAATGATGGACAGCGGCCTTCCCTGCTTCAAGCCGGAGACTGTGAAGCATTTTCGGGAGAGATTCGTGCTAGAGAAGTCAGAAAGGGAGGCGGCAGACTTCATGAAAGACCTCATCAAAAAGAGCTATGCAAGTTATTCTACAAGCATATACGACCAATTCCAGCTCTTGACTAACGGGATCCCGTATTGATAACGTTGTAAGAAGATAAACGAAGGTCGGCTGGCGGAGCTCGGTCCTTCATCTTCGAGGCATGGGTCTCGTTTTCGCGGTTTAGTTAGTGATATTTAAGTGTTACTTTTTACAATCATGTTCATATCTTATACACGTGTGCGTAGAGCCATTAACTCTTAAAGGAGTGGGGGTGGCCCGCTGTGGTCAACAATATATAATGCGTTTTACGTCCCCGTTCTCGAAGGCCAAGCTTGCCAACCGGGAAACCCGTCGATATCTTGACATGCATGTGATCGCTAAGGCCTGTAATAAACAGCACAGACACATGGTTCGGCCCATGTTCGTCAAAAACAGCCACCAGCATGCCTAGCTAGACTTTTACTTCTGGGCCACATGCGTTGGGACGTTGTAACTATCGTAATCAACGTGAACAAAGGCGCGATCCACGATTGGGACACTCTCAAGGAAATATGTGAGAACCTCGCTATCAAGAGAATGTGAGGTTAGCCCACTCCCTACAAACCCTTACATACGATACCTATCTAATCTTGGATAAGAAGGCTGGGGGCGTTCCTACCTGAGATCGTGGCTGTCCTTGAGGGGCATGTTTGCATCGAGAATTATATCGACCTATATAAGAGAAAGTAGTTGCTCTGATGAGAATTGGACGCCTCGAGCAATCGCTAGATTAGAAAGGCAAAGTAGTATCTCACCTCAACAAAGAGCCTATCACCAGCATGATAAGCCCGAAGATTTTGTATCTGTTTTATTGAAGTGGCGAACCTCATAGTGAGATATAGCACTAGGATAACAAGGAATCCAGGTTAGCCAGAGGAACCGAGGGTATGGAGAGAGGGAGAAAGTAATCTCACAAAGGTTGCGCTCGTCAGGCTGGGCTGAGAATCCTGTCAGGTTGCGCATATGATGCATGGAAGTGATGCTCCAAGTCATCACGACAACAAGGAGAGGATCAAACCTCCGAGCGAGTCGAGCCACCACACTTGAGCATAGTATCCCACTAAACATCATCAAAGTTAGAGAGGAGGAAGGGGGAACAAGGAATGGTGCAGACAGAATTCAGGTCCCTGGGATGCACTGGAAAGAAGTTGGAGGAACTTGCCGATCGGAAAGAGGATGGACCCGGTATTAAAGATTACATCGGTCACGGCATCGTCCGCACTATCATCGTATGGATTGTTAGTCATTCGGCGGGATGTGAACTGATGACGCGATGCAATATGCCGAACAGAGGGGAGGGTGGCCTGCTTACAGGGCCTGGACACTGGAGTTCTTGATGACACGGCACCATAGCCACACCAGGCCCTTGATAACCACGGTACTAAGCATGACGAGGAGGGCAGGCAGTCCGCTTATCGCACAAGATTAGCAAGGGAAACGAGCCACAAGACGGGCGCGGCAAGATACGTGAGGACCATACAGTTCAAGGATCTCGTGTTTTGATGATAGTAGCCGTTGGATGGACTCCATCCCAACTTGAGTGAAGGCGGTGATCATGATGATGGAAAAGACGAGAACGCCAACAGGCTCCAGTCTACCGCAACGCATTAGCATACGTAAACTTAAGGCTCGGTGCTGCCGCAGCAACTCTCGAAGGAGCCAGAAGCAGAGGTGGTGTATTTGTGTTTCCTCACCTTCGTCGACCGACAGGGTACCGGTACTGGTCGGTTTGGCTCGCGGAAATGAGCCTCGTGGTGATCCAGACAATCGCGGTGCTCAAGAAATCCAAAACGGCGTCAACCAAACTTGCGAGGACGGACATGGAGGGCACCGAGGCAACGACGATGATCTTTGCAACTAAAAGGATGACATTGGCGACGGTGTTGACGTAGATAGCGAGAGTCACCATGGGATCATCGTGGTCGAGTTCGGCCTGGCCTAGCCACGCCGTAGAAGGGGGTGCGGTATCAACTTGCGTGCCTCTTCCCTCTTCCACGTCTCGGGGCAGAAGCGGCGTGGATTCGGAAGAGCGGAAAATGTCCGCGGCTGTCCGCGTACGCTTTTGGGTTATGCTGGCCAGTGGCACTGGCCAGCGACGCTGAGTCTGGTGAGGCCTTCCCTGCGGCCTGGCCAGCAGAAGAGTGGATGGACGAAGTCTCTTCGTGGATCGTCTGAGGTACTTCGATTGACCGAAAGGCTGAGGCGTCTAGGCGAGCAGAGTACTCACTCAGGAGCTCGTGTGGGATAGACGAATCTAGGAGCGCATCAATATACATGTACTGCTGTACTAAGTCATTGACGCGCTCATAATATTTCCGGCTACGAAACACGTCAGCTACCGCAGCGAAGAAAGAAGTCTAGATGTGCGCGCTCACATTGGCTTCTTCATAGACCTAAGCTCCGCTTCAGGTTTCCAATATTTCCGCCATTGGTACTTGCTATTCTCTTTCCCGAGCAGCATCACACTTCTCATCTGTGGGTCTGCGAGGATCTGCGAGACGCGTCGCTCGTCGGCATGGTAGCGACGGCGGTCTTCCGGAGACTCCGGGCGCCAGAGGCTTCGAACAGACCTAGCATCGTCATTCTCGTCTTCGCTCACCGCACTATAGGACATGCGACGCAAAGAGCCCGCGAGTGAGGCGGAAGAGTGGTTCCTCATCAGGCTAGAATACGGGTATTCGTCCACACCAAAGAGCTGGGGCTTACGGACACGTGCGTTCCTTGTGCTACGATCCGGCGAACTTGGATCGGCCATTTTGGTAGCAATTATACGTGAGGGACGACGCGTGGGTTACAGTCCCATTTCTATGGTGTAGCTCTTGGTGACGAGGGGAAAATAAATAAATACAAATCTTGAAAAATAAAGATAAAAGGACGGGAATCCAATATCGGCCTCAGCTGCCAAGTTCGTTTTCCTGAGGGCCATGCACGTGCACACAGCGACTTGATCCACCGGGTCCTTGAATCCCCCAAACTAGTTTGATGATCAACTTCACCCCATTGAAAGGCCCCGTATCTGCGCGGTTGTTGAGCAGATGGAGAGGTGGGGAGGGATAGTGAAAGGAGGAAACGAGAAGGAGGGGCAGCATCCTCGAGAAATTGAATGATGCCTCTCAGGTGCCACTCGGCCAGTACTGCGCTGGCCAGCTGGAACCGCGAATATCTAAAGATCAATGCATTCATGGGATGGATCCATGAGCGAATTCAACCACCACGATTACGCCAGACCCGCAAGAGAGCCTCACTCAAATGCTCCGCCACGTCAAACACGTTGAACCCGCCGCTCAAACTCTATCATTCAGCCTTTCTCTAGATGTGGAGCAAGGATTTAGGTTTGAACTCTCACAATGTCAAAATTCAAGGTCAGACAAACGCTTGTTTCAATCTAGTCAATGAATCTAGTGTTTTGCTATCATGCCGATATTGGACATCGACTTCCCTGTGACGGCTGTGACCAGAGCCTTGCATCAGTGGATCGATATATGCACCAGAAGAGACAATCCTTCCCCGAGGCTGTCTAAAAGACGACAACAAGGCGTTGGCGCAACGTGACAAGAGATCAAATGAACGATGCTGAGAACGAAAAAGGCCCTTGCCCATGCTCAAGCGAAAATGGGCCTATCCCCAGGCAAAAGAGGAAGCCGTTCTCGCCACGAGAAAATGGGGGAAGGGTGAAGGGGAACACGCACACACACGGACACACACACACATGGGGATGGGTGTTCTGCCGAAAGTGTAGCTCAGAGAGAATGGCCAAGACAAGGGGGTTTGAAGGAGGCGCCTTTTCAAATAATACACATTGATCCATTTCATCTGTCAGCTGTTGGGTGAACATTTGGGCTGGTTACCCAGTTTGTTGCATGTGCACAGAGAATGGCCACCATCCTTATCATTTTCGCCAAGGCACGCCCAGTCATTTCGAGGGTGCATTAGCGCGAGGGTTTCCAGCTGAATGGGGCGCTGCGAGGCGCCGAGAGTAATCAAGCTAATGGATTGAGGGTGTTTCGCGCGCAACCTTGCTCACAAAAGTACAAAATAGCCAACTTGCAAGGTCCGTTCTGAAATTAGGCCAATAACTCTTTCAGAGACACCAATGGACCTAGTGTAGAAGAAAAAAATGCGAGAAAAGATCAAGATCCGTAGATGGCTCCAGGGCTGTATGTATGTACATGTAATTTCTAGCGCAGCGCGGGATTGAGGCGTCCAGTCGTACAAGTATTAAGTCCGTGCTCGTGATAAATTTTGAGCTCGCGAGGACATGCAATGGGAGCATCTCCGTAATATTACATCATCCGTTATATTTTCCAAGCGTAAATTGGATTTTGACAGGATTTCAAAGCTAAAGAAAACTGAAGCTGAGGGACGTATGGCTGCATCACTACCGAGGTATAAGCAGTTGGCTTTTGGCTTGCAATCGATCGGTTCGTATGTTGTCTTTTGTGGGGGTATTGGTGCTCTATCCACGCGCAAATGGAGGGAAGGAGAGGGCAAACAGGGCAAGGGGGGTGATCCGGACAGGGGGAGAAAATAAACAAGTAAATAAAGGGCTTGATACTTGGTGGTATTGGGGAAAGTAAGAAAGCCGCCGATGTGAGAGAAAGGCCCCTTATTCCGTTGAACACACACGCCAGCCACAGGTCGCGGCCGAATGTGAGAGTAAATTGATATTGATGTGCTTCCTCTTCTCAGGTTGTGTCCTGCCGGCGCGTGCTTCTCCGCCACTGGACGGCCTTTCTCCACCCAGGATCCGCCCTCTCCAGTCAAGCCAAGGCAGTCAGCTCAATGATGCTACCCGACTTGATCTATTGACTGAGAATGCAGTGTATGTCGTGTATGTAATGATTCCTGAATCAGCCTGAAGAAATGCTTCCCCCGGCCGGCCAGCCAATTGGCGCTACGGGAGAGCCCAGGGCGTGGCGGCATGACTGGGGAGAAAGCCCCATGCGGCGGCAGTCCGAGAAGTGCAAGGCCACCGTAGGAACAACTACTTCGTACTTTCCACCACATCGTCTTGTCTTGCGGACAAAACAACATACAGAAGGCCGACTACAGCAATGCCGAAACCTTACAGGCGGACGGATGCAACGGAAACGGGAGGCGTGCCTGACAGGCCGCTTGCAACCCATCCCATGCGTGAAAGACGCGAACCTCTTTTGGGAGACGAGCCCAGTTGTCCAGCTCCCAGCATTTGAACTTACCGAGTGAGGCGGCCATCAATAATAATTCAAAGCCTTTGAGGTTGGCCACCTGTGGCTGCTTTCGATGTGTATAGTGTACTGAGTATGTCGTGGAGTCTGTGACGGGTGCCCACACTTGAAGGTGGTGTCGATCACTTTCGGAGATTTGGCCAACACACCTCCAGCCGCCTCCTGTTCACGCAGGCTCGAAGTCTCCTTTTTTTAGAGTCATCCATGGATAGGAAAAGGCCACAAGACTAGCTTTTCGGCACCCTTCCCCCACCTCGTACCCTCTACGCCAAGCCCATCCTGGCGGGGACATACGGACCAGATACACCACAATTTACCCCATGGTGAGTGTCAACAGCGGCGCCCACCGCTCTTGCAAATGAGAAGGGGGAAAAAGAAAGAAAAAAAGAGGAAGAAAAGAGGAAAAAGAGGAAAAAGAGGAAAAAGAGGAAGAAGAGGAAGAAGGAGGAGAAGAAGGAGGAGAAGGAGGAGGAGAAGGAGAAGGAGAAGGGGGATCACTGCGACTGCATCAAGGTGTAAACTAGAAAGCTTGTGGCATGGTCACGGTTGACGATTTCTTCACTCAACTCGCGTTGGAGGGACTCAGAGCTAATACCCAAGGCCTCTAGAGCCACAAGAAAAAAGCCTATGAGGGCCACGCTAATAGTGAGAAAAGGAAAGAGTTGGGTCATCTTGACTTGACAACTCACCCACGAACTCAGCCACCGAACTTGTTTGTTTTTTATTTTTTATTTTTATTTTTATTAATAAATATCCTTGGTTGTGCTGTTCTAACACTTCCTTCCGCTTTCGCCGACGCTTTCAAACGCAGCTCAATGTCCCCTACCTGTCCTTGATGTCCTTGAGGGCTAGGAGGGCAGACAAGCTTTCAACATTACATCCTCTATACATGCAGGCTGGTGTTGCCGAGCGCCGCGCGCCTTTAAAACGGGAACTGGAGACAATTCCATGTACTTCGTAGCATGTATTATTGGCAACAGTGGCCCTCCTCCTTGGTTCGCTCCCACACATGGAATCTGCGCTAAACTGAGCCTCTCGTGCAAAGAGGGACGGGTCGACGGTCAACAGGACTGATTCATATGCGCGCCCACCAGGGATCAGGGGCGGCTGCGGATGGTCAATCGCGCAAGGCAGGTGACGTAGCACGGGACGAGCTGCATCTAATGGATGGATCCAGAGAGAGCTCCATAGGTGCGTAGTAATAATAATGTCCCAAGGCCATTTCGGGATGGAAATTTATTTTGGTATGCATTGGTTGCTGGTGGGTGGTAGGCTGTTCCAGGTTTCCCGGTCCTCTGTCGGAGAAATCCGATGCGACGTCTTCGCGGCTGGGGCGGTACGACAAGTACTCCTTGTGTGTGCGCCCCTTTGAGAGCCAACCATCTACATCTCCATGTACACTCAGCGCAAATACGCCAGCAACTCAATGGATCCCACGCTTGCCCTTCGTCAATTGCAGACCAAGACGTGCGTACCTCGGAAAAAATGAGAGAGATAGAGATGCCCCAGCCGTCAAGTTGAAGCCCGTGAAATGTTCGATTCTAGCCAGAGGCAGCCATGCACTACTCACCTCCCACCGATGACTTCAGTTTGTTTGTCTCCCTAAACGGTCGTAAGTGACCAGTGACCATGATGGTCCCGTTTCCTCCTTGTTCCCCACAATGTACCATGCTTTTCCTTGCACCAGGAAGGTTTTAACCAGATGTGAGATGAGGAAGAAAGGTAATATTCATTGATATAAAGAAAAGAAGCGGAAAAAGGAAGAAGAAAAGGCGAGAGAACCCTCCCCCGAGATGCGATGTCCGGGAGCGTAAGGAGGTGGGGAAAAGGAGGAAACGAAACGAAACGACGGAAGAAAGAAGCAAGAAGAAAATCATGAGGGGACCCCGGGAAACAGGAAACAGGAAAACGCATGCACCTTCGTAAATTCGAGCAGATCCAATCTCAGAACCAACGAACCCATTGTTGACTTGAGCGTCTTCTGTCGATCAAAGAGCAGGTGGAACATTGAAGGCTGAGGGAGAGATCGGGGAACCGGGGACCTGCCTTTGAGTTAGCTGCGGTTGGCCTTCCTCCGCTCCACGCAGCTTGGACTCCGAATGTTGACCTGGAATACCTCGGTATATCCTCCCGGTAATACATTCCAACCCCAATACAATATTGAAAAAATAAATAAACAAATTAAATAAATTAAAAAAAAAAAAAAAGAAGAAAAAACTGGAGGTTGGAGCAAGAATCTTGCGCGCGAAGTCGATCGCACATATTTCCACGCAGAGGATGCAATCCGGGATCTGTTGACACACTTCCTTCAATCCGGTTTCTCTCCCCCTTCCCTTCCCGCGCTTGGCAAAGAATGCAATGCTAGTACCAGTCAACTGCGACAAAGTATTATTAGAGCTCAAGTTTGCTGCTGGCGCCGAATTGCAGAAGCCAGATCTGGGCTCCCCTTGTTCATCCTGAGGAGCGTGGCCCTCAACCCAGCGGGGCGGATGCCAAGGGGAAAAGAGGACGAGGTCAACCGACGATACCAGGGCCAATCAGGCCCAATCCAACGAGTACATGTATCATGAGCATCATGCCAATTGCTGTGCCATGTGGTTTCCTGTGCACCATGCGTTAGGATTGTATCGGTGGACTGAAGTGGATTTTATGATCTTGGAGATTGACTGGATCATTGATGGATGGATCCATCCATATCCACCCATATCCATCCATATCCATCCACATCCATCCACATCCATCCACTTACCATCGGGCTCTCCTTCTCCAACGCATCTATTGATCCATTCAATCCAACAGGCCATAGGTCTATGCAGTATGCTGACACCTGACAGTTGACAGGGTCGTCGCAGCGCTGTTTGTCGGGTTTCGTGATCAAATCATTCATTTACACTCTGCACTCTGCCTCTGCACTTTCCATTGACGGCATGTACGAAGTATGTTGAATTGTTGCACATGGCCCAAGTCGCGCAGGCTCATCCAAAGCTGGAAGTTCCGGGCTGTCGATAATATATGTAGTATATGGATGTAATAATGGATGTATCCTGCTCAGATGGATTGAGTGGCCTTTTCACGCCTCAACTGCATTTGCAATAGTATCCCCCTCCCCAAGGGCACAGTCGCTGAGTGACGACAGACCAACAGCGATGTGGCCCCCATGTGCTTGTAGTTTAAGCCAGCTTGAGTCGACGCGTTAATGCGACCGCCCTCAGCTTGAGGTGTTGCTCGTAAGAATAGACCCGTGCCCTCACCGTCGTTCCCTGACCCTGCCAATAAGATACTGGATCAATTGATCCACGTCCGCCGCTGACAGAATCAAGAATACTTGTACATTGATCTTTGATGTAGCTACGACATTGATCAATTAATCCATCCACTGATGAATACCTACACCCCCTTTCCCCAAGCGGACACACCCTCACACAATTCCAATACTTCTCCACTTAACTCCTCATCAGGCCTCGTATCCCCCTTGCTATTACTTGTAGATCCGGCCATTCTTAGTGTACATGTACGCTACAGAAATATCAATTCTATCGCCGGCAACCTTTTCCCCTGGGGCCAGGAAAGATTCTTTCCGTTCTTTGGCCTCCAGTCTCTCTCATGCCAGAAGGACAGCGTTGATCCCCTCTTCCGCCGAATCGTCGCTTTCAACCACCGAGATCTGCGCGTTTCTCAATCCGGCTCGTCTCCGGGCCTTGACCTTTGCCCATCTCCCGAAAGCAGGGCTTAACCGAAGTGGCCGCCCTGTGGACTTGCAAAGGGGTGGTCCCCACCACATGTACCAACTGTTCCCCTAGACCAGGCCAAAATTGGTTGGTCCCGCCGTCCCGTGTCACTCTCACTCCCTCGCTACCACGACTTTCCCTTCGTAACAAATTCGCTCTCAGTTGGGGTTTTCTCATTGATCCTTCCTATACACGACGTCGATAATTTTTCGTCAACGCATCGCTCGAGGCTGCTTACCCCCGTTCACATCGCATCGTCAAGACTTCTCTCTTTGATGTCCCTTCATTGCATCATCTAGGCTATCCAACCACCACGATAGACTCCACGAGCCACGCCTAGTCTAACGTGTTTCTCTCCGCCCCGGCTTTCTTCTCCCCTGGATCCCCCACCCTCCACGCCGGACAAACATCATCATTCGATCTCAACAACGACACACAGACTTCACAATGTAAGGAATCCCTTGGGGCCCGTTTGACGTAACTTCCGCCCTACCGAGGCTACGAGAGTGAACTATGTCTAAAGCCCCCGTACTTTCTCATTACATCCCTTTTTACGGCCGCCTCGATGGCCTTGGTATCCGGTCTCATAACCCTCTGTTGCCTGGGTCAAGTGTGCTGAGGCTCTCTCGCATACATTGATTCAACGCTAAACTTGGAGTATCGATGCTAATATATCGATCTTCACCCTCCTCTAGATATCGCTCCGGGTCTGAACTCGGGAGTCTTTCCCACTTTGCGTCACTCGCCAAGACTTGACAGGCCTTTCAACAGGCAATCCACACCAGGAGGCAACCCCTTGCCACCGTTGACCATACCAATCGCTTCGGGACAAATCAACTCTGAAGGAGCCAGCAAATAATTGTGACTATAAGTTCAGAAACGCGCAGAGAGGGAAGCGGGGGTGGACCTGTTGAACCCGAGCAAGCCGGAGAGAGAGATCTGAGTCAACTTTTTAGCCCTGGTTCAATCTTTTGACAATCTCTCGTCAACCAAGCTTGGACGCTCGACAGACACTGAAGAGCTGGGAATCCACCACAGCGACATCCGAGCATAGCGGAATCGGTCTCCCCAGCTATGGCCAAGTTTCCGGTAACATTTGGCAAACGGAAGTCCGCCACGAGCAATGCAGACCCCGATGGTCAGGTTTCCTCCTTCCGCGTGTTGGAACGGACTGAAGTTGCCGGAGTCAAATCTTTCGATGGCGGCTCCGGGCTCGGTCGTCCAATTGCCACCACTGTGCGGCCGTATTCGCAGGTGAATATGGTAGCTGACGAGGATAACATGTTTGCCAATCTTCAGATAAATCGGTAGGTCCTCCGGCCAGACTTTCCTTCCCTATAGATGACCCGCATGTCTCGGACTGCCCTTGGCCCCGCCGGGTCCGGGCGGTCATTTCCTTGCTCTTTATAGACCTGACTCGACGTGTTTCGCTTTTCCCCCGGTCCCCATTTTTCGGGGGCATTTTTCCTCCACGCAAGAGCCTGGTTATAGTCAACACGGCCACCGCGTGCCCCTCCATTCTCACCATCCACAACACCACATACCTTTGGCGCCCCATTATCAGTCTGAGGTCTTACTAACTTGGTTCTGTCCAGCGCCAGCGGGTCCTCTAATACCACGAAAACCGCGTCCACGGACACGTCATCTCGACATAGCGCCGTCTCAACAACACCGTCGTCTGCAACTCCGTCTGCGGACCCCAACCACGCACAGATCCTTGATGATGCAAGGATAGCTAGAAAGCCCCTGGCTGCTGATAGCGCTCCGCTCCAAGCCTCCAAGTCTGGCTCCGGCTTCCTCAACCGTGCCGGCCGCACCTTTTCCTTTGGCTCAAAGAAAACCCTCCCCCTGGTGCCAGGCGACACACCACCCCCGTTCCCACTCACTCGAGTTTTCCTCGTCCCCGCGGCATGACATCGACCTCCATTGCAACGGATACCACAACTAGCACAGCAACACCACCTAAACTAGACGAGGACGAGTTCAACCTCGATCTTGGTGGTGACTTCGGCAAGATGTTTAACGGCTTCGATAAGCGTGCCAGTGTCGCAACGATTCGAAACGGTCCTCCCCAAAGCCTTCAACCCCTCCAACCTCGCTCGCTTACAGATAATCGACCATCGCCATCGGCACAGCCTAACTCTATGAGGCCCCCGCCCTCTCCACATTCCGTCAATAGCGATCATTCCAGCGATGGCCTCCTCTTGTCTTCCAACGCTGAGCGACCTTCTCTTTTCTCGCGACATACTGGGACCCCTGTCCAGAAGCTAAATCGGCCCGCCGATATAATCGAAGACGAGAATGCCATGCTCCTCAAAGAATCCCTTGCTGCAAGCAAATTCCTTACCGCCCCAGGTGCCAGGGCGACCCAGACTAGCCGTGCGAGACAAGACGACGAGAGGATAAACAGTCCTGCATGGAAGGCTGATCACGGCGGAAATGAAGATAACCTGTTTGATAATAATCTTCTACACTCGACAAGAGTAGCCCATCGATATGTCTCCCGACCTCCGAGCCCTCCCCGAAACCGAGTCATGACTCCGGCTCAGTTCGAGCAGTACAAGCAAGAGAAGGAACGCACCTCGGGAACCAAGGCAAACGTGGAAGGGGAGGCTAAGGACGACGAAGATGAAGAAAACTACGAGGATGACGAAGATGACATTGAACGCTCGAGGCAGGCCGCGAAGCAGCGCAAGAAGCAGGAGGCTCACATGACCGTGTACAGACAACAGATGATGAAGGTCACTGGAGAGTCCGCTAACCCTCTACCCCGACCACCCCTTGCAACGTCAGCCACTGCTCCAGTTCTTGTCACGGCATCGGACGGGTCAGATGAGGACGAGGAGATACCGCTGGCGATCCTCGCTGCGCACGGCTTCCCAAACAAAAATCGACCTCCCGCGCGTCTGAATAACGCAGCCTCCAACCCAAATATTCGCTCGTCAATGATGGCGGGCGGCGGACAGCCAAGCCGACCACTCGCTGACAACGGCTCTGCTTCATCTGGGGTAACGGCCGGGCGATCCTCTCAGCTTCCGGCTTTCGCACGGAATCTTCCGCAAGATCCCTTCGTTGGCGCTGGCCTTGTAAGAAACGCCACGAGGGAGTCCATGGCTTTCGCTGGAGGTGCTCCGGCCCCTGCTTCCCAGTCCACTCTCCCTCCCGGTGGCTTGGTCGGCGTTATTGCCAACGAAGAGAGGTCACGGGCGCTGCGCCGTGGTAGCCCCAACGTGGATAGCAAACTCATTAATGGGGTCAATGGCCCTCCCGTAGGTTTCGATCCTATCACCGGTATCCCACACCAAATGATGTATGGCATGGGTGGCTCACCTTCGATGCCCCACCTCTCACCAATGGGATATCCTCAGCCAATGTTGACACCTGGTGATCAGGCTCAGCTCCAGATGAACCAACAAATGCAACAATTCATGCAGATGCAGATGCAATTCATGCAAATGATGGCAGCAAATCAGGGCGGCCCTGGCCCCCGTCCCAATTCCTTCGTCGTTCCAACAGGACCCAGCGACATGTTGTCTTCTCGCCATTCCTTCATCGGTGGAGACTTTGGGATGGATCCTCCACGACTAGCCGATCATCGCATGAGAACGATGAGCATGGTTCAGCCGAGCTCAGCCTCGTGGATCCAACCAGTCGGTTATGCGCCCTCAATTCGCGTTCAAGGAGATGGCTATGCCCCGTCAATCGCGCCTTCTGAACGAAGCAATATCGGCTTACCTGGACGATATCGCCCAGTGTCGCAAGCACCACATGATGCGATGCGTCGAGTTTCAACCATGTCGGGGGCTTTAAGCTCCTGGAATGAACCCCGAAACTCAACACCAGCGCCGACGTCACTTCCCAAAAGTGGTAGCAACTCGGACGATGACGATGAGGAGGGCTGGGTGGCGATGAAGGCAAAACGAGAAAAAGCGATCCCTTTGGAAATCCAAGAAGGGGTTGGGAGGTCTCTCTGCCCTTATATCTTGATCGGGACCGTGTCCGTCGCCCTAGCGGGCCTCGCTTTCCCCTGCTTCGTACCTCGAGGCCGGCCTATCCCCAATCCTATTATTCTACGAGCCGGCGGCTTCTATTCAGCTCGTACCCTCAATTCGGCAGCAAGTCATCGCAAGGACTCAACGCGGAGCTATAATTACCACTGAATACGCCCCTCGGTAGATCCAAATCGTCGGGAAAATTGCCCGCGTACCACTACCGGTCAGTTTATTGTTCATAGGCACAGGCTACGGAGCCTCCACATGCATTATTTTTGCGAACAATATGCGGGGGCATTCATCAGACTCCCAAACTCATCTTCTCTCCAAAGCTCTCGACATGCTTTGTTTTTTTTCTTTTTTTCCTTGTCCCCTCTGCCTTGTCATCGTTAGCACTTGAGTTCTTTGCGTCGTTGTGTTTTTTTAATTTCTTTTCTGCTTTTCCCTTTTGTCATGCAAGTGGTGGAGGGGCGGTTGTGGATACGACTATCCTACATCTATCTTCCATTCTATATTGACTGCATCATGAAGCGCACATCCGAGGGAGGATGTTACATCACCAGAACCTGTAAAGAGTAAATATTCGAAAGAAAATCAATCTAGGAGAGGAAGGAAAAGAATGACTTGAAAGGAGAAAGGATCCCCGGGCAACCCCAGCCCATCATTCCATGCGTTTACATGTCATCTACGCTCATCAGTTTGGAGTGAGGATATGCCTCGATAAGCACCGATTGGGTTTCGCTTGTCTTTCTCCGCCTTTGTCAGTCATGAGATGGTGGAGGGAAGCATTACAGCACGCAAATCTTAATAATTCAATAATAGCCCTGATTACCAAGAGCTCCTCTTAATCGCATTTGTGGTGATGGACACAAATGGCCTCGCCTTGCGGCCTGGCCGCCCGTCCATGGACCGGTCCTAGCAGGACTCGTTTCGCCTTCCGTGAGTCAAGACAGATCCGACATTTCAATCAGTAAAAGCCTGTCAGCCAGATAGCTATATAGCTATGGAGAGCAGTTACGTGGGTCATGACAGGATAGATCTATGGGCGTATTGGCGATACATGTAGCGAGGGGCAGCGCTGCACTTAGTCCGTCGACAATCTAACAACGGCCACAACAACTTCGAAACCCGCTCAGAACAAGCCAACCAGTCCTACCCGTGGCAAGTTGATGAGTTTTTAACTCCCCTCACCTCAATGTTATCCAATGAAGGAACCCGGTCGGATTTGACGCCCCCAACCTTACTATATCGATTAATAAAGTTTAATACTTCACGGTGCCAGACAAGAGAGTTCTCGTGCTTCAATACCCACTAGTAGCCTCGCTGTTAGTAGCTATACTTACCTACTCCTTCTATAAAGCTGGGGGACGGGTTGGGGGAAAACGCACATGATTCTCATCGGGGAACATAACAAAGCGGCTAGGGATCTTCCTGGCCTGGAGGACGTTAAACATGGCCAGGCCTTCAGATATTGGCAAGCGGTAGTCCAACTCGTTATGAATTACCTAGTGGTTGACGTTGCATTAGGTGATATCCTAACGAGAGGACAAGTGTAGCGAGATGTCGCACGTTCTCAACTTACAAGCATGGGCGTCTGCCATTTGTCAGTGAATCTTGAAGGGTCCCATTTCTCGTAAGTTTCTCGCCGCTCCCAGATGGGACCGCCAAACTCTCGGATTGGGAAGAAGAGTTCTTCAGTCGACCACTGATTCACGGTGGAGAAGACGCCGTCATGGCAGACTAGTGCTTTAAACTTGCGGCCTAGAGGGTGACCCTGGATCCAATCTGCCCGCAGGTGGATAAGATATCATAGTCAGCTCTCGCACGGCCGAGCACCATCAAGACAACAACCAAAAAAAAAAAAAAAAAAAAGGGGGAGAAAAGAGACGACCCACTAATCATATAACCGCCATACGAGGCGCCCAATGCCACACCGTTGTCCACATCAACATCTGGCATATTTGCGCGAATATGCTCCCAGCATCGCTCGAGGTCCTCATAGGGCCTTCCTCCCCACTCGTTCTGAATCCTATCAGTGAAATCCTGCCCGTATCCAGTGCTTCCAGTCGGGTTCACCATAACCGCTATGTATCCTGCCTCTGCGAAAATAGCAGGGTTCCATCTTGTGCTCCAGCTATCCAGCCAGGCACCTTGGGGCCCGCCATGTATTAAAAGAGCGAGGGGATACCTTGTAGAGGCCTTCAAAGTAGAGGGCTTCATGACCCAAGCATGCACTTGACGGTCCTCACATCCTGAGAACCAGAAATCCGAACACTGGGCACGTGATAGTCCGAGAGACTTTCCATGTTTAGTTGCAGAAGAGAGAATCTTGGTGGATTTCGATCGCGGATCAAGGATAGAGTAGCAGGCGCTATCCACTAGAGAGGAGCTGGTAATAAAAAGGCGGTGATCGAGCTCCGACAGGCATGAAAAGCCTGTTACAGTATCTGTGGTGTATATAGCTTCGGGGGCGGCATCGCAGGTGCTGGGGACGCGGGAAGTTTCCAGAGGATAACTCTGCCATGTTTTTCGGCTGAAATAAAGAGCTCGGTATTGTCTCTGCTCCATTCAATATTAGACGGGCTGTAATCCCACCCCCATCGCCATCCTCAGTCTGATAAAACTCCTGGACGTGGCTCCATTCCTCTATATTAGGGATTAGCATGAGTCTCGTCTTGTCCGCCTCGTACTGGCCATTTTTCATGCGCAAGAACGCTACACTTCGGCCATCATGAGAAAATTTAGGCCCCATTGTATAGCCAGATAGGCCCCGAGTCTGGATAGCATGCGGAAGCGGCGCGCTTCTCTGGGGCCACGTTGAGATTGGCAGAAAGTATAGGTCACTCTTCGTAAAGCATGCAGGGTCTAGTGTAGGATCCCTCGAAACAAAAACAATTCCGGAGGGGCTGATATCAAAGTGGTCGGTCCCCCAAATGGCGGAACGGGACACTCTAAGTCTGTCCCTAAGAGCGCATTCACAAGGCCAGGCTTTTCTAACTTCCATTGACCATCAGCCTTAATTAACAAACCGAACCATATGGAATTGCGGGAGGCGGGATCATTCCAGGAGTCCCAATGCCTAGTATAAAGACTTGAGTAGATTTTTGCCGATGACTGGATTTTGGGGCTTTCTGGGTTTTGTAAAGAGTGAAACATGGTGCCATCTAGGGCCGTTGGTGCTGAGCAGGCGATCAGAATTTTACTCTGACTGATGCGCTTCGCCTTTAGGTTGGACAGCGAGCCATTAACGCGGTGGATGGAGACGGGGTCGCTTTCAGAGCTTATTAGCGAGAAGGCTTTATCCATGAATTGTCTTGCTCGTGTTGCCATGCGATGATAGAACACCTACCGGCCATTTGCGAGATCGAGGTGCATGATCATAGTCGACCCATCTCCACTATTACCGTGGTCAAGCAGAAGGATCTCACGCTCGTCTATCCATACCGGATCTTTGCGATTCGAGTTTTCGAATACGATGGTCGTTTCCCTGTCTCTATGTCAAGAAGGCGGAGCTGATCTGATTTGATATGTGTCTCGAACGAGTAACTTGAGGACTGCACAGGCCACGTCAGTGATCCACAACACCTCATTCCAGCATCCCAGAGGCTTTTACTCTAGCAGATCCCTAAGCTAGATTCGATGCGGCGGGAAGAAGACCAGATTGAACTCAATGCCTCCACATACCGTGTAGAGAACGGCTGTTCCTGACGGGTTCGGCATGCCAATGCTTCGACGGGGAGCCGAGAGCAGGACCTCCGGGGTGAATTTGGTTGCACGGATAGTCATATTTGATGAGATACGAAAAAAGCGTGTCTTTCGCCTCAAGTTCTTCTTGGCTCATAATTGTTACACCCTGTCTCGGGACACGAGCTTCCAACTGAGCCTGGTACCTTTGAGGTTCGACCCCGCATAGTCACACCTCCAATGCTGACAAACTCACCCTACCAGCCGCAAAGGAACGGGCAGGATTGCCGGAAAGGGACAGCTTCGCTCAAGAATGGATCGGTTTTCACTCTATCGCTAGAGGCCAATGGTGAGACGCACAATCCCAGCACAACCCTACATAAATCTAAGGTTGGGTTCCGTAAGGAGGTCGAGGCCCTGAATCTCACTAATATCGCGGAGAGCCCGACAATAACTACTTCGACAAAATCCAAAGTTGTAATTCCTGAGAGGCCGCGACGTACAAAGCCAGCCCTCAATACTGGGGCACGTAATCCTTCATCTACAAGCATGAAGCACGCAGCCAAATTGCTATGTAGTGAGGGGACAACCCCACCCTTCATGGTATTCAATCCAACTTACCTGCTGCCCAGAGCTTTCGCTTGGCGCCCATCTCAACGGCTGCAAGGCCCCAATCGTGCCCATGATTGTGCCCCCTTTGGTCAAACCCGCCCTGGCCTGCGCCTGTTCCTCCGTGAGCACAGTGAGCACACCGAATATAACGGGGATACCAGTATCAAGCTGCACCCTCATAAGGCCGTGTGAGACAGAGTCGGCAATATACTCAAAGTGCATAGTTTCTCCTTTGATCAGCACGCCGATAGCAATGATAGCATCAAATGGTCCGTCCGCCGTGGATGGGCTAGAGTTGAGTGACGTGATATCCGAAGTCGATGAGCTGAGGAGATCGCCGGCAGAGATGGTCGGGCCGCTACTTGAACTTTGGATTTGAGATGCTGCAAAAATTCTGTCCCGAATTTGATTAGCAAATTTTTACTGATGCTAAAAATTATTAGGCCAAGGGCATATCTCGTGGGGTAGAGCGCGTATACCTCTGCACCGCGGTGGGAAGTTCCCACGAGCCTGGGACGGTGTCAACAACGATGTTGGTCTCCTTGACACCACACTCGAGGAGTTTTTCCTTTGCGCCATCCACGAGCGGATTGATTATGGATAGATTCCACCGAGCATGTACAATCGCAACTCGTAAGTTTGTGCCATCGTAGGTCTGCGGCGCTGGGCCCTTGATAGCTGCCATTTTACCGTGGCTCTGCGAGACGCTGGCTAAGGAAAGTAGAACGACCGGAGTCCTCGCGGGTTCCTGAGCTCTTCAAGCCTATTCCCGGGCACCTGTTTACAAGTTTTGGAGGTTGAATGAAGGAGGGTGTCGTTTGGGAAAGGTGCAATGATAGGGAGTCTTCCCAGAAAGACGTTTCGCTTGTGCGAGGCAAATAAATTGAACTTCCGAAGTGGTAGCCTGCGTAGGGGGTTTGTGGTGTATGTAGGGCCTATTATAATAGCGTACATACAATGGATGGAACCTGGAGAGATCAATTACCTGTGCCATTGATGGGTCCGCCATCTAATAGTGGGTTGATCAATCCATTACTTCTGTTGTGGTGCGGGGTTGTGAACACCTCCAATGGATCCATTTGAGCAATTACTCGGAGAGAACAGAGCTACGCGTCGTGTGGTGAATACTTTTCATACTCACATCGCTGATTTGATAAATTTATAATACATCATTGATGTATGTTTCTGATAAATCTATTTCAATTATTAGACTTCCATCAAAAGGCTGGCAGCTGGATGGATCCAGGATAGATGATCCATTGGATCAAGAGATCCATTCAATGTATTACCTGGGGCCCCTGCCTAGTGTGCCCAATGACCTGGATTTAACAGAGTGGGGCATTCCAACAACCGTGTGGATTGATTCAGATCATCGTTTGGCCCATTTGATCTGGTCTGTTCGAACTGACCGTCATATCTGTCTGACAATGACCACGGATGCACCAAATACCCCAAATACCTACCCCGTGAATTCAAGTAATTTTTTTCTTTCTCAGAAACCCGAGATAACTCAATAGGCGGATTTCAAGCTCGTGATTAGCTCGTGCTTAGCCGGACCTTTGTCCACCTCATTATCGACAATCTCACCGAGCAGAGAGCAACGTTCGCGGTCAGGACAAATGACATCCGAAAGCAAAAAGCCTTCGAGCGCCGTTGCGGGTATTGCCGGGCCTCTCCCGACATTGCAAGAATATAAGAAGGAACAAGTGCGACTTCGGGAGATGATTGAGAAACAGAAACATCTGTTCAAGAAACTTGTATGCTCATCATGTGCTACGGATATCACCGAATGTCTTCTGACTTACCACTATCTTCTCATAGATCCAACTTGAAGACACCATTATTCAAAAGGAAGCCACTTACATCGAGTCATCACCAACGGGTAACATCATCACTGGCTACGACAATTACATAAAGGGGTCCAGCGGCTCAGCAGCACAGAGGAGAAAGTTAGGTTCTATCGAACAGCACTGCGTTTTCTCGCGTTCTTCTGTTTCTTATCGACCCAACACAGGGGTATGTATGGCCACTCTTCCTTACTCAAGCACTTCCCTTCCAACGCCCAGAGCGTGGACTGACACACGTCAACTAAAACATCGCCGGGGTTCCTGGTGCAGGATGCAACTCCTGGCTCAAGCACGCCTGTCTCTCATGCACCAACTCCTCTGTCAGCATCGTTTAAGGATTTGGGCTCAAACCACGCCACACCAACATCAGTAACAGCTGGGCGGGCGGGCCCCAAAAAGAAGAAGAACAATGACGAGGATAGCGAACCAGAGGCAGTGAATAATAAAAAGCGAACGAACTTTGGGGCTGGGCGTAAAGAAAGATAACGATCAGGTGTGCTTTTCACGGATAAGGAGACAACCAACATAAATGGGGCGTCAATTTACGAAAGGGATTTCTTAGGGAACACAAATCTCATTTAATAAATAAAATACATTTCGCAATCGACAGCTCGCTTTCACCGCGCAGATTGCGGTGACACTTGCGCTTGGGTGCAGGAAGGAATAACACCGAACTAACTCGCGGACATACGCAACTTTTCAAAAGGGGAGGGAAATCCCGGCAGCTTAACTAGGTCCACCACAGCCCGAATGGCGGATGTATGTGGGTGTATTGTAGACAATCCTCAAGAGGCCGTGAGATAGACGAGGAAAGGAAAGGAACGGGCCCTTGAGCGCGGATGATGGGAGCGGGCTCCAAGGTTGGTACCGGTATGTTGTTAGACAAAGGCCAGCCCACCTGTTACGACTGCTGACTGCGGGTGTTGCGCTTTGTAGCCTCGGGCTTGCCCGTATCAGCGCCTGTCGTTGTTCCCTTGGTCGACTTGTCCTTGGGAGCCTTGCCGACACTATCAGTTTTCTTGGCAGGCGCGGTAGCACCCTGGCTGGCGAGGCTGATGATGATAGCAACAAGTCCGAGAACAAGAGCAGCTAGGCCCCCGGCAGCCTCGGGAACAAATTGGATAGCTTGCAAGGGGTCCTTCTTTGCAAGTGTAATGAAGAGGTCAACCTTCTCCTTGATGTAGTTCACAGGATCATCGGTAAAACTGAGGTCTAGGGGAGACCTGGGCTTCGGATCCTCCTTGGGCTTCTCAGCCTCTTCCAAGAGCTTCTCGGCGTCACGCTTGGGCTTCCAAGCTTCATCGGCTAGTTTCTGAGCATCCTCAACCGAGTGGCCGATGTAGATGTTATCGAACATGATGTTGTTTTGCATCGTCCAGATCTCAAAACCGATCTAATGAAGTGAAGCTATATTAGTACTTGAACACAAAGCGAGTGTTGCGATGATTTCGTAAATCATGGTCCAAAACTTACAGCACCCATAGGTTCAAAGTTCGCAGGGTTTTTGTCCTCGAAATAGTCGGGATTTGCGATCTTTCGCGGAGCCCAAGGTCCCTTATACGCAGGGTTCTCAATCATGGGGGCAGACCATTTTCCCTTGAAGTCGGGGTTCTTCACCATTGGCTTAGTCCAAGGACCGCAACCAGAAACCTCTGTGCATTTGGGGTTGGGTACGGTGGGGGATCCAGTCGCCGTCTTCCTCGTCATCCCAGTCTTCGGGCTTCTCAGCTTCGGGGTCGGGAACTGAGGTTGGCTCCTTCTCGAGCCAGTCTTCTGGCATCGTGGCTTCTTCGTCGACGATCTCGTAAGGCGCATCTTCATCCCAGTCTTCGGGTTTCTGTGCGTCCGGGTCCGGATGCGTGCCTCGTCAACCCAGTCTTCGGGTTTCGTATCCGATGGATCATCGATTTCTTGTGCAGGGTTGACCGAGGGCTGGAAGTCGGTAAGCAAACTTCCGGACTTGACTTCCTCGCCATTTTGCTTGACGATATAGGTATTGTTGGGGTGGACGATGAGGGTGTAGAGCTCAGTTGTCTTCACTATCTTGGCAGTAGGAGGGGTAACAAGGTGTTTCTCCTCATATTCGCCAGTCTTGGGGTTCTTATGGTTGAAGATAAAGTGAACCTTGTTGGTATGACCGCACTTATCTGGGCCGAACATGATCACATAAGGTGTTGTGTTGGCGAACTCCTCTTGATGCAGAGCTTGGTTCTCGCGGAGAAGTTTGAGATAGGCACCACCACACTCCAGTCCGTCTAGGTTAATATGATCCAAAGATTAGTAACTCGGACAGGATCAGATGCCACGTAGCGTCACCCTTGAATAGGACTTACTCTGGAGCTTGACTTCATACTGAACCACTAGCGTCTTGTCCTTGTTGTCAATTGTCTTGGGGAACTTTGCCGAGATAGCATGGTGAGCGGCTGCATTCTTGACAACCAGCCCAGTGTCACCCTCCATGCCCTTATAAACAGTAGGCTCCTCGACAGCCCATTCGCCAACGTAAGCCCATTGCTCTTCTTCGTCCCCCTTCGTCTCCTTCTTTGCATGAGAGGGTTTCCATCTTGAATCCCAGTTATCGGTAAACTGCTCCAAGAATTCGGCCTTAACGGTTGAAGCCTACGCCGGGACAAGTGCAAATTTTTTTAGCGCAATCCAGGTGCTTGATCGTTACCTAGAACACTTACTGCGAACGTTGGCAAATTGACAGCCACGGGGATGCTTCTTCTGGAGCGGCGGCATCCTCGGCATGAGACGTTCCAGCGAGGAGTGCAGCTGTTACTGCGGTGGCGACAGAGTTGAGCTTCATTGTGTGTGGAGGGCTGGCGAGGACAGGTGGATTTAGCTGATAGAGATGGAAAAGGCAGGTCACTTAAGGGGATAAGAAGGGAAAGGAAAGATTGAAGGTGCTCCAGCACGCAACAGATGGGAAGGTGTAGCTAGTCGAAGGGGAGGGGGAAAACCAAAACGAAAAAGGTGAAAATATTGGTGGAGTAGTGCTGGGAGTGATTTCTATTTGATTGTTGTTGGCAGGTGATGGGTATGGATTGAACGTGAACGTGTCCTTTTGAGATCTGGAATGTTGCAAGCTCGGTATTAAAATTGGAGACGAGAGCTTCGGAGAGTTTGGATGTACGTACTATCTGCTCTGCCTCGTGCATTGACAACTTGGAGAACTGTGGGGGCTGGGCGTTCAACCCCCAAAATCAATTGATCCAAAGACCCATGCAGCAATTGATCCAGTATCCATTTGATCCAATATTAATTGATGTATTCTTCACACTATGACTGTCACAATCGATGTTGGGGCAGAGGAGTAGGAGGCGTGTGGGCGGCCTATCCCCTACCCCTGATTTGGAGGATATGCTCTCGGGTTGATGTCGTTTGATTGGCTAAGGCCACGTGTAACAATTGAAGAATAGCCGGCAATTGCTTGACACTGCTCAAACATGACCAGAGCGGATGGCTTCTCTCTTACTTCTGGACCATCCTATGGTGACGAGGTCGCTTTCCCTGACCGCGGGGAGGGGGAAGAGAGGGCGGAGGAGGTTTTCAACATTGTTGTCTTTTATCATCAACACCCAGTCCCCTCCCTGACTAAGTGTAGTATTGTGACACGGGGCTAATAGTATATAATAAAAGCTTGAAACCTTCTTTCTCCGCTTGGCCATGCTTGACGCTGACCGACTGTTGAAACGGTTCCCACCATGAGGGCTTCCTGTTCAAGGAGTCTTGTCCTCTATTATGCACAATACGGATTTGTAGGTGTAGGGTGCTCCGTCTCTCATTGCTAAGGGATGACTTCGCTGTCTGTCATGATATATAACACAGCCGGATGGATCTGCGCGAACACTTCATCCGAGACTAAGGGCGAAGGTGTTTCGAATACCAAATGGGCACAACGTATCAAGGCTGCTCGCCTGCTCCTCCAACCGGGTCGGGGGACAAGTGTCCGATTAACCCGATCAGGTGACTTAATAACAGTTAAGGGCGGGTCTTTACAGTCAACAACAGCTTTGAGATGACCCCATCTCCATGCTGATAATCTTCGAGCACAATTGTAGTTTGGAGATTAGTGACACGGCTGATCTCGCATTGATGAAAGGATCCTGACGTGGATTTGATTCTTCCCGCCTGACCAACGGTAGAGCCTTTTGACATTCGATTCCTATCATCCTCGTTGGACATAATGCCTTCGGACAATTTCATACCCTTCTCGCCAAGCCAGCCTAAGCAAGATATCATCGCGTGTCGGAAAGGCGCCGCTGGCTGTGGTCACTTGGGAGCCATTGACACCAGACGAAACATCAAACATAGATCGTTTCCCATAATTCAACATAGCGAATACAAGCCCTGCCAACGGCCGAGGTAGAGTAGCAATGAGTAAGTAGTGAAGATGCTGGGAGAGATCCTGTCGGCCAATGATGATATGGCAGTAGACATCTGCGTTTCTTTTAACCCAACGTTCAGGATCGTGAGGATCACACACGGCTCCGCGAAGGGCGCGCCCAGGACATGGCTAGATTAATGCATATATTAATATAAGGATTTTGCACCAATCCGACTACTAAGCTAGCCTTCAGCCGCTCCTAAGATATCAAGGTGTATTCAAGGCAAGTGGTCATCGACAGAGGCCCGATATAGAAGTTAGAGCTAAGGTCATGAGGTTCTAGAAAGCAGCGATGGCCGCGAGAAGACCACATAGGCCGAAGGAAGACGAAGCAATCAGACCAGCAGCAGCCCCAGGGGAGTCGGTGCTCTGCGCGGATGAGCCAGTCCCGGTAGCATCACCAGATTCCGAGTCACCGCCACTCGAGTTGTCGCCAGAACCGGAATTAGAGCCAGACCCAGAGCTTGAGCCCGCACCGGGCTGATTAGGGGTTCCAATTTCGGGATCGTAGTCTAAGGGACTGTCAGTCAATGCTGTATGTCTCGTCAGGGTTTGAAAACATACAATTCTCTAGAATACAAGTCTGGACGCAGTTGCTGTATGCTTGGGTGGCGCTTTCAGTGCCGTCACCTTGATCACATTTGCCTACGCATTCGTGGAGTTTCGTCAAATTATCCTCGTTCGGGCTAGGAACCTAGTTTAGAATCAGCTGCGGGTTCTCCAAGGCGCAAGACCATCATCTTGAGAAGACAAAAGAAATAAACAAAAAAGGCGAGTATCCGACGCTGACTTACAGGCGTGCAGTGGGCAATACAGTTGACATCCCCGGCGTCACACGCGCCGAGACACTTTTGTTGTTCGGCCGTGAGGCTGGATGTGGCAGCAGAGGAAGCCGCGCTAGTTGTAGCATCCTGGGCGCTCGCGGCAACCGCAAGGATACTGGTCAAGATGACGGAAGCGAAATGCATATTGGCGATATAAATTTGCTGGACGGGTAAAATGCGTACTGTTAAATCGCGCCGAGTTCCCAATGAATGAATGGACTGCAGTATTGAAACGAGTGTAGGGCAACGGGATGTCGCGTTTGAAAATTGAACAGAGTGGAAGGAAGGCAAAGTCACTTCAGGGAGGATGGGCAAGTCTCTCGTATTTAAAGGCGGCGACGAGAAAAACAGCTCCTGGGGTTGGACCTAGACAGGGTCTCTCCATCTGGGGCACGGGACGGGCGCCATGACTGTGACCTCGCACCGGGTGGCGTTACCTCATACACGCCGGATGCACGCAGTATTAATACCCAACGAGCAAAAAAGAGGACACTCCGGACTGTCTCTCTCACGGGCTCTAGCATCGTTAAGATAGGTGGAATCCGTGAATGAGACAGCCCCCACTCCACCAGGCCCTTTTTCTTCTTCTTCCTTTTTTTCTTTCTTATTAATTTTATAGCTATTCCAGCGTATCGACAAGATTTGCTCCGTCGCGGTCCAAGGCCTAAAGCTGTGTGACGAACCGTAAGTATAAGGAGTGTGCGTTTTTTTTTTCGGCGGCGGCTCTGGCGCCATTCCTTGCTCCCCTGCCAAGGACGGTGAATGGGCCAAGCATTTTCAGCTCAACTTCACGGGGACATGGAGCCTCATTCTCCTGATGTCAGCTACAAGTACCTCGGTACTCAGGTCGCTAATAAGATTACATATTATTAGCGACAAGCAGAAGCGCTCATGTGGCGCTGGTGAGGGCGGGTGGTCAAGTCGGGTAGGTAGATGAAGTGCTTCGTCCATGCATTGTACTTCGTAATGGTTGTTGCCGAGTTACATGGATCTCTGCAGATACTTACTCGATCCGGCTTCGTACCTACCCCATAAGCCTGGGAGGAAAACAAAAACAAAAGGGGCGCGCACCAACCTTCCGGACTAATAATGAAAGGCGCCCAGTTCACCCACGACAGCAATCACCCTTCCTCTCCAAAGAAGAAGCTACTGTCACTGTGCAAGTAGATTGATCAGCGGCGCCCCGTTATTACGACAGGAACATGAGGAAGATGACCTTCCTTGCTCACAAAGAGCCCCGTTCCTAGCCTCAAGATATTCGACGGATCTCCGTCTCTTAAGAAATCTTGATTTCCAGATCAAGTCCTGGGGAGGGGAAGGTGGAAAATCTACTTGTACATTTCAGCTTGATAGGCGTGAAGCCTTGGCAAAACCAGGGGTTGGGCACCACCCTGGGACTGATGATTCTCGCGTGCCTCCATTGCTCCATTCTCTCGAAACTGGTTCACTAGAAGTATTATCATTAGCGTGCTACAAGTCAAGCAAGTATGATGAAGGGACTTCGCCACTAAACCTGCGCGAGACAAGGACCGACCCCGTATTCGTCAACCACGAGTTTAATTATGCATAACGCTAATTAAAGCATGCCTTGGAAGGAGGTACAAGTAGGTTGGCAGACTCCTTTTCCTTCTCGGATGTGCGGAATTTGGGGGCAAGGGGTTTCAAGGTGGGACAAAGATAATACCCGATTATTACCTCAATAGAGAAAAGGAATGCTCAAGTGCTAGAAACAGCCAACTGTTGATGGTGTTCATAAGAATTGAAAGAAGAAAAGGGAAATACTTAAGAGAGTGTGTGAGAGAGTGAGAGGGACGGGCGGGGACAGAGGATAGCTGCTAATGCCTCAGTATTATCGCTTAGCTCATTGATCCGAGAGCTCGCAAGAATACAAGGACTGGAAGTGGTGGTGCATTCATCTTAGTGTGCTAATACGGTGAGAACCCGACATGAGCTTGAGGCAACGGAGGGGCCACCTACTTGTAGCCCGCCTCCCAAGGAACACATAGATGTATAGATCAATTGATAGATCCTTTACACATCAGGACTTCATCCCTCGTGGACATCGGTTTGTGATTTCATTGCGAGGGGTTCTTGAAACTACAGGCAAATAATAGAAATCAATTGCTTGCATTTGGGCGGTGCCCACGGATACTACACTAGAGAACTTGATAATCGAGAGATATTGGTTGATACCTACAATGGAAGGAATAGCAGATATATTTAATCACCGGTCTATAATAAGAGTTACATCAATTTACACACTGAAAGCTACACCACACTCTATCAGGTATGATGCTCAGGGCTAGATCAATGGTTTCCCCAACTCCTCAAAACTTTAATTTTCTTTTTACAAGACCTCTCCAATAATCTTAGCTGCCTCCCGGTAGGTCTGTAGAAGCCTCTCACACTTCTCACGCTCCTTCTTCACGCCATCGTCTTCATATAGCAGCTCTTCGAATAAGCTTTCTTTATAAAGTTCACTCACAAGTCTGTTTTGAACAACATCTTTACAGTGATTGACAAGGAGATGCATTACCGCCTTCGGCACTTGGTCTGCAATCGATTCTCGCACGATGTTGAAATAGGACGATATCAAAGCACGGATTAAATCCGTCTCCATTGCTTCCCGATCGGTGAGGGCGGGCTCTGCTCCGGCGCTCTACATAGTAGTTAGCATACGAAGGTCTACAAAAGCTCTAGGAGTAACACCTACCGTTGGGGATCCCAAATCGCCAAAGCGGGCATGTCTGATAGTTTCGTTCTCATCTTCTCGCAGTTGTCGGACTGTGGACTTGTCTTCTAGACGGCGGATGCTTTGACTGATACTCGGCTCCGAATTTTGACTGACATGCCTCGATGCAATTGCGTGGGACGGCTGCTGCTGCGAAACGCCATCCTTGCCAAAAAATAGTTCAAAAGGAGTCTCGGGTGTTGCCAAGGCCCGGGTTGCCAAACCTTGAAGGGGACGCTGACCGGTGTCCATTTGTAGTCGAGACCATGCCGGTGATTCCTGAATTATCACGAATACTGGGCGACATGCTCCTCAAACCCTTGACCTGCGCCTTTTTCAAGTTCGCAACATCGGTTCGGTCAACAACGGCAAGGTCTTCTTCATCTTCTGGTGTATCGGCTCCATTTGCACCGAGCTCCTTGAGTCGCCTCCTTTCACGGCGCTCCCGTTCTTCCTGTATCAGCCGTTTTCGTTCCTTCTCCTGTCTGCTCGTCACCACTTGGCCCATGGCAGCCGCAGCCCCTAAGAAGTTGGGATGGTTGGTGTTAATATATGCGCGCTGTATTGCAATGAGGGATTCTACGTAAGAGGATGCTGGCCCAAGCCTCTCGCGGAGGAGATCCGAGACAACCTCGATAAGTTTCGCCTGAAGTCGAGGAAATCGGGACAGTTCGGTTGAGCCACAGGTGTGGCAGATTTTAATTAGCTCCTCGTACACCAGTTCTACGCAGCGCTGGCTAGGGATCTCGAGTAGCTTTATCTGCGGCTTCACTAAAGGTCAAAGGCCATTTCCGGGACGAAAAGGCTTGGCCTCGGGCCTGTCGAGTTCCGAATGGCAGTCCGAATATCTAGAGCGGAGAGATTAGACGTTGGGTCAATAGACTCAAGCGAGCTTCCGAAAACGGAGTTAAAAATATAGTAAATTCTGGCACCGCCGCAAAGCTGTTTCGTCGATATCTCAGTGGATGTTCCGTCAATAGATGAAATGAACGACGTCGCAAAACGTGTCATCAGTTGCAAAATCAACGATCCGCGATGCTCCTTGCCGCTAAAGTGCATATCCCCATAGCTGGCAAGTTCCTGTTGCATTTGCCCCATGAGCGTGTTCAGCCGAGCCTTGATATCGGGTAATCTTTCACGGATGTGGGCCATTAGTGTTGTGTTCAATGTTTTCGCCAGAAACTGAGTTCCGCAACGACTTGAGATGTTCCGGTAAGCCGGATGGTGGCGAAAAATCCGATTCTGCCTTGAGAGCCTCCTCCATTGGTTTGTTTCCTTGTATATCCTGTTGAGATCGGTTCACGACACCGATGAAACCTAACTTGAGTGGATAAACACGCCCAGACAAGATATCGAGAGCATTCGTTCCATGATCCATAAGATCAACTTTCGTCAAGACACCGATAGTACGCCTCCCGAGAGGGTCCACGTGCCGCGCAAGTTTCAGCGCTTCAGAGTTGACAATATCAACATTTGCGGGGAAACAGCAAGTATGATACTATTCGGTTTAGCAATATACTCGGAGATAAGGTTTCGAGTCTGTTTCTCGATATCGGTTGGCTGGTCCCCTATCGGTACCTATGATTGACAAGAATTAATCGCAGTTCAGCAGACTTGTTGAACCGCCCCGCACTGAGATACCACATACCTTCGTTAGGCCCGGCAAGTCCACCAATGTCAGGTTAAGAACATGAGGAGAGTATATCTTTAAGTTGATTGGCTGTCTATTGATGCCCTTATTCGTGCCAGCAATGCGGGATGTTTCATTTTCGATCTCGCGTTTTACATCTGCAAAATCTGTAAATCTTCGATTTGGGATATGATGGAACTCGGCCCACTCAGAGCGACGCGCTGCTGAGGGAGAGCGATAGGGATCTTCGACAACATCGAGGCGAGACTCGTCTTCCGGAACGTTGATAAGTTGGAGAATAAGTGGCCGTCGGGTTACGATGCCACTGCCTCGGGGCAGGAAATCACGACCCACAATGTTTTCAAGAACAGAGGACTTGCCCGCTGATTGAGAACCAACAACAACCTAAAGTGGGTTAGAATGTGAGGCCATGATGAGCACAAAAGAGAGCATACAATTTGAGGAAGATCCAAAGAATCACTACCAATTGTATTGAACACGAGATCCTGAAGTTTGTTGACAATACCGAGGAGGTCCTCGCCAAGGGCAGCCATGGCGGTTGGAGTGGGTTACTATGAGGCTGCAGAGTATTCAGGCCCTTGAGCTGTAATTGAGAGAGGATTTTCGGTGGCTGTTGCTGAGATCAGTGAATTTCTGATTGAAGGAGCAAGGTTGCGCCAGAAGAAGCAAGGCGCTGTCTAATCGTATGTTGAGTAACCTCGCAATATCCAATTTCCAGCCCTTACGCCATAGATAGCCAGGTCGAAGAGATGGCCATTTGTCGTGATTAAAACATGAGGTGAGGGAAGACGTGTGACAAAGCCAAGTTCGTGAAGGTATGAAGTTTGAAATTGAGAAGTAGATCTTTCGAAGGGCCCCCTGTCTTAGTCGCATATCTGATATTTCATAATTATCTTTTTATACAACAATCGGATCTCCCTCCTGTCCAGGCCAGCTCGATGACATAATCCCTCCCGGCCTTCCCCCAACATGGTGCGGCCGAAAATGGGTGGCATAATGGAGCGGAGAGTACCTCGGTAACGTGGTGGTGATAATAGTTTTAGCTCCCAAAGTTGTTTGGATACATATCTGATTCCTTCATCAAGCTATGCGACTATCAGTAAGGATTCTGTTTCCACATCCTTCATTGAGTGGTCTACCGAGGGACATAAGGTATTGATACTTCCCCTAACGAGCCCTTAATAATACTTGTCATGACACTATCTGAATTGCACATAGCATTCCCAATTACTTACGATAACCAAGCAGGCGGATGAACCGTCCGCCACCAAGACGACATCATGAGTTCACTTGGGGGCCCGGGAAACCGGCCAACTACCAAGCCGACGCCGTACGTTACCTAGGATCACCATTCTTTGACACCAAGTCGCAGAGCTAACCAAGGATAATTCTCTCAGCCCACAACGTGGCAGTTTTCCATTAGACCATGATGGTAAGCTTGCGGCTGGCGTCTCAATATTATCCGCTTCGAAGTTTATTCTTGGGCTATCGCTAACTTGATTTTGAAACCATGATGGGTAGGGGAGTGCAAACATCTCATGGCAACATATCTTGCGTGCATCACCAAGGTGCAAGGTGAAAATAAGCCTGAGTGCCGTGGCTTAGCAAAGGAATACCTCTCTTGTCGCATGGATCGGTATGCAGACTGCAACAACTATATTCTTCCTTGTACTAACTTAGGTTAGAAACCTAATGGCTAGAGATGACTTCAAAATCTTGGTTTCCGAAATGATGAGGCCCAAGTGAAGGAACCCCAATTTCCAAACGTTTCCAAAGAGAATGAGAGCATAAAAAAGGCGATGGGGGAGGCCAGGGAGCTGAGATGGTGATTGAATGCGGGTGGGGACAGTCAAACAGCCCCTTCAAGCTTGAATAACGTTCGTGTATCTCAATAATAATATATTCATATCTTTATAAGTTCCAGTTGTGTTTTGTTTGCAGGGATGGATGTACTTAAACACAAACACTGTTTCTTAGCAGCCCAAAGTTGTGTAACTATTCGTTGGGCGGAGATTTAGTTGCCTAGACAACACACGGGAAGCCATACCCTTTCAAAAGATCTTCACGCTTGTGAGAGCTTCCTTCATCTTCACCATACCACGATACAAGAAAAGCCAGCTAAATCGATTATTCCACCTAGAACTATCCTAGTTTATTCCTTTCCAAAGACGTTTGGGCACAGAATCATCCACTTCGAGATACTCTGCTGTGTCTCTATTTACTTCATTCAGTAAAACTAGCCAAGGCGTTATCTGAGTAAGAACAACCACAGAAAGTGGAAACGCGAACAATGTTGAATCGCGGAAAGGGAAAGGAAAGGGGACGCAAAGTCACCCCCTCCCCAACATTCATGACCAATGACCAATTTGGTATGTCGAGTCGAGGTCGATATGGCATGTAATCCTTGTCATCTCAGTTCTGTATTGACGAATAATTCAAAGCATCGTATCTCGCCGATCTTCGGAATAATAGGGCTAGTCGCCAGTCTGATACAAGAGAGTTATCATCACGCCCTCAAGGTCCCAGGAAGCCTCCTTCTTATGGGAGCACAAAGACACAGCAAACAGCCCAAGCAACTGGTCCTGCAGCGTTGCCTCGCCATCCCAATGTCTCGATCAGCGACAGAGAGCAACATTCGATAGCGTCCGAGGCCTGTGATCTCTATTCCAATTTAGATTCCATTCCCCTGGGCCCTTCAGAAGTGGTTCCAACCTCAACCTATATTGAGCGGGGACATCGTTGGATGGAAAAGGAAGAGGCATGTTCTCTTAGGCATGCTATGGACGATATGGGGCTAAAGGAAGGTTCACTTGACTGTAACAGTCGCCGATCGGACCAACGACTTTTGAGGCCGCTCTGAGCGAAGCTGCCGAGCTTGTTTGGCAACACCAGCACGGTGTACCCCCAAGTACGGACGGACCATATCGCTATCGGTCCCATCTAAGGAAAAATAGCTATGCCCATGCTCGCACCGCGAGCATCGGCAACTACAGTGGCAAGACTATGGCCTCGAGCGCCGTAAGGGGCATGAGCAGATCAGTATCTGGCAGCTCCACTAGCAGTACAGCTGATCCACCGGTCACCACCCAAGCCTATCCGGTTACTACCTCTAACGACGGCCTGCCTTCCAACCAAAATATGGTGATGGGGGAAGGAAACAACCCTAAATTCCCGCCAAACTTGAGGCTTCAAGGCCCCGAACCGCCTTTCCTCGCGCCGGTGCTCGCTGCGGCCTCCTAAGAGAAACATTAGTGGCGAAGTAGGAAATTCATTTACGGCCGATCAAATATGGGAAGAGCCAAGTGGACTGGGTGCCGCAGATCAGACGGCAGCATGCGGAACGCTGCCAGTCCTTACAACTAAAAACGACAATCCTCTCGGGCGCCGCGAGTTTGTGCAGAAGCAGCCAAACCCATGCCTTTCTACAATTCATTTACACCTCAACCCCCGTCTAGATCAAGAGACCCACAGTATGTAACCAACCCCACTCTACCCAATTGCATCGAAGGTGAAGGTGATGGGAAGTCCCTGGGAATTGAGATAAGGAGTGATGACATCCGTCAAGCAACAAGTATGAGGCTTTACAACCGAAGTCCAAAACTGCCCACTCCAACTGCTGTCAGTGACAATCCCAGTCGCCCTATTGTGAGCTTCGACGCACTCTGGTCTCCTTCCGAAAAGTCAGATGGTGTTGAGAAAGGCGGTAAAGGAGGTGCTTCTAGCAGGCCTCTCAAACCTGATGCCCCTCAGGGGCTCAGACGGGGCTGGGCCACCTACTATATTAGTTCCTACAGTGGCCCTCAATGGCAACACTCAAAGCCCCGAGGAATTAGCTGCCGACACTCGACAAGTGCCTTCTAACATACCCTCTATCATGGTAGGTGGAGTTGAGGCAGAAGATCACCCGTCCTCTGTCAGTCTGGACACCGGAAGTCAGGGGTACGGCCTCTACCTAATCCTTTACCGACCAAAAGAGGACGAAGGCCTCGGAAGCAATTTTCCTACCAAGGAAATAGTACAACGATTTGCCACGAATGCGGACTCTCTCTACAAGGAAGATTTGTCGCCTTGGCGGGCTCGAATGAAAGATTTCATCCCCAGTGCCTGGCGTGTTATATCTGTGGCACCAGCCTCGAAGCACTAGAAATCACTCCTGAGCCAGATATATCTCGAGAAGAACGCCTACAAAGAATTCAGCGTCGTGAAGCGGGCGAGACCCTTCAAGAGGTTCCTGGCAAGACAATGGCCGAGGACGGCGACGATCGCCTCCGATTCTATTGTCATCTAGACTGGCATGAGCTATTTGCTCCAAAGTGCAAGCATTGCAAGACATCCATCTTGGGGAACATATTGTTGCCCTTGGCGAGCATTGGCATTATGGGCACTTCTTTTGCGCAGAATGCGGAGATCCTTTGATCATGGGATGACTCATATTGAGAAGGATGGCTATGCATGGTGCATTAGCTGTCAGACTAAAAGAACTGAGCGGAGGGCACCAAAATGCAAAAATGTAAGACGGCCGTGGTTGGCGAGTACATTCAGGCCTTGGGTGGCGAGTGGCATGATGCCTGCTTCCGATGTACGAACTGTGGAGGACCTTTCAATGACGGCCATATCTTCCCGAAGGAAGAAACAGGAGGGCCCGTCGCCGTCTATTGTACTGAATGCAGGATGAGCGAGCTGAAACAATGGACATCTTAAGACATGATTTGGTGACAGCAGGATACACGAACATGGTTTATAGACACGACATACACAAATCGAAATTGGGTAGTTGAGTGAGCACCACTTATTGCTTTGTTGACGTTTTCTAAAAACACTATATCATGGATGAGCGGGATGGGCAAGAGAATCTCTGTCTCTTTATCCCCTAAGCCTGAAAGCTGTCCCATCCTCCGACCTGTTCTTGATGGACTTCAAGTGTATCGCCATCCTGCATCTCCAACTAGTGAAAAGTTAGAACGGTTGTATTCACCAGGGTTTGAACCAACTTGACAAAAGCGTACCGTGTCGGGGGTATCAGTTGGCTGAACACGCTGACCTTCGAACAGAAAACGAACAGAAGCCATGTTCTTTCCCTGTCTATCGCAAAACGCACTCATCAACTTCTCAAGCTTGGTGCTCCGTTTGATTTTGAAGAAAACTTCGTTGTTATTGTCTGTCACCTTGATATTGAGATGCTCGCTGACAGAGGGTGCTTCGGCGGGGTTTCCATTGTTCTCGTGTTCAGACATGTTGTCGATTCGTGTGAAGAGAGTTAGAAATGAGATGAGCCTCTAAAATGGTCACGAAGCTGCAAATGGAGAAATCTGAATGTCTGTGTAAATCCCGAGGACCCTGATTTACTTGCTTGAAGCGAAGAGTAAGGCGAGTAGGGAAATGGGCGGCGGTTTAGTTCGCAAAGTGAGCCTGTAGGAACTACGAAACTTCTTCGACTGTCGTGGCAATGGAAGGACGCGTCTTCTCACCGCTGTCAAGGGGGAAACAGAGAAATGGTTGAAACTTTCCTTTGATTTCTATTCCACCCCGCGGTGAGGTCACCAGTTGGGGTTCATTGTTGACATAAGCTGCCCCGCGAAATAGGGGCGCGAGATTCCTGAGCGTCACTACTCTTTTCTCTTTCAGGCACACCCATTATTACGAGTTCTCCAAGGAAACCACGACAAGTTTCGCTCAACCAACTATCCGGCTCCGCCTGTATTATGGGTGACTGTCTGTGATAGCGGATAATTAGAAGAAACAGAGAGAAATGTCGCTGGCAAAGGCATAACAGCACATAACGTCGAGCATCAACGCAGATTCACAATGTCCACCCAGATGGACCAGTCGCCATGCCACGCCCAAGCTGTAAGTTGAGATAATCACGAGTTGGTTGATTTGAAGCCCTTCTTACATTCCTCAACTTGCAGTGCGCGATCCAGGGTAAGTTACACGCGGAGAAGTGCCGAGGGTTAAGTGGAATTAACGCCTTCGCCATGTCTTCCTGAAGCTTGTCTTCAACGGTATCAATACAAAGAAGCTCGATGCCAACATGCCATCTCCAGTCTCTACAGATGCTGCCACGAGTTCTATAAACAAAACGGAGTCAATGCAAAGTCGTTGAACTGCCCTAAAGCGCGCCAGATCGACAAGAAGCTAAGCTTATCGGATTCTTTGGAGATGCAAGACAACAAAGAGGGTTGAGGTGTGGCACTTTTCCATAAAACGTATGCTAGAAGATATTTACTTAGCAACATAGAAGGAAGGTGCCATTTATTATAGGCGATCATTGAGCACGCAGGAGATTCTTCTCAAATCTGAACAAGTAATGAGGATCTTGTTCCGGGACTCTAATATGAATGCCATTGACATATGAGAGGAAAAGGGAAAAAATTCAACTAGGAGAGAGAAAAATAAATTCTAGCAATTTTATTAGTCTTTGGTCTGCTGACATAATAAGCATGTCCCTTGGAAACTGTTCTGTGTCAAATCGCACTACCCTGTTGCTGGGCGGCAAACGTGGGAAACAAAACATCGACCTTCTAGGTTAGTGGTTCGCCTAGCATTATCAACCTTCTCCAATATCCAGCCCCCAGATCCATACTGAGCCCTTTATTAATTCTAAGAAGTGATAGGACCGACTATTGAGTTTTTCTTTTGCGGAAAGGGGGTTTCCTCAGTCTCACTCGCTTCGACACGTCCTTTGTTGCTTCAGCCAGGGAGGCACTTGACGGTGGTAAACCGATAGTTTCCAAAGTATATCACTTACTACCAAGACGTCTCCTTAGTATCATGTGGAATGCCTGTAGCTATTGAATCGAATATGGCCAGCACAAATCCCGCTTCAGGTCAATCAAGACAACTTCTCACCGACCGGCCTGCGATTGACTATTTCGCGAACGCCTTAGACGACTGTATCGATGATAGAGGGACTAAGGCAGAGAAACGCGCCAGGATTTTCAAACTTGTCGACCAATACCACAGCTATGCCTTCGAGCGATACTCACGTCTAAAAACGAGGACTGACATTTTGTCTGCGTCCTACGACGACAGCAACGCTTCTGCTGAAGCTAGAGACCTCGCCTTAGAGGCGAGTCGGGAAGCAGAGTCTTGGAAACAGGAAGCACAGGTTTGGAACTTACTCCAAAATCTCTTACCTGTTCGGTACCCTGCCGTGGATGTTACTCCCAGTGGTCCTCCGTTTGCTAGCTCAACAAAACCTACACTCTGGCATAGCTTCGTCAATGGGAACCCTCTTGCCATGGAACGGATGTCTGTCTTGCGATGGCTTCACACCATCTCCAGTGAGGGCCCAAGCATCGATGAGGTTGTGGAAGATCTGCATGCAAATGCCGACCGAGGAGACATTATAGCCCACGGATGGATCCACACTAGGTCAACAATCAAACTTAGAAAAAGTGTGCTCGCCTGGCCACACGTTCTTGACCCTTCCGCCAAGGATATTTCTCAGTCACATGTCAACTCCCTCAAAACCCCTTAATAACTCAGCTCGACCCGGATTCATCGACGAGACAGCAGAGAAGCCTCGAGCCCCAGGATGAGTTTTTGAACGGGCTATCTGGCGAGGTTGTTTTGAACTTCTTCGGCGAGGATGCACCGCGAGCAAAGTCGAGAGTTGGTGTCGAGAGCGTACTGAAGGGTGGCGTGCTGTTTCTCTGACAGCGCTTGATATGAATGACATCGAAACCACTGCAAATCCCGATCGTCCGGCCGAATCTTTCGCTCTTGGATGCGCGCATGCTTAGCAGTCTCGCAGAAGGGTGCCCTGGGAGACTACGAGCGTGCGGTGTATGGCCTCCTAAGTGGTGAAATTTCCAGCGTGGAAAGGGTAAGCACAACATGGGAAGATTTCGTTTTTGCTCATTATAATTCGCTGTTTCGGGGCCAGTTTGACTCGTTCATCCTGGCTCGTTGTGCCTCAGACATTGCGGTCTCTCACGCCGCTCGCTCCCGCTATGGGAGACAATTCAGCACCATGACGAATCCACATGCCCCGAAAAGCGACTTTTGCGATCGCTCGAATCCAAGAGCATTATCTCGATGACCGCACGAAGCCCAATAAAGGTTCTCCTAGCCTCAATCCTTTCTAAAGATCTTGAAAGTCATTTTTTGATCAAGGATTTGCGCTGGCGTTTGACGGCAATCGAAATAAAGAGTCTCAACTCCTCATTTCTCACGACCTAGCCGAATTGGATGTTGACACGAGCCGGTTTTATACACTTGATAATCACCATGGGCTACGAATCGTCTCACATCTGTATATTATCCTGTCCAGGATTGGAAGCCTCTATGAACGACCCCATGATGTTATCAGCGCCAATGTGAGCCGGGGCGATGTACAGCAAAACATTATTGCTAGTTACGCGAGTTTATTGAGACTCTCAGGCCTTTACGAACTTTTACCACTATATTGCTCAACAATGTCTCCATCGAGACAATACGAGGTCCTCTGTCGTAATCTTATCCATGTCGTTGACCCCAAATCCCGGGAGCTGGTCATCGATTTGATCGGAAAGGCAGGGCTCGACTGTCTCAAATTCGTCAAAACGCAGGCAATGCTTCAGTCAAATGTACTTTTAACAGCAGACCGCACACATACAAAGCGACTCCCTTTTCATATCGTCGAGAGCTTGGACCGGAACCTCAAATATGGGCGTCCGGTCCGTGCCGACTTTTGGCGAAGATCCTGACTCTGTGGATTCAACGCACGAATTCCTCATTCGGGGTGTCGAATGGCTGCTCACAGTAGAAAATGCCTGGCCAGATGCTTTATCTTATGGAAGTAAACTCTACAAATTCTTTTTAAGTATGCCTTTTCACCTGTCTATCATGATTCGAGAGTAATGTCCTCTAATTTGGTTTGATCCCTCGTCCTAGAAAATATGCACCTGAACTCGGCGCGAGCGCTTGCACAAAGAGTTGGCTTTGTGGACATCCTCCAGAATCAGCTCAAGGACATGGACAGTAATGATGTCAGCCTAGAAGACATCGCCGATGCAGCTTTCTGGGCGAACCAGCTGAGTATGCTCCCGGCTTTCTCCGGCTCCCCTGTACAGGTAGCTGCAGACGCGCGTAATTTCCGTGAGCTTGAGGCGTTGGTGAGAGCTCTCGATACTATGGAGACACTGGCATCCCTCCGACAGTTATCAAAAGAGTATCACCACCTTGAAACCTACACCACCAAGAGCGAGGCCATATTAACTAATGGACAATAGGGATCCCAATATCTCTCGTGACTTCTGGGTCAGGGTTGGTACGGAAGTTAAATCTCTCAAGGATCATATGCAACCACTTTTCTGTGGATGGCTTTTGACCGGGATTCAAGGTGAGTGATTTTACTGATGAACCTGCAAGGATGCTAAAGATTCTAATCCTGCTGAAGAGGGCGATCCTGAACTGGCAGCTTTGCGAAATACATATTTACCGGAGACCGTGCTGGCCTATGTGAGCACACTGCATTTTGCTGGCACTTGTCTATCGAGAGACAATCTCCTTGAATTGATGGATCTTGCAGCTGTCATTGCCGACAAGGGTTCTGATATTGCAGCGTCCTTCATGCAAACTCGGCGCATGAAAGAGCTTGTTGAGGTTTTCGCATCGTCGAGCAAGGCTTTAGCAGTGATGAATGGCGATAGGAAAACTGGTAGCCTAGGCGGGAAGAAATTAAAAGAGACAGGCTGGACGCGGGACCTATGGTCGGTGAAACCTATAACGAGAGGCAGGCAATAGGCCTAGATCTGACCACCCCTAGGGGCTCTCGAAGCACATCGTCATCTTCTAATAATTCAATTCACCAGGCCCTTCAAGTGCCAAAGCGAGTTAATCCCGGAGCAAGTTTGATGGCTCAAAAGGCAGGAGTGCTGAATCAACACCCGTGTACTGTTTATGTAATATTATCTCCTTGCGCTTTTGCATCGCGTAGTCTTGATTTTTAGGCATTCAGATATTTCAGACCGATGCCTCGTTTTGTCCCAATCGGCTTAGGTTCTCATCTAACCTCAACCTACAAGTCTTTACTGATATACGAACCCATGGAATCACAACCCCCAACAATCCCTCCTAAATCCACAAACATCGAGATTGGTCAACCACAGCTGCCAAGTGATGAGGACTCACAGCTTCGTAGTTGGAGGGCTAGTCGTCCTGACCCAGGGACCTCCTGGATACCGCCGGTCCTTGATCAATTTCTGTACGTCCAAGTGAACTCTACCTCAAATAGGCACGATGAGACTGACCCCAATGTTTGTCCATAGAAAAGAGGATCTGGTCAGATTTCTGACCACGAGTGGTCTTTTACTGTCCACAACGCACGCCCCGGAGACTGCCCACCCAATTCTCTCCGAATCATACCATAAATTACACATTGCGCTATCGGAGAACGCCCAGCTTGCCACGAAGCTCCTCGACCTCGAACTCCAACTTACCAGCGAAAGATCCTCGACACAAGCTCAATTGCTAGCCACACATGCCCTTGAACGACAATGGCGCCAAAAGCAGACCGATTTGGACAGTGTACTTCGACCATTTTCTCCAACTTTGCTTTACCAACGTCTTTGCCATAGTATCCAGGAGCACCAATTAGTCTGTCACGCCCTGGAGGAAAGTTTTCTTGACAGCGCCAATGATGAAAGTCTCGCTTCGAGCGAGAAATCGTTGAATGGGCGAGACGCTACCGAGAAGCAAAAGCCGTACTTTATTCGCGACAGGAGAGAAAAGAGCGATGGGACGAAGGGCGAGTTGGTGGTTGGAGATAAATAACGCCAGCTGTTTGTTGCGTCTCAAACGAATCCTCAATTCTCCAAGTGCGCATCTTGGAAGACAGCTGCCCTTGCTTTTTCCAAGAGCACACATCGCCTCTCATGAGGTTATGTCACAATCCCTCCCAGGCGGTACAATGCGCATATCATGAGCTCTCCTCTACAAGTCCCTGATCCCCGTTAACAGTCAAGACGAAAGCCCCAGCAAGGAAACCACTCCTCGATACCATATAATTCCCGTAAACTCGAAGATGTGTATTGCCTCGGTATTGAGGGAACACTGAGGAATAGCATGTAAACAGTAACTCATGATACTACGTATTTTGGCACGAAACATCATCATCTTTGGAAGAAGAACGAAGGTTCCAGAGGAACCCACAAACCCACCATTTTCACCCCGAATCTTGGTCAAACAGCAATTAGCTAATTTGTATAAAGCTAATGCTCGTCTCTTATGCCGATGATAGGATTTGTTTAGGCATCTATCTAGTGAGCGGGGGTTGAGGTATGAGCAAAGCGAAGCTGTCCGGTTCGTCGTGAATCACGTGGGCGTAATCCAGCAGCGCGAGTTTAGGAAACGCTCCGAAGTTGTTAGGGATCCCAATTGTCTCCAAGCCATCCTTGGAATTTGCAGCTCCTATTACACTGCTGATTGGCTAGAATGGATAGTTGGGGCATTCTTCCGTCTCGGACATACAGCACCCACCTCCTTCGATTTGGGTTTTCCCACTGTGTACAAATAAAGGGCGGGGAAATGGCCGGAGTAGGGCCGGGGAATCCTTTATTCCCTAAGTATCGGCATAATCCCAGGTACTTCGTATATTGACTTCCTGAGCAAGGGAAGCAGATCAACATGTACCTCGGTACCTTAGTCTCTCTCTGATGCTGAGCCACCTCTGAAAAAGAACATTATAAAATATAGTAATAAAATCAAAGAAAATCAACGCTCCCTGGCAAATATTTCGTCTTTGGTGAAGGCTACTGATGAAAGGAAACAAAATCGCTATTTTATTATACACTAGTACCAATTATCTTCCTACTCCATTATCGCGCAAAGGTGTAAAATTTTGCTGTTTCAACGATTGCATTTGGGGGTTAATGGGTTTAGGCTTGAGGAGGAGGTCTTTCATAAAATGTGACTTGCTTGTTTGATAAGGTACATGATTCATCCGGAACAATATCGTTAGATTGCCTATTTCGAGTACTGGAACCTCCACCAGCGCAGGTTGGGTGACATTTGGATGGTCCACCATTACAATACGCCAATGCAGTTCCGGTTAAATCGTGTGACGGCAATTAATTCTTGAAAGGAGGTACAAGGATTATTTGGACCGGTTGTATTCCTGCCCGAGACGAAACGTTTAGGAGAATCCGTTAAAACCGGCGAGACTTTGGGATCCCAGCGACCTCGAGTCGATAATTGTTGATGAGGGGATGAACAATCCAATGTGATAAAATATTTTCTCAACACCTGTTGAATGCATTATGAGACGTTTTATTTATTCCAATCCGCCCATACCATTCAGAAAGCGCCTATGCTGTCCAGAAAGGGATGTCCAAGTCTCGCTCGAAAGCCTATGAGGTTGCCAATGTAAGATGGACGGAATTAAAGCCTGTGGCTTCCAAATGGAGGCTACCTCGGGGAGGAGGGTTGATTGCGAAGTGGGGTAGAAGAGGAAAGATATTGGAAAGAGGAGGGAAAAGCACCGAGGGCCGCCGAAGTCAGTGATTGGTGCTACAGAGTTAGTTGATGGAACATGTTGTGAAAGGGACCGAGGAGAGCGAAAGGTCCGAAACTCAGAAGTATCACCAGCCTAGCTGTCATTGACAGCGCTTCGCTGCCCCTTGTGTCTGTGCCTGGGCCGGGATGATGCGACGATCGGCGTTGAACCCTCATGCTATCGGACCGGGCATATGTCGCTTCTACTGTTTCTTAGGTAGAGAGGCCTTCATGAGCAAAAAATAAATAAAAATAAAATAAAAATAAAATAAAATGAGGCCCATAATTAAGCTTTACTGATGGGACTAGAAAGAATAGTAGTAGAAAATAGAAGGCTTCGCTCCTCTCTAATAAAAGGGTACTCGGGTATTGGACCACATCAACGTTTAATTCTGAAAGAAAACTCCCATGATGGTGAGAGGGAAAGAAAAAAAAGGATCCATGTCTGAGCCGTCTGATGAAAGCGCCCGATCAAGCGAAAGTCTCAAGACAATTCAAGCGCAACCCGGAGGAACGGCCTTGAAAGGATACCGTTCTCATTATGTGCATGTCGCCAACGGAGATGGTCGAAAGGTCACAGTGCGCTTTCTATAGGCACCAACCGAGGGATATTATCGAGGGCAAACTGTTACAGTAGAGGAGAGTACAATGTTGATTATCGCTTGAGAAACACCGACAGATAGACCGGTCAGAACATTGAAGCTTTCGGTTTTGGTAACGGAACCTCAACGGGATGAATTCTGCACGGATGGTGACTCTGGACAATTATTGGTACAGAGCTGTAGGGGTATTCGGGGTATTGCCGTCGAAAGGTCTCTCTCCCAAAGCCCCCACTATTACGCCGGCGAAAACGCCGCCCTATCCACCGACATGAGTTAGGACCTACTCAACCGCGCCGTCTGAACCCTGCCATCCTCCTCTCTCCTCCTCCTTCTTGCACCATTTCCTGTCACGACATCTCTTCTGCCAGCCACGATCGCTGCCTCAACTCCTTCACATCGTCTTTTCATCGCACGCCTCGAATTCTCAACGGCCAGCTTCTCTCTCTTACTCTCTCTCTCTCGCTCTCCTACCATCGATCAATAGATTTTATTTAATTTTTGTCAGGGCGACTTGGAATTTGTTGGCGTTAAACTGGCCACTTCTTCCGAATCGCTAGGCACCAAACCTTCAGCTACCAATATCGCGCCCAAAAACGAACACTACCGTGGCCTCGCTCCTACTCAAACACTCACTTCAACATAGCGCGACGTATCCGATTACCGAAGCCGACCGATCTGCAAAACCGTCCATTACACGCGATACAACAACGTCGGCAAGCTGCGCATGTCGAGACCTTCCGTCGGTCTGCCTTAATAAACGCCCACGCTAGCAGTTTTGTCCAACTTGTTCCAGGGATCAACATCCGACTTTTGACAGATCAAGCAACCGGTTCAGGCGGTATAATAGCGCCCAATGGAGATCTGCTTTGTTACTGAGCTTGGCCAGTGACTTAAGGTCTCTCTCCTGCGGCCGTGTCATGACAGGATAGTTCCTTCGACGTCAAGGATCCTGCGGGTTCCCCCTTCGTGCCCTTCTATCTTGCCTTCCATCAGCACTCGTTTGATAATAATTTTCTCTTGACGACGCACGTAACTTCATATCGTCTCGACGATGGATCCTCCTCATATCACAGAGTTCGCCTCTGAGCGATATTTCAGCAAACTAAACCAGCTCGCCGACACACCGGAGAGTAGCATACCCACGAACAGCGTTCAGCCGCAGCCAATCCAGCCATCAACCTTTATTTTACCTCTAAGATCCTCTAAGATTTCCGACAGCGATGGCATCACGCATCCTCCGGAGCAAAAACGCTCCGACCGCAGTCGGCTTTTTGGGTTACGATCCAAAGTCTCCCTGCTCCACACAAGACCAGTCGTTGCGGAACCCCAACTTGCTCTGTATGTTGACAAGGCCGGTGAGGTGAACAATACAAGAAGGTAATACTTGCCACAGGACAATCCGTTGATGAGAAGTCGCTAATTTGAGTAGGCATAGTAGATTACCGCTTGACGATCTTTTTCGTTCATTGCCGAACGAATTGCAAATACAAATAATCAACTCTCTTCCCCTCTCCGATATCCTCAATCTGCGCCGAGTGTCACGATCTTGGCACACCCTCATTACGCTAAACGAAGGCCCGATCGTTAGATTTCATCTCGACCACCATATTCCAGCTTACGCCCTCCGGCTCTACCCCATGCCAGATCCGTCTAAAGTAAACTTTCATTATTTATGTGGTCTATGGCATAGGCTCCATGTCGCCGCAAAGCTTTCGCACTTGATGTGTGAATGGATCACGAAGGAGATATTCCTTCGGACAACGAGGGCACAGAGACAAGATTTTGCCCCTCAACAAGAACGTATGCGACGCCGACTGATTCCGTTATTATTCACGATATTCCACTTCTTCGAGACATATCGGAAACTTCACCTAAAGTACATGGCGGAGAACGGCGGCCAAGGCCTGCGATATAAACCTTACACACTCAATCCTATCGAGGTCGAAATCATGAACATGTATGATGACAAGACGCTACTGCGAGTACACCAAGTTTTCCCGCTTGTTATTTCATCATTTTGCCGACAGTTGCGGCCCCCTTCATATGTTGGTCGTGTAGAGCGTTCCTGCGAGGCTATCTAAGGGAAAAGCCGTCCGATGAAGTTCACTCAGCTATCCTCTGCCTAGGTGGTCTACGGCAGGTTGAGCGGTTCTGGGAGATCGGAGGCTATAATTCGCGTCGCGGTGCAGTAGATCAATGGTACTCGTCCTTAACTAGCCGCCCCGAGCCTGTTTCCAAACCCAAACGCTCTATCATCACTATCGGGCGCAAAAGTCTATGGCCGCCCTAAAGAAGGATGCAAGTCGACACGCGGTGAACAATCCTCTACCGCCATTCGACGCAACAGCATCCATGTCCAGCTTCGTTTTTGGCACCAGTCTAGCCGCCGGTATGCCTATGTCCTCGTTACCCCAAGCTAGCGCTCATCAACTCTTGTACGATCTTCCAACACTCCAGCAAATCTGGCTACTCACTGCGGAGGCACTCATTCTTGAAAGGAAGATTGTACAGCGAGCTCAGGATATATTACGCAATGCGCAGATCATGCTAGAGCTTATTAGAGAAGACGGCTTAGAAGAAGAGGACGAATGGTGGTACGGACGCACCGCACACGAATCCCTTCGACCTCCCACAGGTGCTTCGGATTGCGACCTAGGGGATGGCCCCTTGCTGATGGCACCTTATGAAGATCCAGAGAGCATGGCTTAGAATCTGGACTTCCCACTCACCTTCGCTATCCCCATATCTTCCAAGGTCTATGAGACATTCTCATGAATAGCAATTCATACCCATCCTATTCAACTGACTCACCACTATATAACATTGGCGGGCTCCTACCCGCTATCACTTACCTCTTTCACAACTTTCCTTTGTCCAATTATGTATGGGTAACGGGTACTCGAGTGAGTCGTTTGAAAACCGGCCAGGTCAGGTACGGCAGTTTTTCTCTTCCTTTGGCCTCAAGTCATTTGGGGTTGGTCACATTGATTTAATAGGCATAACGGAGCATTCAGGGATAGAGGCCGCACATATATTTTACATATATTCCTTTCTGCTTGGAGCGGTTTCAATACAATATGATTTTACTATACCATGCCACCCCGGTTTGCCACACCCAGCCATCCAGCCTCCAAATGATGGCACCTGTTCCTCAAAATACCACTGTAGTTGTCCGATTCTCCATTGGAAATCCATCGTGAATGTGACATGCGGCGCATGGGTTTTATCTTGACTTCCGCTCAGAATGTGGCCCGATTCAACGTCTGTTGATTACATCATACGTGCGGGCGGCTGCTGATTGCCACTGCAGGCGAGGGGCTCAGGGAACACCTGCGATTGAGAAGTGGCAAGTGCAAACCCATCAGTCACTTACTAAGCAACTAGTGTGCACAAGCTTGATGGAGCTGTCTCGCTGCAAGGCATGCCCCAACTGATCTAGAAGGTCAACTTCAGATCATAAAGCCACCTTACGTCTTCCCAAGTCAGGTAGAATCAAAAGGAATTCCAATCTAGCACATCCGCCTTGGTATTATTTATACTCCAGATCTTATACCTGCCCCGTACTGTAGATTCGAGACCAGCATCAATCATCCCTTAGAGTAGGTGTCGAGGTTTTGCTCTCCAGGCACCCCACCTGCTAAGCTCCATCCCCCTTCCCTCATATATCTGATCACCCCTCCTCCCTCTTTCATGCTACCAGCCTAATTCTCCGCTTCCCTCCTGCATCAACTAACCCAACTTCTTTCAACCAATTTTCTTAGATATGGTCATGGACACAAAATACATCCTTCTTTCCCTCCCCCTCGAAGCCTTCGATTCCTCCGACAAGGACGAGGCCTTGGCCAGCCTACAATCAACACTTCCTAATATCGGCACCATCCTTCCCTATACAATCCCAAGCTTCAAGATCGGCACCCTTGACACGCTAGTGCAGCAAGCCGATGATTTAGCAAAAATAGACTCAGCATGTGCTGCTTTTGTGTCGAAGGTAGCGGAGTCCCTAAAGTCTCTCTTAGGTGGTGATGAGGGAAAGGTTGCACAACATAAAAAAGTGAACGAGAGTTAGCAGTGCCCCAACCTCTATCCTTCACAGCCTACCCCTCGGCTAACTTTAAGGCTTCCAAAATCAGAGTCGACCGACCACTACATCACTACTTTCGTCTGGAACAAGGTCCTTTATCGACCGGATAAGCCGCTCGCTGAACTCGTCAACATGCTTCAAAAGGTGCGTTCTGTCCATATTCCGACCGATTTACTCGCTTTTAACAACCCGATATAGGAGCTGAATTGCTTGGACAATGACATCAAAACCAAGATGAACCAATACACCACTGTTAAAGCGAATCTCTCATCCCTCGAAAGGCAGCGAAAGTAAGCATCCTGCCCCGGCCCTCAATCGTCCCAAGCGGAACATAATTAATATTCACATAAAACAGCGGTAATTTATCCACGAAATCCCTGTCTTCAGTGGTGAATCCTACCCTTCTTGTTCAAGGATCAGAATATCTCGAAAGCCACCTGCTAGCAGTTCCTAATGTCAGCAAGAAAGACTTTCTACGTGATTATGAGAGTTTAGTCCAGTTTGTTGTTCCAAGATCAGCACAGGAGGTATCACATGACGACGAGTTTACCCTCTATGCCGTGGTAACGTTCAAAAATACAGTACCGAGTTCCTTCAGAGGTGTAGGGAACACAAGTGGATTCCGCGGCCATATAGGTACATCGAAGGTGGTATGAAGGAAGAGCAGCGGCAACTGGATCACGTCGTGCAGGAGGAAAAGAAAGCTTGGGCAGAGGCTATGCGCATGGCAGTTACTGGCTGGAGCGAGTCAGTCCAGATATGGCTCCACGTCATGTCTTTGCGCGTGTTTGTGGAGGCGGTTCTTCGATATGGTCTCCCTCTTGACTATATCACGGGGATGATAAAGGTACCCATCTAACTGACGCCGAGATATCCTCCCCAAACCCTATAATGTGTGCACTAACTAACCCCAATCACAAACAGACCACCCCGAAAGCCACAAAAGGGTAAAGACTACCCTCGATGCAAGCTTTTCATACCTCGGAGGCAACGCCGTACGTAAGGACAAGCGTGGTAATACCATTGACGAGGCCGTCTTGGCCTCGGAGATTGCTGCCGCGGGCCTAGGCTCGGCTACAGGTGATTACACAGCATACGTCTACTATGAACTTGAGGTACCCTAGAGAATTCACGGGAAACAACTCAAGTGGCCACTCTTGCTCACCGCTCACAAAGAGCCATTTTCTTAGCTTTCCATATATAACACTTCTCTTCAACCACAAACTACGTACGCTGTGGGAATGCGCAAGCGATGTTGTTGGGACCTGTGAGCCGGAATCTTAGCTTGGTCATGCAACAGTCTTGATTAAACCCTGAGACTGCAGCCACCCCACGATAGCAGCCACGCATTCCTCTACGCTCTGCTGATCTGTGTGGATGTGGATCTCGGGGCTCTGCGGCTCCTCATACGGGGCAGAGATGCCTGTGAAATCTTTGATTTCGCCCGCTCTAGCCTTTTGATAAAGCCCTTTTGGATCTCGCTTCTCTGCTACCTCAAGAGGCACGTCCACGTAGACTTCAATGAAGGGGATCGTCTCATCTCCGCCTTGGCTCGCTGCGTTGTGGAGGTCGCGAGCCACCTGGCGGTCGGCACGGTAGGGCGAGATGAATGAAGTAATGGCAATTGTTGCTGAGTCCGCAAACAGCTTGGCCACTTCGCCAATACGCCTAATATTTTCGTTCCGGTCGCTTTCGGAAAACCCTAAATCTTTATTCAACCCAAACCGAACATTGTCACCATCCAGGCGATATGCAGCGAGTCCCAGGTGCAAGAGGTGCTGCTCTAAAGCGGTTGCAACTGTAGACTTTCCCGAGGCTGAAAGACCCGTGAACCAGACTGTAAACCCCTTCTGGCCTCGTAAAGTGAACCGCTCCTTCCGAGAAAGGGAAGGATGCCAAGTAATGTTCCTTGATAAAGAGATATAAGTCAGATTAATGTCGCCGTGGTGGGGGACCGAAGACAATATCGAACTAACGTGGCCATTCTTAGGTTGTGAAAACCTGTCCCCAACAATAGAGAAGAAAGGCAAAAGAAGAAGATTTTACGAGAGTTATTGGCACGAGCAGGAGTTAGGCAAGCGGGTGATGGCTTGTTAAAAATAAAAATAAAAATAAAAAGGAGAGGAAGGTTGGGAGAAAATACCTCGAAGGTGCAGGAAGGAATTTAAATCGTGGCTACTGTGAAGAAAACCACTTCGCAAAACCCAGTCCTCGTCAACCCCGCCATTGAAAGTCGCGAGAGGTATTATTAATGTGACTCAGCAACTACAATATGGCATCAGTGGAGCAAATCTCGACATTTGCACTATGATGTCGTCTCACACTGTACCTTGGTAGAAATCTTCAGAACCACAAGGTTAAAATGTAATACAGATAAGATATTGAGAGCGTCCACCGGCCTTAAATTGGCGTAGTCCGTTTTCATCGGTCGTTTAATAGAGCTATTAAATAGCTATCAAGGGAGATAGAGCCTCCCTCATGCTTTATACCCCTTTCAATCCTAACGAACTCTCAAAGTATTTATGCTCGAATTTTCGGCATCATCTACCGAGGTAGAACAGATCAATTTGGGTTCGTAATTTTTGGTCTTTTGAATGCACTTACCCAGGCATGTTTTGGAGATACAAATAGGGCGCTCGCTTCCGCAATTGTGACGGGCGCCTCTCCATCCTTTGGAAGGGTTTCAATACGACCTTCAACCCAAGCCTTCCGCCCTTCAACCTTGACGGTGTTGGCTAGGAGCACGAAGTAACCATTTGCCTGTGCCGGTTTTCGGTAATTGATCTCGAGCTTCGCGGTAACACCTATCTGATGAGGCAACGCGGCAAAACAACAACTCGCTAGGCCCTCATCAAGCAGCGTTGCTAATAACCCGCCATGGACAAGCTCGGGATGTCCACACATATTTTTACCGATGTAAGCTATGGAAACCAAGGATTTACCTCGGGTATCTTTCCATGCGTAAGGGGGTACCACAAGCTTTCCTGGACCGGTTAGAGAGCCAGCTGTGAGGCTCTGTTGCTTGAAGGCATCTGGCATCTTCACGTGGGGTCGAGATTCAACCATTCCCGAAGTGTCGCGAAGCTTTTTAGTTAGGGGTGGGCATTTATGTATTCTTCTATTGTCCGTGCCTCTTCATTAGGGGGTATATAAGCTGATCTGCTTGCTTCGTCAGAGAGGAATGAGAGTCCTAAAAGGCTAGAAGGAAGCGTGGTGTAGATGGCAGCGAGAAACCCTATCGCAGTACAAGCAAGGCCACCTATGCCAAGGGCAGCCACCGTTCGACCCCGGAAGCGAGGCGAGTCATGGGAGATATTTGGCCCCGTACTATTCGTTCGGTCTATTGAAAGCTTAGGCGTCAGTGGCAGATTTAGAAGAAAGCTGAGTTTCCAAACGTGGCGATGAGTAGCTAACCCTGTAGGGCGGGGGAGCGGCGCCTCGGAGGCAATGGCCTGGACCTGGGTGGTGCTGACGAGAATTGCCAGTGGCGTGAACGTGACCCAAGGCGCGATTCGAAGAGAACGCGGCTTTGAATTAGTGCCATTGATAAGAGCCCTCCTAACTATCGGGAAACGATGCGTATTATTTAATGTAGTGTAGGATTCCGTGTGAAAGGGCTTCGAGTGTGTTCCAATCATGAGAATATTCTTCCGAATATGGGTACGAAGGGGGACTGCATGCTATTTCAAGCATGGACCTCTTTTGAATTAACATCAACACAAATAGACCTCGGGATTTAATGTGCACCAAGTGTCGCAGATAAAACCTGACAACTGTCAGCCCCACTACAAGTGGAAGTAGCCTCGCAAACGAAGCCACACTTGACAAAGAGAATACCTCGGCATTTCATCACTAGTAGCTGTATATTGATTGAAAAATGCTATCATGAGTCGGCTTCCTTAGCCAAGAGGGCCGCATAATCCTCTGCGGATGCAAACATCGGTAAATCACGAAGTTTTCTTTTCCGTGAACGCTGACTTGTCGTATCGCCAGTAGCATGGTGATCTTCTTCCTCTACGTCCTGCTCGATATCGCCAACACCGTCAGTGCCCTCCTCTCCAAGCGGTAATTTGTCCTCATCATCATCCAAGTCGCTATTGGAGGGTTCCGAATCGGTGAAAGGGAATTCAAGATCTCCCAGAGACGATTCATCATCCGATCGATCTGGGACGAGGGCGTTCCAGATTCTGTCATCTTCGCCCTCAATGCCATCATCCCTTGCCACAGGCGAACCTTCTGGACGTAGGTTTGATTTCCGATCTGTTCGTCCAATCTGGCTGAAATATTCATGAAAGAAAGCGTCCTCGGCAGCGACCTCCCCAGCCTTTTAGACCAGAAATTAGTGTTGTTGACCATCGAATCGGACCCAGGTCCACGTTTATTTCGCAGCCATGGATCCGAGCCAGATACGCCTAATTGCAATGACTGCATAATAGAAGTACCACGATTAAGTTCCTTGGCCTTGGGATTACGATACGCAAACTTGTCCAGGAACCGAATCAGGCTATGGCTTTCCAGGTCCGGTTTCTGTGTCTCTCCCGGCTCCATAATTGTGGAGGCATAGACTAACACGGCGGGATGGAAATGGCCCAAAGAGGGATCTATAGACTGATGTGTTAACAGGCAAATTCAACCGGTTGTAGGACCAAAGGGTCAAAGTACTTACAAGCTCCCAAAGACAGCTACGGTCAGCGTTACTAAATTCCGGGTTGCGCTTACGACCGTTGTATGATGAGCCAAGCTCATCACGGGATTCAATCTGCCGCGATTCGCGATGTTCCTCCGGCTCCGCTATTAGAGTTGCCAAGCCAGGAATGAGCGCCTCAAGCTGGATTATAACGTAGAGCGCCCCACAAATGAACGGCGGCTGATGCAGCGCAAGGACCTGCAGCATCCTCTTGACAAAAGCCTTCACTCTCTTGATATTCATATCCGATTTCAATGTTCTCATAATCAGGTTCAAGTACATGGCTTGTTTTGACGAGGTTGACAACCTGACATCCAGGAGCGATTCGTACAAAACACGATAAAGCCTATCAGTAGCGATGTTTCGTGATGCCGATAGCTGATGTATTAGCATCATTGCTTGAGTACTTGTGTTGAAATTGGAAGAGTGAACAATCCGGAAAAGTGTATCAAGATGGCATTCCAGGCTAAATAGAGTCAGTTCACTGGGATGTCTGAAGAAAAGTTGCATTAATAACTCACGATGTTTCGTTCTCACTACCTTCTAAGAACGGAATTGCTCGATTGATGCCGGTAAGGATCGCAGAAATAAGCTTCTCGGTGAGCGCTTCGAATTCTGCGTCTTTCCGCCATGCAATGGCGACAGAGTCACAGAGCCTGATGGGTCGCTCCCCAACGAGCCCATCTCTCCGCTCGTAAGCATAGAGCTAAACATGGCGAAATATATGCTAAGTAGAGTTTCCGATAGCTTTGCTTCTTTGGTGCTCAAAATCGTCTGGTTAAGGGTGTTGACAGCATAGTATCGCGCTTTGATAGACTGGCAAGGGCGCAAGATTACCTCATGCTCGATTGTACGAATTATAATGTCTTTCATCTTAGGATGGATGTTTTCCAGTTGTAGGAGAAGGTGAGAAGACCGGGAAGCAAGTTTTCTATCTCTATCCCCGAGTTTGTTCACAAGCAGCCGAAGTAAATTAGCCTCTTGCTCAGGCTTCTCACGAAGAAGGCCGAAAATGAAATCCAGTGACCTCGTGCGAGAGTAGTCAATATCGTCACTAGACCATACTTCCAGAAGCTGGACGACTTTAAAATAAGCCGATTTTAGCCAATCCTCAAATACCCAAGATATAAGATGCCGGGGTGTCACGGCTCCAGGCAATCTCATGGACGGGTTCCATACTGAAACAAGTTCGTTTTGCAAAGCGCCCATTAATCCAGGCTGGCGGTTGAAAGGGAACAGCTTTCGATTTGGGGAAGTAGTAGCCCTGGGCCCATAAGGTCAACTATAGCCGCGAGAGCAATGATGGCCTGGCTACGGCTCTTCTTCGAGGCTAGATTTAGGAGAGCCTCAAACGCGCGGATATTGTGGACCGGAGACTCCTGTATAGCCAAGGTCAACGCAGAAACCTTATCATTCATTGTGCCAGACGTCATAATGGTCGAGAGGAATTTATGGGTTGAAGTAGCAAGATAACTTCTAGTATAAGTGGTAGAATCCTTGTCTAGTAGGAGCCATGCATGCTGCTTGAGAGCCTCAACGACCGCTGCGTGAGGGGTGGTATTATCGGATCGGGCATTTGGGAGGCCCGGAAGAGTAACGGTGTGCCATTCGGGAATGGGCTCGAAGGTCTAGATTCACCGTTAGCAATTCAGTATGCATCGGAGGGGAAAATGCCATTACAGTTTTCTTTTCTACTTCAGACAGCTTCAATGGAGCCTCAGCTTGTGTTTTCACCCCGGCTGTACCGTTAATTGAGCCACGCTCTGATTTCGCCTCAGCGGCCTGCGAGAGACCTAGCGTTACAGCCAACTCAGCCAATTCGGCCCCTAAAAGGGGCGGGACAGATACGGGCACTTCAGTATCCCCATGCTCTGACTGAGACGAAACATCCAAGATGAGTTGAAGATCATCCTCGTCCCCACCAAGCGCATAAATTTCGTTGAGGAGTTCCTCCCTTGGGATATTTGCATGGCCGCCACTTCTATCTTGCTCACGATTGTAAGTAGAGTCGTCGCGTCTTCGCTTCTTCGAGCCATATTCACGATCGGGCGCTGCGCGCTTGCTTGCTTGGCGTTTTGTACTTGGCATCTACAGAGGGAGGTAAGCTGAATGCTAGGACGTGGGCTGCTTCAAAGCCAAGGGAGGGAAGGTCAAGAACATTATTCTCGTCTTGAAGGAGACGTGTCTTACCATTGATGCCGAACTTTCCAGAGAATGATCTCACCTTAACTTGCAGTTTATAATGATGAAGGAAGGGAAAAAAACCCCCACCCATTGACCCAAACTATCTTGGCCTAAAGGAAAAAAAAATTGAATTCCAGATGGGTGGGACCCTGACCTTTAATGATTATGTAATGTACGGAGCTGCAACTTCGAGAGCCAGTTCAACACGTTAGTTATCGCAGCTTTTATCCCAACGCATGATTCAATTGACCTTTCTAGTTTCGCGCGTACTCGTATAGAATGAACTCTGGCGCCTGAACCGTGAAACCCAAAGGTGTAGTCGCGAGAAGGTTCGTCTTTCGTACGTCTATAGGAGATGCCTTTTCGAAGGAGTTGAGTGATGAACTACGCAACTCCTATCTCCCTTCAGCGAGGATTCCGAGTAAGTCGGGCTGTGGAGTCTTCTACTGCCAATCCATCCTTAGAGGCTTCAATCACTTACTTATCCTTGGGAAAGGCATTGCACAGCTCCGTAGACACAGTGGTGAACCGATCGTTGCGCTCCCGATTATGGCAGCCTACAGGTGGTATATCCCAGGTCGTCAATGAAGGTATATTTAGGCTCTACGACATGCCAGCGTTCACTCAATACTAAGAAGAGAATGCCAGGTGGCCATGAAAAACTACTTCGGGCCGGTTATGTTCGACAGGTCTGCACCTCAGTCCCAGTCGATCAAGCTTGCTGTTTATGACATGCTAATCAATCTCTAAATACAGTCCAACCTGGGAACATTCAACCTTCTACCTCTGGGGCTGCGCGTTCAGGAAAAGCTCGAACACCTTGCAGATGCTGCAATGAGACAAATTGGTGAGATTTGAAGGCTGTTTCTTGCCATCTAGCTTACTAACCGGGTGCAAGGCGCATCAAAAATTTCCCTGTCATCCATAACCTCAGAGGAACTTTGGGGGAAAAGCGGACGGCTTAATCAAACAAGCTCTGAGGTATGATCACAACTGCTGTCCTTTTCTTCCGTCATGTCGGAGCCTCAATGTCAAGTATATAGGACTAACTAAGACAACAGCTGTTCAGATTTGAAGATCGACGACGAACCCCCTCCTCCTCTCACCTACTCACGAAGAGGAAATCACGCATCTCGTCTCCAAAACAGTCAATTCCCACAAAGACCTACCTTTAATGCTCTATCAAATATGTATGTTTCACAGCTTGAGTTTGCTGCATGTAGACTGACTATAGTAGCACGGAAGTACCGCGATGAACTCCGACCACGACATGGCCTTCTCCGAAGCCGTGAGTTCACCATGAAGGACCTATACACGTTCGACATCGATATACCATCTGCGTTGCAAACATATCGGCGAGTTGGGGAGTCATATTCGCACTTTTTCAATCAGCTAAGTCTACCGTTCATCGTGGCTGAAGCCAGTTGTGGTGATATGGGAGGCAGCATGAGCCACGAGTACCATATCCCTTCCCGTTTAGGTGAGGATACTGTCGTGAGTTGCCAGCAGTGTGGTTATGCAGCCAATGAAGAAGTTGCTGCTCTGGAAGGCTCAGTAGGCATTCAGCCCAATATTTCCGGTCCTCCTCGTAATCCTCGGGTAGCAGTCTGGAGAGGTGTCACAAAACGAAGGGACACCCTCGTCAATGTTTGGTATAACTCCGACCGCAACGCGCACTCACCTATAAACATCCATGCAGTGAAGGCCTTAGTACCCGACCTTGACCCAACCATTGAAGACGCCGCGCCAATCTGGGATGAACTTCTTGGTAAGACAAACAGGATCAAGTCTTCCACACAGCCTCTAAACTTGGTCAACCTGCTCGATTTCAGGGTTGCTCATCTCGAAAACGAAATCACCAATAAACCCGCCTCACTCCCGGCAATGTTTCCGCCAGGCAGCTTTGTCACAGAGGGTGTATCACAGATATTTATTTCGAAGTCAGCCCTCGGTCGTCCATTGAACCTTGCCCGTGTTCAGAACGGTGATGCATGCCCGCGTTGTGAAACCGGGACCGTCACAGTGACAAGAACCCTCGAGCTAGGTCATACTTTCCACCTCGGGACTCGGTATTCAGATCCCCTCGCAGCAAGGGTCACCATCCCCCAAAACAAATCTGGATCACATGTACCAACTTCCCTCGCGATACAGATGGGTTGTTTTGGTATCGGTATCACGCGAATTATGGGCGCCATCGCAGAAGAACTTTCGGACGAAAAAGGGCTCATATGGCCATTGAGAATAGCTCCTTACCAAGTCATCATTGTTCCAGATTTCGATCTTGTTCAAGAAGCTGGGGATGTGTATGACACCATCACCACCATGTCGTTAGGATCCTCTATGTCTTCCCTTAGACATGTGGATGCAATCATCGATGACCGCCCTCAATCCATGCCGTGGAAGCTGAAGGATGCTGACATTACAGGTTATCCTATACTTATTATTATGGGGCGTAGCTGGAGAGAATCCGGTCGTTTTGAAGTGCAGTGTCGACAGCTTTCATTGAGAGAGTTGGTTTATCCAGCGAGCCTACCGCACCATATTCACAGCCTGATGCAGCGAATGAGGTAAGTGTAGATCTAGATCGCACGACCATACCGGGGCATAATAGCTCCTAATTGGGAATGTAAGATGAACCTGTAGCAATAGACATATTTCCGAATTACGTTGTTCTCGCTTGGTGGTCCCAATATGATATAAGCTTCTTGATTGATAGGGCTAGTTGGGCCCGTTGCGCTGAGTCACCCCAAACTCCATGGTTTCAAGTTAAATTCCCAGACTCACGAGGAAACATGTTCCAACCGAGCTACACTTCTTCATCAAAGGAAAGACGGATACCACCTCGACAATGTCATCCCAAAGTGGCGAAGCTGGTACGTAGTTGCCCTTCGCCAGAATGCTGTTATTCAAACCACTTATCTACACCTACTAGTCAATCTCGACAGCCTAAATCTCCAGCAACTTTCCCAGGTGAAGAAGCAGATTGAAGGCGAACTAGACCATTTAGGGGCATCCTTCGCGCAATTGCGTACGGCTCAGACGAAATTTAAGGAGTGCCTTCGGTGCATTGAGGCGGGATCTGAGTCTATCGGTACGATAAATTTTTCGGAGGGGGCGTTTCTGCCCATTAGCATAGACCAGAGACACCGCTGACCAGCCTTGTAGACGATCGCTTAGTTCTCATACCCCTCACCAACTCCCTGTATGTCCAAGGAACGGTCCCCTCGAATAGTCGAGTCATGGTAGATATCGGTACTGGTTATTTCATGGAAAAGGTTATCTCAATCCCTCTGACATTGGTTAGGGAAGCGGGCTAATTTTTGCTTCCTTGCTCCAGGGCGCGACCGAAGCAGGCGAATTTTACCAGGCGAGATCTAACGAACTAGCGAAAACGCTTCAAGATCTCGAAACAATTTTGCATAGGAAAACCGCAAACGTCCAGTCGATTGAAGAAGGTAGGCTTCCACCCTGCTTTCCTTGCCATAGACAGTCGTTTACATGCCCAGTAGTGATCCGAAACAAAATGCTTGATTCATCACAGTAGTCACACATAGCAGCCAGGACTCTGGAGCTTTGTGTCTCTTGAGGTGTTATCAGAGCCGCCAGTTCCGAGGTATGTCACCCACGATACACCGAGCCCTACGGATACTCTAAATAAAGGGCACAACTCTCCGTCTATACCAACCAACAGACTGGCTCCCAGCCAGGTGTTCACAGACTCCGATTGTTTTTAAAAAGGGGTGCGCTCAGAATACCCCGAAGGCGGGATTTTGTTTAATAAATACACCATGAAAAACTGCCTACGTAGCCAATTGCAGTAAAAGGTGCTCAACACTTGCAAAGTTGTCCGGAAAAGTACATCAGAAGAAATGAGAGCAAAGATCACGCCAGTCGGCCGACTAGACATGAGATGGACACTGACCCAACCATCCCTACAGACAACCCTATTATTATTATTATCATTACTATTATTATTATTATTATTATTATTACTATTATTATAGGTTTATCATTTTGGAAGCAAGGGTGATGTCTTAGCCCCCAGCGGCGACCAACTGCCATAACTAGTCTGCTTGACTGTAAACAGTCTCAGGGCACGACACATACACCTTCCCGACCAAACATCTTAAGACAAGCACTAGTGGCATAATACACTCCATCTCATGGCCTCAGTCAGCGCATGTATCCTTAGAGATGGCACCTATACTAGATAAAGGTAGCTCTGACCACCGGCTCGGGGTGGGAGATTGATAAAGGTCTCTCAAGAGAGCATGAGCCAGTAAGTCTCAGTGAAACACCTCGACGAAGTCACATTACCAACCTAATTAGCACCAAGCCAGGTCATGTCTTCTTTTCACTGGCTCCAGGCTAACAAAGATACCGCTAGAAGGAAATGACGAAGTCCACCCCTCCGCCTATTGTTACGGCTTGCTCCCAAAGCAATTCTACCTACGTCTTTTAGCTACCCCTCCAGGCAACTCCCCATCAAAACACGCATCATCATCACTTGTCATCTATGCCCTAAGTCAAGCACAATCAGAATTGAGCTTCTTTAGTTTCTCGGGTAAAAGTTGAGCCTTTGTGTATTAGTTGGGTTCGGCGGCATGGCCCGTGGCTTGATCTGGTAGCTGTTCCAGCTCTCAACATGAAGTAACAAACACTAGAAGAATTTCCGTAACTATCTGCGTGCCTACATGTATTCACAGTCTCTCGGAGGGGTATTTCTCAAACCAATGATTCGTACTTGTTGGTTTTTCTCTTCATCAGAATGCTCGCCAAGTTTCCCACAACCTCATCTGCAGGTTTGAGAAAGCTGTCAAAGCCTCGGTAGTTAATACTTGATTAGGCTTCGATCCCCGTGCGGATTGACACATTTAGCTATTAGTCTCAACCCATACCAATTGTGCAGACCCTTTGCAATTCCGAACCGCGACCATAGGATTTCCCCCGCACTGCAACAAGATCAGCGACACCATGAATCCGTAATCCACAGGTTCGCCTCACTCACGGACTGGCAATAGCATGCGGGATTGTGGTGGAGGTCTCTTCGCCCATGCTAGATGATGGCTTTACCAGTGTCACCTTAAAAGAGTTTAAGGGCTGTGTCGGTGGCGTAAAGTTAATAGACAATCGGCAAGATGAGGACCTTTCAGGGTCACTCAAGACATGGCAAGCTAATAAGTTTGGCCAGAAAATGGGTTTAAAAATCAAAATTAAAATACAGAGATATATAATATGAATAAAAAACAGACCAGCTTACAGCTTTTCTATCACGCGTTGTGTACAAGTAATGCTTTTGATAGATCCATCCCTCTGACGCCAAATGGCGTTTCTTGAAGGGGCAGGTCTAAGCGGCATATTGCCAAGTCACGAATACCCCACTCAACGCCCCATGCTCAATTCGCTTGAAAGCCCGCCATCAAGCAGGTTCCGAGCTGCCATGGACGTACAAACATCCATGATACAATAATACCATCTAACCCTCATGTCCAGATTCAGAGTCGCCTTTCGAGGCCGAGACAGCACGTGGCGTTGCCTTGAGTCGTCCATGATAACTCTGAACCATCACTCCGAGTCATCATTTATTGACCAATGTCGCTGAAACCAGCTGTTAAAATCGGTATACCGGTGTGTTTAAGGCTTACATCGGTTGGTGGCCCCCGGATACAATTCCCGACAGTAGCTCCACTCCACCCCGAGTGTCCGCTGGAGAAGACGCTCATTGTCCGGGAGAATGCTCGACAGAGATTGATCAATTGATGATGATCCAACTAGGAATGTGTACAAATGTTCCACCAGGAGACAACAATCGCCAAGATCTTTAGTCCGTTTTGAGGCCTGGTACCGAGGAGCAAGAGAATTATGATTGGTACTCAGCTCTGGTCTTGGTCAGCTAAAGGCACGACCTCCGCAAGGCCATCTTGGCGTTGAGGCGGGATCACATCATGCCAGCCAATGAGAGTGTTCGTATCCCGGAGATCCAGAGGATGAGGGAAGCCAAGACAGACAAGCTCCCTCCACGCCTTCCTTGCTTGAGTTTTCTCAAGCTCAACATGCTTTCGTTTCATCGATTTTGCTCCCAAATTTGAGATACAAACTGCGAAAATATGAAAAGATCTTGGCCTAGCCTTGGCAATGCTATAGTGCCTTTCGTGGTCCACAAATGTATAAAAAGGATGGCACCTCCGCTCCAGTTAGCTTTTCGTTCCCGGAATACTGCCAACGAGTACCTGATAATCATTCGACCTTGACTCCTAATTGACGAGAAGTATAAAAGCCTCATATCGCATGTAATTTTTACTTGACCTCTCAGCTTCTCTCCGCTGGCATCCAAGCCAGGGTGAACAATCGCGATGGCGGCTGATTACCCCAAACACCCTTTTCTGTTGCCTGTATCAGAAACTGCACAAGTCCTCGGCACCGATGTTGATGAAGGACTTCTAGCAAGCAAGGTTGCGGACCTTCAGCGGCTTTATCCCCCAACGAACTCAACGTTGGGGGTGGTGTCGCTTGGTATACAATCCTAAGTAAACAGCTACTCAATGCTATGGTCCTGGTGCGCGAAATACAGACTACTGTTCCCTTCCTTGACACCTATGCTAACATGGAAATGGTAGGTCCTGGTATTTGTCATGGTACTCAGCTACTCATTCAAAGATTGGATTGAGGGCGGGGTGGTAACCTTCGTTATCATTCTCAATGTGGTAATCGGCTTCTGGCAAGAATATCGCGCTGAAAAGCGCATGGACTCTCTTCGAGCCCTCTCTTCGCCAAGCGCGACAGTCTTACGTGATGGAAACACCGCTGTAATTCCGAAGTAAGTCCAAAATCTCTTCGATGAAACTGGCTCACCCTGACCTTTTAAAGCGCTGAAGTTGTACCTGGCGATATCATTTTACTTAAAATGGGAGACACTATTCCAGCAGACCTACGGCTCTTCGAAGCGATGAACCTTTCTTGCGATGAGTCCTCCTTGACTGGGGAGGCGGTTCCCGTGGAGAAAACCATAGCCAACGATATAACTATACCTGGTACTGAGAAAGAACTGGCAACTTCTGAAGACCAGGTTGGGATAGGTGATCGCACTAATATTGCTTATGCGACAACCGTTGTCAGGAAGGGCCGTGGCCGTGGGATTGTAATTGCGACCGGCATGACGACCGAAGTTGGAAAAATAGCAGCCTCAACAACAAAGAAGCATCGCAAGGCTGGTAGATCGATGAGCTGGAAGAAGTATGGGAAAAGGCAGCCAGTAATTGGGCTCTTTAAACGCCTATATGACATCATGGGCAAGTTTTTAGGCCTGACTGAAGGAACTCCTCTTCAACGGAAGCTTGCTTGGCTAGCCTATATTCTATTTGGCTGTGCATTATTGCTAGCTGTTGTCGTTTTTGCGGTAAATCGATTTGACTTACCCACCGAGGTGATCATATACGCCACCTCCTTAGGGATTGCCATAATTCCAGAATCGCTTGTTGCGTAAGTTCTTAGCATCATCATTTCCCTACGCATCAATTACCCTCAACGAAGACTTGGTCCTAACTGAACATCAAGGGTCCTCACAATAACCATGGTAGTTGCGGTGTCTGTCATGAGCAAGGCCAACGTTGTCGTGCGCGATTTGTCTGCCCTGGAAGCCTTGGGCGGTGTCACCAATATTTGTTCAGACAAGACTGGCACCTTGACACAAGGTGCCATGATTGTCCGGACGGCTTGGCTACCAGAGCACCACCTTTATAGCGTCAGGGATACACGTCACCCGAGCGACCCCACAGAGGGAAAGTCACCTACCAGAACATTAAAGAAGAAGTAGATGTGGAAGAGTCCCCAAAACGAGATTACGACCAGGAAAGGAGCGCTGCGGCCCTAACCTTTGATGTTCCGGCAGAGAAGCTTAATTTGAAACGACCAGATCCTTCAAGCAGTGACGTCGAGGCTGAGGTTACACCAGCTCTTCGGGCCCTGCTTCTGTCATCGGCCCTCTGTAATCTGGCTACCGTGAGATACGATGAGACGACATCCCGCTGGCAAACCACTGGCGAGCCTACTGAGATAGCACTTCAAGTATTTGCGCACCGCTTTGATCTCGGTAAAGGGGCTAGTTTCTACAGGGTGGAAAGAACTAGCCGAATTCCCCTTTGACAGCTCTGTGAAGCGCATGTCTGTCATCTATGACCCTCCATCGTCGGTGATTGATCTCTTTGGCGAAGGTAATAGCATTGTGTTTTGCAAAGGGGCTGTCGAGAGGATCCTGGAGTTATGCAGCTTTGCTGGTTTCGGAGAGGATAGGCATGCCCTTACAGAAGACTCCCTCCAAATAGTGATGGAGCAGACAACCAAATTGGCTTCACAAGGCCAGCGTGTCCTTGCTATCGCCTACCGTGAATGGGAGGGGAAATTCACCCTGCGCCAATCTCCAGAGTCCGATGCTGCCGATGCTCCGCTACGGCGAGAAGTTGAGAACCATCTCACCCTTCTCGGGCTTGTTGGCATCTACGATCCACCCTGCCGTGAAACAAAGCCTTCAATAGCGGAATGCTCTTCGGCAGGGATTCGAGTCCATATGCTCACCGGAGATCACCCTGAGACTGCGAAGGCGATTGCTAAAGAGGTTGGTATCATACCGAAGAACCTGTCCACCCTGCCAGCAGCCACAGCCTCCTCTATCGTCCAGATTGCAACGAACTTTGATAAAATGACGGACGAGGAGATCGACGCCCTAGATGAGCTTCCGCTTGTGATTGCCCGCTGCGCACCTAATACCAAGACCCGGATGATAGAGGCCTTGCGCCGTAGAAACGCCTTCATGGCGATGACAGGTGATGGCGTCAATGACGCACCGTCACTTTCGCGGGCAGATGTTGGCATTGCTATGGGATCCGGGTCGGACGTCGCAAAGTCTGCCTCTAAAATTGTTTTGGCTGACGACAAGTTCAATTCAATTGTGGCTGGAATTCGGGAAGGCCGCAGAATGTTTGACAATATTCAAAAGTTTGTCCTTCATTTGTTAAGCTCCAACGTCGGAGAAGTCATCTTATTGGTCGCCGGTTTGGCGTTCCGTGACAGAGCTGGTTACTCTGTGTTCCCTATTTCCCCATTGGAGATCCTTTGGATCAACATGATTACTTCGTCCTTCCCAGCCTTTGGTCTCGGGCGTGAGGCGGCCGCTAGAAACGTTATGTCGAAGCCCCCTCATGACAAAAACCGAGGAGTGTTTACAAATCAGATCTTAGTAGACATGGTGGTCTACGGTGTGATGATGGGTGCTCTGACCATGGCTACTTTTGTTATCGTCATCTACGGGGCTCACGGCGGAGACTTGGGCCAAGATTGCAATCGACACTATTCCGATATGTGTCACGGCGTCTTTCGTGCGCGGGCAGCCGTGTTTGCTGAGCTCACATGGCTCATTTTGGTTTCCGCTTGGGAGTTCAAGGATCTCAGAAGGTCTCTGTTTCGCCTCCACCCGAACGACGACCGTAAGTTCCCAATCTTTGAGGATCTCTACTCAAATCAATTTCTTTTGGTCCGTTATGATTGGCGCCTTATCGGTCTTCCCTGTGGTCTATATCCCTAGCCTGAACACAAGTGTTTTCAAGCATACCTCAATTAGCTGGGAGTGGGGGTTGTGGTTGGCTTCACTCTCTTATATGTGCTTGGTGTTGAGGGGTGGAAATATGTGAAGCGTAGCTGGCATCTTCTTGAAGACCATCCAGTCAAGACAGGTTCGTTCAAGCAAGGTGGGGATGTGGAAGGTGGGAGGAGCTTTATCCGGACGATGACGGCTACAAGTTTTAAGAGTTGGAGAAGCTTTGGCAGAACTGACACAGGAGACTCTGGGGCAAGGGGCAGAGTTTCGAAGGAGTAGGTGCAAAAGAAAGAAATATTTCGTGAAGGTACTAAGTCACTGGAAAAGTGAGTGTCAAACCTAGGAGCTTATACCACAAAAGCTAAGAGGTAGGTAGATCAAACACCCTGGCTACTCAACAAAGTGGAGTTGTAGTATCCATCATGGGGTGAATTGATGTTGATAAAGTCAAGGTATAATGCCAATCTTTCATATCTTAGTAGTAGGCAGAGCAGTATTAATAGCTACACTAGTCTATCAAAACCCCTATTACTTTCTTTGTAATAATAAGTTTTAAGAGTAAAGTTAAATATTAAAATATAAGTTTTAACTGAGTATTAAAATACTAGTAAAACACCTAAAAAGAGATAATTTACTTAGGTACTATTAGTATTACGTTCCACTGCAGCCCATGGGTATCTGCCGAAGATCACCCGATGGCCCATATGATCACCATCTAGGATCCAGGAGGATCTAAAGGGGTCATCGAGTAGATAGGTAGCTAGGAAGGTAGAACTATCTTACTTACTTACTCACTTCTAATACCTAGCTTCATCTTTATAGTGACTATAGTATTATATAAGGATGTAATACTGTAGCGACCCTTGAGGACTAGTAACCCTCATAGCGACAGAGTGATCACTAGATCACTCTAGAGATACCACTATCTCTCTAGCAGCTTTCTAACAGCTCAGGTATCAGCAAGCCAGTTAGCATAACCTTTTATCATAACATATAGATTCTAATACTAAGTATAGTAGTAGAATAGAGTAGTGCTTAAAGATATAACTATATACTATAAATATATCCCTACTAGATAAACCCTAATTTATTATCATTCTAATAACTTCTCTATAGAATTTAGTTTTATTAAGCCCTCTACTAATCTTACTACTATTTAACTATAATATAATATATAAAAATAGGGCCTCACTATATAATATACTACTTTTAATAGCTAGTATACTTTTATTTAATCAGCCCTATAGGGTAAAGTTATAGTATATTAACTACTAAGTCTAATAGTAAGCCTAGTAAAAAGTGCCCTATAGTTCTATACTAAAATACCCTCTACTACTAATAGAATAGGTCCTAATATAATATTAAATTAATATTAATAAATACTCTAATACTATACTAAGATATTTAAAATACCTTCTAATACTATATTAAAATACTTTTTAATACTAATTAAGTATACTTTAAATTTAAAGGTATATAGATTTTCTTCTAATACTAGAGGGTATTTTAGTATAGATATAGTACTAGAAGTTTATATAAAGACTAGAGTTAATATTAAAAGGTATTTTAGTATAGTATAATAAAAATACTTTACTAGGTTTAATTACTATTATACTTAGAGTAGGCTTAAATATTAATATACTATAACTTTACCTTATAAGGCTAATTATATAAAAAGTATCTAAAAATAATAGAAAAGAGTATTTAAAAAAAGTAAGAAAATAAATAGATTTATAATAAATTAAATCTTAAATTATAAATATTTTATATATAATTATATTAATATAAATAAATATATATTTAGATAATAAAAATAGAAGATAAAGTAGAAATACTAATTTTAGGTAAAAGAATATATATATATAATAAAATAAGTTTTAAACTAAATAAAAAACCTATTAAATATATTATAATATTAATATAAATAACCTATTATTAACTAAATAAGATATTATACTTTTTATTAAAAGATATTATAATTAAAATAATTTATATTAACTAATTAAAAATATTAAAAGAATAAAATTAGTAATATATTATTTTATTTTATTATATAAAAAAATATATAATATAAGTTTTATCTTAAAAACTTAAAATATAATAATATTAAAAATAATATATATAATAAGTTTAATTAAGAGGACTCTATTAGTTTAGCTATAAAGATAGTATAGGTTTAGAATCTAGATTAACTAAGGTTTACTTACTATAGCTTATAATTTTTCTAAATACCTAGTATTTATATATATTTAGTATAAGATAATTAATAGAAGATATAAAAGTATAGACTTTAGCTTATAGAGCCTTCCTTCCTATTCTAGCTCTATAATTATACTTCTCTTTTATATTATATTTCTACCTTTTAAGATAAGATCTATCTAGATCCTAGATCACTAGCTCTTCTTAGTGATATCTATCTAGATCTTAGATTACTAACTTATTTTAAAACTATCTCTAGTCTTTTACTAGAGCTAGGTTTAAATCTAAGATATTAGTTTTAGCCTAGCTTCCTTAGTTACTAGTAACTTAGGTAATCTTTATAATATTAGGTATGCTTAGAGTAGGTTTAGGGTGTGGTTAGGGCTTACTATAGGCTAGCTCTACCCTAGATCTAAAGTATTCCTTTATACTTAAGGAAAAAAAAAAGCTAACTAATTAATATACTAATTGATAATATAGGTAAATAGGATTTAAGGAAAGTTATATCTTAGCTTACTATTACTAAAAGGTATACTAACTAATCTAGATAATATTATAAAAGGAAAAGTATATATCTCCTTTAATATACCTTATATATAGCCTAGAGATATATAAAGTTTAAACTATAATATAATATATATTAATCTTAGCTTAGAAAACTACTTTAATTACTACTTTATATTATAAAATAGTAATATTAATAATAATACTTTAGAGTAACTAATATAAGTTTAGTTATTTAGTTAAAATAGTTATAGTTAATAATAAATACCCTTTTATTTTACCTTAAAAGCTATAACCTATAGAAAATAAAAGCTAAAGATACTAATATAGATATCCTAGCTAATATAATTATATAGACTTTTAGAGATTTAATTATATATTTATTTAAGAGGGAAAGATATAATTATAGATAATTTTAAAGCTTAGTTTACTATAATAAGATTAGACTATATATTAATCTTCTTAGATAGATTAGAAAAGGTAGGAAGTTATATAAGCCTACTTAATATAATAAATTAACTAGGAAATATAATAAAAAAATTTATTATAATAAAGTTATACTACTTACTTATAGCTAGCTAAGCTATCTGTAAGTAAGTTAGCTAGTAAAGTAGTACTATCTACCTTTTAAAAATTATTATATCTATAAGGTAGTAGTTATATCCTTATATAATACTATTACTATAAGAAGTAGAAGGTAAGTATTAGTTATAAGTAAGTAAATTAGTTATACTTTCTTAGCTATATATCTATAATAACCCCTTTTTATCCTCTTAGATCTTAGATAATAATAATATAGACTATTAGGTAATCTTTAGCTAATATCTATTAGCTATAGTAGAATACTATAAGCTAGCTATAGCTACTAGGTATTTTTAGTATAATATAAGAGATATTACTAAAAGCTATTAAAACTATATAAGAGAAATAAGAGATTTATATATAGGAAAATTAAAAGAGAGTAAGAAAATAGCTATATAATTATAAAAAAGAGAATAGAAAAAGTAGGTTTTTAATAATATAATAGATTTAAGAAATATAAGAATATAATATTTATCTAGGTCTAAACTAAGAAGCTTAGATTTAGAACCTTTATATTCTAATAAAAGGTTCTTATAATAATAACCTTATATTATAATTATATAAAGATAAAAGATATAATATATATTATTATTTAATATAAATATTATAAGCTTTATATAACTTTTAAAATAAAAGTCCTAATCTATATATTTTATAATTTAATTATAACTATAAAAAGAGATAAAATATAAAGTATATAATAAGTTAGATATTAATAAAAGATATCTTTATAATTTCTAGTACATAATATAACTATATTAATTTAAGAATAGAGGGAAAGGGAAGATAAAAAGATAATATTTATATAATAAACTAATATAATAATAAATAATAACCTCTTTATTAATAATAACTTTTTATTAATAATATTTTTATTATAAATAATACCTTCTTTATTAATAAATTTTTTAATAATAATAATCTTAATATAAAAGAGATAATAAAGATAAATAAATTAATAATTATAATAACTAAAATATAGATAATTAATAAATTATTTATAAAAAAAAAAAATATTATTATTAAAATCTATATTGAAGTTATTATTAATAAAAGAGGTTATTATTTATTATTAAAAAATAAAATAAAATAAAAAGAGAAGAAGATAAAAATTAAAAACTTATAAAAGGGAGTAATTTATAGATATTATTATTATATATATTATAATTAGAAAAAGTAAAAATTAAATTAAATTTATTTATATAAATAACCTTTATAATATAAAAGATAAATATAATTATTAGATAGATTAATAATAATAAACTTATATAAAAAGGGGTGGTTAATTAGATAAAAAGTTAAATCTATTTTATTTAAATAAGAAAGATAGAAAAGTTCAAAATAACTAAAGTTAAAAAGAGAAAGTAAAAAATAAAGATTATAAATAAGAAAAAGGAGTTTTATATAAAAAGAGATATTAATATTAAATATAAATAGAAAATAGAAGATAAAGAAAAAAAAGATAGAAAATAAAGAGATAAAGAGATAGAAAATATAAAAAAGCTACCTAGCTTATTAAGAGAGAGGAAATAATATAAAGAGATAAATAGAAGATATAGTTATAAAGAGATAGATAAGAAATAACTATAAGGAGATTAATAAAAAGAATAATTATTAAAGAACTTTTAAATAAATTATAATTTAAAAGTAAGAGATATAAAAAGGTAATAATTATAACTAATTCTATTTTATAAATATAAATAAATTA